GGAGTTTTTCTTTAGAGATTGAAATGTCCAAATCCAGAAAAGGACAACTACTGCTGTTTATGTTAGATTTAGTTAAAGTAAGTTCTATTGGGTAAATTTCGGTAGTATATTTAGAGAACTCTGGATTATTTAACGAAAAAATATCATCTAGATAACGGAAGGTATTGTTGAATGTATCAACCAAATGTAACAATGACGTGTCTTTACTGAGTTTGATCATAAACTGAGATTCATAGCAATACAGGAATAAATCTGCTATTAAAGGGGCGCATATACATTTTTGCACCGAACTCAGTAAAATTTGACGAACCTGAATTTCCGGATAACATAAAACAAACGTTCTGGAAATTTGAGTCTGTCAAATTTTACCGTGTTTGGTGCAAAAATTTATTTTATACTCTCCTTAACTAAAGTGAAATCAGCGAACTGTTTTAAAAAAAGCAGAAGATTCTCATCTGCCTCTGTGGCATTATAACTTATTTCATCATTACTTTGTGAAATTATTGGAAATATTTTGCACAAAACAAACACATAAAATATAAGAATTTGTATACAGTACCATTCAAACGGATCAGCTCTCCCACACCCTACACCAAGGAAAATTTCGGAGTCACTCCGAGAAACTCCGATATTCCTCCCAAACTGTTGGGAGGAATTTAGGAGCTATCCCTTACAAAATCGCTTAAATGTTATTTCTGATAGCGAGCTCACTCCAAACACCGAGGAATTAATTGCCCTAATCCTACTTTAATCTATGCCGGCACACGACTGATAGGGTATTGGATTACCTGAAGTCATAAACAATTATATTTCCGGTCTACTGTACCAGTTTACATGTAAGTGTCAAACAAGTGTATAATTTTAAATGTCTTTTTATATTGGTTAAGTTTAATTTTTGTGTTAAAAATAAGTTAAAATATTTTCGTATTTCTTGCTTGCTAATCTAAAAATATCTTTACCTAAATGGACTTGCTTGTTTAAAAAAAAACGGACATTACCAAAAAAGGTTTATAAAATTTTGTGGAAAATGTGGAAAAAAACGTGAAATTCTACTTCAAAGCTGAATAAATATAAGCAGTTTAAAGAAAATAACGTGTCTCAAAGTTTTGTATACGAGAAAATATTATTCACCATTCGTTATGCTTAATAAGTCTACGGCATTTTCGTTTTACGATTATCTAATTGCTTGAAACAAAAGATTTAAAAGCAAAATGTTGTTGTTAGTTCTTTCAATTGCATTAAAGTTTTATAAAAAAACATTTACAAAAAGGGACATACTTGTGTAAAAATAAATGGAAACTACTGCTGATTAAATGTGAGCAGTTTAAAGAAAATTACGTGTCTCAAAGTTTTGTATATACTATATACAAGTAAAAGAGAAAATATTATTCAACATTCGTTATGCATAATAAGACTACGGCATTTTCTTTTTACGATTTGTTGGCATTGCTTTAGGATAATAATACATTTCGGCTACAACAGGAATATTTCCACAGCTGCACAATGACTCGTCTTTGCAAAATATTTATCTCAGTGTGACTTCGCTCACAATATTAAATGCTAAAAATAGCTGACATCAATTTTATCCACAGCACGAGATCTTTATATGGCGGGAAATAATATCATGTACCAGTAAATTCTGGTGACCTCTCTGAACGACCGTGGGAAAATTCATTCAGGTTTTTAAAGTTGCTTTGTATTAATGATTGACATTTTAGTACGTTAGAATTGAGGCTCTAGAAGGTCCTTTTACAATTGATTAACCGGAATCTCAAATATAATCCTTTTCCGAATAAACGAACACACGTCTTCTTTAACTATTTTATTTTTTTTATGTTTTATCAGTCAAAATCTACCTGAACATTATTTATACATCCATGGCCAACAATATAAATTTATTGTAGATGAAAACACGATGCATGTCGTTAAGTTGGGCGTTGGTAGAGATCCTCTGTGAAAATATGTAGATCGTTAAAATCCTGTCCACTTATATTTTCTTGTAGCATCTGGGTACACGATATAATTTCATTTGAATATTTTTCGGATATATATTTGATTTTTTTCTATAGTAATTGTTGAAATAGTTCATTTTATTTCATTTCGCCAAGGACTTTTAACGAGCAGTAAAATACGGATTGCGCTCATCCAATTTTTTTTTTTTTTAAATAATCAAAAATCAATAACAGAGATAAACGATGATTTTTTTCCATATAATTAATTAAGTTGGGAATGTTGTGTTGTGTCTGGGCGGGGAATTTCTCTCTGTTTTGTTTTCATGAATAAAGGGCATGCATACAAAACTTATTCCCTTTGTTCAACCAAGTTACCATAGATGTGTCTTTTCGGAATTCAAATAATTCAAGTTGGTCATGTACCGAGGTAGTGAAACATAAAATTTTACATTGCAAAATAAATATGCACCTGAAATTGCTTACTGAGTAAGTCATAAAAGATTCTAATTGTGGTAAAATCGTCTTTGTTGAAAGAACTGACCAGACTATAATAGAAATACAAAATAAGTTTTTTCTTCGTATTTTTATTCGTTTGTACGTTTTATTTCAAATGACAATGCCATAAGGCAATAAACTGCTTCGCTGAGCGCAGCTAGATACGCCCGCAGAGGTCCAACCCTGAACAGTTGGGACAAAAATGGACACAATATTCAAGCTTGATTCAGGTCCGAATTTGGATTGTAATTAAATATTTGACATATTATAGGTTTCTGAATAAATGTAGTCAAAGATCTTGAAATTGGTTATATGAATTGAATTTATATTCAATTAAAGATTTCTTGCTGTTGTGCAATACTTAGTAAATCTGTTGTCAGACTATTCTCAATTTTATAAACAAATAAAGTTCAATTAATTCTCAATGTCATATTAGAAATTTATGAAAATAAAAAGGGAGCTTACATCAATAGATATAAACAATTCACCAAAGTTTCATGAGAATTGGTGACAGCATTTTTGAGTTATTGTCTAAAAACTGGAAAATCACCCCTTTTTTTAATGAATAAAACCCCATAACTCAGAAATGTAAAATGTAAATTTTATAAAATTCTAAAGGGGGCTTACATCAATACATACAAACAATTCACCAAAGTTTCATTAGAATTGCTGAAAGCATTTTTGAGTTTTTGTCCGAAAACTGGAAAATCCCCCCTTTTTTCATGAATAAAACCCTGCAACTCGGAAACGTAAAATCTAAAATTTATAAAAATTGAAAGGGAGCTCATGTCAATAGATATAAACAATTCACCACAATTTCTTGCAAGTTGGTGAAAGCATTCTTGAATTATTGTCCAAAAACTGGAAAATCCCCCTTTTTTTAATGAATAAAACCCCATAACTGGGAAACGTAAAATCTAAATTTTATAAAAAACGAAAGGGAGCTCACATCAATAGATATAAACAATTCACCAAAGTTTTATGCAAATTGGTTAAAGCATTTTTGAGTTAATGTCCGACATGTTAACGACGGACAGAGGTATACCATAATACGTCCCATAAACAGGCGTATAAAAACATTTAAGAATAATTATCTTATGCTGAATGTTAATGTCACATCTTTATCTGTCAAAGAAAGGAAAACATTTGTTAAAATTTTAATACCGTGTTTTAAAGAACACAGGTGCAATCAAGATCGATTAAATGTACATAGGAAAATAATCTGGCTAATCAGATAATGTTGTCACGCGTCGTTAATTTTTAGGACATCCGATGGGCAATAAACCAATTAACAGCCACACAGTGTTGGGAGAGAATCTTTGGAGGAAATAAGGAGTATAATCTGCCGTATGCTGTGTGACTCTGAAAAACACGGAAATCGGAAAAAACCGATCTCAAATCGATTCGTTTATATGGTACTGTATATGCAAAAATGTCTAGTTGTCAATGAAAATTTTATGGTTAAATTAGGTCTCAAAGTTGAGAAATTCCCTCTCCAAGTTCAACCAAAAAAATGGCTTCAGCGTTATGACATCGCAGGAAGGCGTTAAAGTATAAAAATAAAATAGCCTTTCAAGACGTCATAATTTCGCGATTACACTTTTGGGTATGTAGACTTGTAGTTGTTAAATCAATGGTCTCAGAATGCCCCTAGATTTACATGAAAGTGTAAATACATTTATAGAATGTTTGCACGTTTTGATGTTTGTAATGTTTTACTTGCTTTTGTTTTGTATGTTTTAAAAGCTCTTGTAATGAGTTGTATACCGATTTGAAATCAAGCTTAAGTCTTATTTATAATTTACAAGCCAGTGGTTTTGAACTCACCGAAGCACCGATGAAAGATAAATATTTCTGCAGTGAAGGTTCTATTGCATACAAAAACGATTTAGCTGCCACTTTTCCTGTATTTTCAACTGTCAGTGATGATGCTGATTTTACAAGGTGAGACGAAATATCAATCTTCCTTTCAGCTTTGCTAATGACAATTGACGGATTAATAGCGTCCTTGTTTACATTGCATCTTACAATAAGAATGCAACATAATAAAGACAAATTAACAAACAGGCGATTCATGTCAAACTGACAATGGATGATACACGATTAATTTAACTCTCTGGAACCGGCTTTCTCGGCTTCCCAAATTTTCTTTCGCAGGAAGTAATACGTGTCGGTAAAGGACAACTCGGTCCAAATGGTGCTCGGACTGTTTGTCTACTTTCAAAAATACGGATATTGTCGTATCCTTCTCGGTGACGAACGATATCTTATTATCTTCCGGTGATGTCCCGTCTTTATCCAAAAAATTGGGTTTTCCATTAGATATAAATACATTTACTGGTAATTCCTCAAAAATGTATATAGATAAGGTAACACCCAATAAAACAATCCCATTTATCCAAAACAAAGTAAGACGTAAAACGGTTTTACATAATTTGTGTATCATATGTTTATACGGTTTATACGCCGTAAATAATCATTAATGAGGATCGGTCACGATAACAATCATTGTTCTGAATTTTGTTTTACATTTATAATTACTAATAAATTATACCATAAATAATGCCTAATCACAGAGGGTACGAGATTGCAAGGCTTCACTCTTTCCTAAACTGTAAGTTCTTCTGGCTGGAATACAGAAAACTTCCTTAGACACTGCATTGTGTTTTCAGATTTTTTTCCCTTTGATATCTAAACTTTATTATTTAGTTGATATAATTTTTAATTTTATGTATTTCTATACTATGTACTAAATTGAGCCTTTACCAATTGTTTTAATTGCGTTTGTGCTAATAAAATATTGTCTATTGTAATTTAAAACATGAACAATTTTTTGTGTTTTATCCTGGATCTTATCAGTAATTAAGAATATATAGCAAAAGACCCTTGAACCATATGCTTGGTTGATTATCTTAAATATATATTTTTATTTAAGGCAAACCAATCAGTAAATGTTTTTTTCCCAAGTTAACCATGTTATTTTGATATCTAGGTTAAAATACACGCTTGTATATATATAATGTTCAAGTAGAATGAGGTGGTGTTATTTATATTCAGGTTTAATTATAGCAACTAGCAAAACAAAAGTTGTTTTAAACATAATATACAGAAAACAATTTGTGAATATACATAACATATATATATGAGAACCATGGTACAGTTTTGTGATACTGCATTCAGTTATAGTAGTTTTGTTATTGTACATAAAACATTCTATTTAATTTATGCAAGGATGGACTTTTAATGCTTCCTTATTTACCAGGAAGCTGATACATTCAAATAACAGCCAAACAAAAATGTTGAATTTAAAAAAAAAGAAAATCCTTTAATAGGATGTATATTGTAATATTTAAATGTGGTGTTTGCATTGAAAAATCATTGATCACAGAAACTTTCATTTCACTACAGGTAATCAATCACACACATGCTGTACATCATACCACAATCACATTTTTGCATACTGCTTTTGTCTGTCAGAATATGTATATTTTTATCCTCTTCTCGTGGGTTTTCGTGCTATTAAGAATGCATTGTGACGTCACAATTTCCATTGAAAAAGCATACATAGACTAGTATGAATTCGTATCACGTATGAAAACATATGATATGACCATATACACTGTATGTACAAATTATGTATTTTGAAAACAATTGCAGAAATAGGTAACATTGTTATTGGTGCCCACTGTGGAACTGCATCTTAATATGGAAACAATTTATATTATCAAATATATAATTATGTACCGTTTTACCTGTAACCTGTTTACAAATGATATTTTGTCAGTGAAATAGTTCTTCCTTTTTGATCCCTATTTTCACTTTTGCACCTTACATTATTTTCAATAACTGAACATGATGAGTATATGAGCAACCATCTCCAACTAAGATGAAATAATAGGTCACATGCATACAGATCTAATTGAGGCGAACTATTATCTGGCAATCAAATAATGTATCAGTGGATTTGTGCGGCTTATTTTGACAAAGTTGAACAAAAGTTATCTAAAAATTATACATTAGGGCAACTGTAATATCTGTTTTCTTGATGTAAAAAATAATGGGTGTCATTGACTTTGATTTTGCTGTATAAGCGTTAATGAATTGCTAGAATGTGTGTGATATTTATTCAGTCAACATGGTCAACTTTCAAATCCACAGGCCTGGAGCACAACTTATCAAAGATTTAAGTTTAGATTCTATTGTCTTAAAGAAGTGATTTTGTATCCAGCCATGTTGGATCTATGTGATTAATCCAGAAATTCAAATTATTTGAAATAGTGCAGAGTTCTGAGTTGAATACAAATCATGAATCTAATAATGTATATTATGACTTGCAGAGAGAAGATGCAATATGATTGCCAATGAGGTAACTCTCCATCAGAGACCAAATTACATAGAAGTTAACAAGTATAGATCACTGCACGGCCTTCAACAATGAACAAAACCCATACCCCATAGTAAGCCCAGAAGTGACAAATGAAAAACAATTCAAACGAGAAAATTAACAGCTTAATTATGGACAAAACATTAAACAAAAACAAATATGATATATACAGCAACAAATGACAACCACTGAATCACAGGCTCCTGACTTGGGACAGACACATACAGAATGTGTTGGGGTTAAACGTGTTTGCTGGCGCCAAACCCTCCCCCTAACCTGGTTTTACAGTACAACATAAGAACAAACTACATGTATAAAGGGCTTAACTCTTCAGATCAATACAAATCACATAAAAAACCTATCAAAAACATAAAAGATTGACACAAAGTACAGATCAGAGAGTACTCAGTTACTGACAGCTAGTTCAAAGCCACTAACAACTAATAAAAATAATTATGTATCTAAGACTAAAATATTTAAAATCAGTAAACATCCAACATCCAATGCATTTTGTGTAAAGATGTCATTAACAATCAGAGAAAAACATCCAGTTTTTTTTTTTGAAATTTGGATGCAATTCCAAATGCTTAAGATGCATAAAAAATGTTTCAAAAATCTGAGAGAGATATAATGTATTATTATTTTCTGTTGTTTCCCTTTTTAAGAAAATATAAAAGAGATAAGGTACAAGATTGATTTTTCCTAAGATCTTTGTCAATTTTCATGTTTGCAAAGAAAAATATACATTCCTGGTTCTCATTTCACAATATTTCATGTTCCTCGGAACCCTTTCCAAATTTTTTTCAGAAGTTTTGATAAAGCATTCTTTAGTGAATGCATTTTCAACCTGTAAAAAAAATGTTGTCCGTATAGTAGTATTTGAGATAGTTAATTATAATATAAAGGAAAATCTCATTTTCTTGATGAAATTGTTTGATTTGCTCAACAATGTGACAATGTCATAAAACTTTTCTCCAATTGCATCATTACTGCCACTGTGTATGGTGTAATGACTATCGTATGCCCTTTTTTCTATTGAATAGATTATTTGTGTTAATGATAAAACAGTGAATATTATATGTTATATATATTTTCAGATATGTAACTAGTTCTTCAAAACTGATTGATGTAGAAATATTTATCTTCTAAATATGATCATGAAGAAAAAAATAGTGTGAGTTCATCTATAAATATAAGGAGATATTGTATGAACTATCAACCAAAAACAAACAGACAATAATTTACTTAACAACATGTTGCTGTATTGCCTTCAGCAATGAGCAATTCGATAATGTATCTTTATAAAAGACCATGGGATTACAAAATTTGAAACGATTCAAAAAGGAAAATGACAATCTGATTTGAATATATCGCATTAAACAACAAACAACTATATATGACCATGATGACAGACAACAATAACATCACTGGACTACAAACTCTTGGGTTTGGACAGGCACATACATTTAAGGAATATGGCAGAGTTAATATGTTTTGTGTTCATATTAACAAAATAATAAAACAATGTTTAATATGTGTTGATGAAAACTCAAATGTTTGTTTTAAAGCAGCTTAACTATAACAATCTAAAAGTGTTCTACTTTTACCCAATATACAAATTACATCAATATTTTTAGAAATATCTCTAGAAGCAAAATATTATGTTTCCTAAGGCTAATTTGCAATATCTTATTTAAGAATTAAATGCTTCTTTTATAATTTTATTTGGGTGTAAAAGCGCTGACCGAAGCACATTTTGAATAAAGCGCAGAAGCTCTTCATTCTTAAAATGTGCGCATGATCAAAGCTTTTACAACCCTATAAACATGATAAAATAATAAAAAGAAGCTGTCAATTCTTATAATTACATTTTTATGGTACAACCATTGAATTGGGTTTTATATCAAGCTTTTTTTTTGTTTTCTATGCATTGTTTTAACATTGTCAAGGATAGTACGTGAAGTCACAGCTGTTGTATTTTATACAGAAATAAAATTTTAAATTATACTCCGTTTGGTGAACCAACGCCTGTGTGAATCATTTCGATAGAGTCTCTGAAGTGGATACCTTGGTATGCAGGGTTGTCAAATTATGCAAATGAATGCAACATTTAAATAATACTCAAAATTGACAACAACACTTCAAATGGTCTGCACTTTTATTTGCTATGGTCTACATGTTTCGCCTGCAAGGCAGGCATCATCAGGACAATTTTCATACAGAATTTAATTACTGAAGTACTCGAAGTGGTACATTGAATTTGACGTTGTCAAGGTGAGAGAAACAATGAAAAGTGAATAACAATAAAGAGTTATAAATAGATAAGATAAATATAGCAAAATAAAGTTTGTTTACAATGTAACTTGAGTTCGTTTTACTTTTATATGATACATGACATTGTTCTAAAGGCTTGGTATCTAAATGGACGATCTTCTCATGGTTCCTACCACTTCGCAAGGCTTCTCTTTCAACCTGGCCATTGTTGGATGTTACTACTTCCTGGCGCGTCGGCAACAATGGGAAGATTTTGGTGGCCGCTAATGGAAAATAAAATTGTCAAAAATTGTTATTATTAGAATGCTGCACGATTGTTGTCAGCCAATCAAAATTACAGATTCTAATGAAACATACATGTAATGTAATTATTGTTAATGAGAAGAAATGGAAACAAGACAATTTAGAGAGTATTTACATTTGAATATTTAAGCAAATGCCCTATTAAATAGGCTTCTGATTTTCAAAATACCTACATGTAATATTAAATCTCAAGTAAAATAGGACCTATATTTTAAAAATGACTCTAGGTTACAATCAAGTGACATTCTTAACTTCTTATTTCTTTAATTCTAATCAATAAATTATAATAAGCAATATTAAAGAAGAAAAAATGTATAATTTAAAACTGTGATGTAATATTTCAGATGTCATTATCTAACAAAGAAAATAAAAATTGGAAATCAACAGAAACATTCAGCTGGAACGAAGGGGATGTCCTAGGGAAAGGTGCAACAGCTGTTGTATACAAGGCCAGAAGAAGGGTATTTTAAAACATTTGTATAAGATATGATTTGCCAGTATTTTCATAAGCTCACCATAAGCCAAGAGCTTTTATCATCGATTGCATCTGTTTATAGATATAAGAAGATGTGGTATGAGTGCCAATGAGACAACTCTCCATCCAAGTAAAAATTTATAAAAGTAAGCCATTATAGGTCAAAGTATGGTCTTCAACACGGAGCCTTGGCTCACACCGAACAGCAAGCTATAAAGGACCCCAAAAATTACTAGTGTAAAACCATTCAAACGGGAAAACCAACGATCTAATCTATATAAAAAACAAGAAACACATATGAACCACATCAACAAACGACAACTACTGAACATCAGATTCCTGACTTACGACAGGTACAAACAATTGCAGCGGGTTTAAACGTTTTAATGGTACCAAACCTTCACCCTTATCTGAAACAATAGTGTAACATCACAACATAGAAAGACACACTATAAAATATCAATATGTCTGTCTTACATTATAAATTCCATTAGATATCTTTAACTCTGAAATCAAATTTGGGCCAAACATGGTATGAATGATCCCTCTGATTATCAAAATCGGTGTATTAACCAAATTACTAGTAAATTCACTTTTTAGCTCACCAGGCCATTATGGCCAGGTGAGCTATTGCCATTACTAGGCGTCTGTCTTTGTCTTAAACTTTTTCAAAGATCTTCTCTTCTGAAACTTCTAAACAAATTTCTAACAAACTGGAGTATCTAGTATAAAGTTTGTGTTTGTTATTCTGGTCAGTCAACAAACATTGCTGCCATGGCTACAAATAGAACTTTGGAGTGAAATGCATTGATATCTTGAAAACCATAATATATTAAAAGAAAATTTGACCGGAAAACATGCTCCAAATGTAAAGATCTACTTATCTGCTATGTTAACCAAAAGATCTTGTTACATTAATTGTATCAATTTATTTTTGGCAAAAATGCTTGGTGAGCAATACAGGCTCCTGGGGGCCTCTTCTTTGGAAACCTACATAGCCACCATTTCTATCAAAGAGCTTAACGCTTGGTTCACAAGTATATTTATGGTGTTAACTTTTTCAATTATATGTGATAAAATATGAAACATGGAGAATAATGGTCAAAATAAATAAAGATTAGAGAAAATGGTATAAAAAATTAAAGAATAAAGAAAAGATAGGCCCCATCCAGACCCTCGTGCATGGAGTCCTATTGAAAATTTTGATTCAATATTACCTGTTCATAAATTAAATGGAGGCTGCATAAGAAAAAAGAAACTGAACTTATACAAAAATGAATTTTCAAAACTTTATGTAGAAAGAGGTTATGATATTTCTTCTTGCCCCTCTTAAAAATAAAGAAATAAGTGGTTGAAATGTGAGTGAAACATAAGAATACCATGATGTTCATACCGATCAATATAATTTTTTTTTTTAAATTCCAATTATCAAATGAATAATCAGAAAAGGAAACAATAACTCCAACATGTAGTAATCATGATAATATTCTTTTTTAGCCAAATGGTTGTGTGTGTGCAGTGAAATATTTTCATGAACGAGTATCTCATCATTTTGCCTCAGTAGCTTTAAGGGAGATAGATCTATTGAAGAAGTTAGATCACAGAAATGTTATCACCATTTATGCAGTGGAAAGAGATGTAAGTTAACTTAAATGAATAGTCCTATTATTGTATTGCCTGTGTATTAAAGATACCATGTAAGATTCTATTTTGATCTTTTCCATTGTCATCATCACATTTTTGTTAATCTTCATCAAATTAACTTAATTTGGGCATACTCTGCTAGAGGAATTTGAATTAGTGTACAATATTTCAGGTAAAATTCAATTCATTGTCAAATTCTAATAAACAGTATAGAATATTTTTACCACATTTGGGTTAGCATGACCTACATTTCATGTTTTAATACTTTGGTTATGTTTCAAATTCATAACATTATAAGATAAACATCCACACCACTAGTACTACATTCTATTTTTAAAGCCAGAATATGCCTATACATGTTTTACTTAAAAGGATTCGTGAACTTTTATAATAACTTTTTTTCCAGTCACCATCAGGAAATTATGTCATGGGGATGGAGTTATGTGAGGGAGGAAGTTTATACTCTATGTTAGACCAGCCAAAATATTCCTATGGTTTACCAGAAGAGGAATTTCTAGTTGTGTTGTTTGACATTGGTAAAAACTTTAATTATAGATATTACATTAAGGGAATCAACTAGTTTACCTTCTCATTACCAGATGCTGGAGTTTAAAAAAAAGAATTCAAATATCTGCACATTGATCAATTATCTAATGACCCTGACACTTCATTATATATTTGATGGTTCATTGATAGAACTTTGATTGATTGATTGGTGGTTCCTTTACCTCCACTGGCAAATATTTCATGCATAGTCATGATGGTAGAGATAATTGATGCCATTGCACAATACCAAATTTCCCTCCAGGCACAAATAAGTAACGACACTGCTATTCAATGCTAAAATTTTTAGAATGAAGCTGATAAGAATTTTCTAAAACCAGACTGAATAAAGATATTGAATGATATTTATACAGAATAGGCATTTATTTATTAAATTCCAGTCAAAAAGTATCAGTGACAATGGTATCAAACAAAACATTAATGCTATTTATCTTTTTTTCTGTTGGGTCTTATTCACAGTATTATAATAGGATAATAACCTAACAAGCAGATATTAAGAATTTTGATAAGCTCAAACAAGGTTTAAATTTATCAATAACTAGACATTTTTTTTAATCTTTTCCAAGTGTTTTTTTAACCTCCTTATTTATTCTTGTTCCATGTGTGTTTTCAGCAAGTGGAATGCAGTATTTACGACAGATGGGAATTATTCACAGAGACTTAAAACCAGGAAATATAATGAGGTTTATAGATGATACAGGGCAGTAAGTATACTATTGTAATCTTATAGGGAGAGACACTTTGGTCTTGCATGTAAAACAATTGTGTGTATTTAATGTTAAATCATTTCATTTTTGTCGAGCCTGCGACTTCTGTCGCAGAAAGCCAGACATAGGGATAGTGATCCAATGGCGGCGGAGACAGTGGCGTTAACTAACAACTTAAAAGCTTAATATATCAGAAGGTAGAAGACCTGGATGCTTCATACTTTGTTCATAGATGTCTCATGATATGAAGTTTCCGTCTGTCATATGTACATTGTTCTTGACCTCGTTTTCATGGTTCAGTGACTACTTGAAAAAAGAGTTAAGATTTTTTGTAATGTTAATTTCTCTCTTATTATGAGTAATAGGATAACTATATTTAGTATGTGCTTACCTAGCAAAGTCCTCATGCCTGTCAAACAGTTTTCACTTGACCTGGACCTCATTTCATGGATCAGTGAACAAGGTTATGTTTTATATAGTCCATATCTCAGATACAATAAGCAATAGGTCTACTATATTTGGTGTATGGAAGGATTGTAAGGTGTACATGTCTAACGTGCAGGTGTCATCTGACCTTGACCTCATTTTCATGGTTCAGTGGTCAAAGTTAAGATTTTGTGTTTTGGTCTGTTTTTCTAATACTGTATGCAACAGGTCAACTATATTTGGGGTATGGAAATATTTTACCATGTTCTCATTTTCACTTTTCATTGCTCAATGTTAAGTTTTTGTGTTTTGGTCTGTTTTATTTAAACTATAAGCGATAGGTCAACTATATTTGGTGTATGGAATGATTGTAAGGTGTATCTGTCTATCTGGCAGGTATCATCTTACCTTGACCTCATTTTCATGGTTCATTGGTCAGTGTTAAGGTTTCCTGGTTCAGTTTGTTTCTTAGATACTATAAGCAATATGTCAACTATATTTGATCCATGGAATGATTTTAAGGTGTACCTGTCTGTCTGGCAGGGTTCATCTGACCGTGACCTCATTTTCATGGTTCATTGGTCAATATAAAGTTTTCATGGTTTGGTCTGTTTCTCCTATCCTATAATCAATAGGTCAACTATATTCAGTTTATGGAATGATTGTAAGGTGTACATTTATTCCCCGGCTTGGTTTATCTGACCCTGATCTCATTTTCTTGGATCATGTTAATATGATACTTTATATTTAGGACTTTCAACATAAAATCAATGGTTAGTAAAGCAGGCGAGACATTTCAGCATGTGCACTCTTGTTAACTTTTCATACCTAGTGAAAAATATTTAGTTAAAATAAGAAGCCAAGATAGCATTACTTATGTTTAGTATTTGTCAGAGAAAAAGTACTCGGCTTTATAAAAAATAAGAAGATATGGAGTGATTGCCAATGAGACAATTCTCCACCACAGACGAAATGACGTAGAAGTTAACAACTCTAGGAGACTAACGGCCTTCAACAATGAGCAAAACCCACACTGCACAGCAAGCTCTAAAAGGCCCCCTAATGACAAACGAAAACAATTCAAACAAGAAAACTATTGGACTTATTTATGTACAAAATAATAACAGATATGATATACAGCAACAAACAACAACCACTGAATAACTGGAATAATTTTTCTTCAAATGCAAATCATTTCTCATTTAGGTTTAATGAAACTTATGTTTACATCAGCAATTTCTCAAATGAATTTGAAAATTTGCCTGGATCTATTTTGTTTAAATTAATTAAAGTATCAATACCTTATACAATTATATTCATACATTTTATAAATTCAATAAAGAGAAAGTTTTTTTTAGGTCCATCTATAAACTGACTGATTTTGGAGCTGCTAGACAATTAGATGACGAAGAAAATTTTACATCTATTTATGGAACAGAAGAATACTTGGTAAGACTCTTTATCCCTGTTCTAATGGATTTCAAAAAGAAATAATACCTTAGAACTTGAGAAAATGTACAAATTTGAATTTGATTATTCCACAACACTTCATGAATGGTTTTGCTCCATAAATGCCATGGCAAAACATAACATCATAAAAAACGAAAACTTCAAATTGAATCCTTAATGTTACTAAAAATAGCTGAATCATGAAATCTTTATTAGCTCAAGTGCTTTCTTCCTTTGGGAGAGTCAATAGTCAGGCAAAAAACAAATAAAAAAAGTAGGGACAGTATATAAACATTGTGAAACCAGTTTTGCAAGTCAATTTTTCCCATATAAATCTAATATCTGGTGTCAATTATATAGTTTAAAAAGTAGTTAACAATAATTTGATAATTTTCCAAATAGATAAACTTTCTATAAACTTATATATTTATATCGCATTTTAGAAAATTCAGTACTTTCCTTGATTTTAATGACATTATACATTATAATCTTGCATATAGAAAATATAGAATAAGTTTTTTCTTTTGAAGGATCCAAACATGTATGAGAAAGCTGTTCTACGAAGACATTCAGTACCGTACCAAGAGTTTGATGCTAGTGTTGATATCTGGTCTCTTGGAGTCACAATATACCATGTGGCAACAGGCCACTTACCATTTCAGCCATATGGTGGCAGGTCAAATAGCCAGACCATGTAAGATTTTGCTTTGACTTGGGTCTCTTATTTTCATTTATTGATTTACTGCCTAAATTTTTTTGATTTACAAGCAAAATAAAAATGGTTTAAAAGGTTTTTGTCTCGTCTGCAATGAAAGTAGCGGAAGGTGAGACATAGGTGTTGCTCTAACAGCAGAGGCTGCATTACTATCTGTAAATATGAGTTTGATGACTGTTTCGAGGCCTTGCCCCCTAGGTCATGGTCCAGTGATTTTGAATTGCATAGCAATTTTCAATGTTAAGTTTTCTGCTTAAGTCAGTTTGATAGGAACTACTTGTGATAAATCATTGATATTTTCTATAGAAATTGATAATAGGGGTTTAGAAATAGATAACTGCTGTAATTTAGAATAGGTGTATAAAGATAAATAAGTCCTGAAGGTGAGAATATTGGTATAGAAAAAGATAAGTACTAAAAATGAAAATAAGGGTATAGAAATAGATTAATACCGAAATTGAGATTACGGGTATAGAATTCTAATGCAATTTTTCTCATTGGCTAAAAGTAACCATCAAATTCACTGTTGACATGTCGTAACTAAAGATTTAATTGCTTGGATCATCAAATGTTCGATTGCTACAATAATATCTAAAATAAAACAACACCTACCTCAAAAACATCAGTTTGATGTGATTTTATCCAAATTTTAATCGTAGAAGTAAGATAATAACCATCAGTTTGCAAGTTCTTATTTGTATGATGTCACCTTTAGCCATGAAGTCCATGAGCAAATATTATTCATGAAGTTTTGCTCAATTTTATTTTGTTTCAAATTAATACATTTTTATACGACCGCAAAAATTAAAAATTTTTTTGGTCGTATATTGGTATGACGTTGGCGTCATCTGGCGTCGTCCGGCGTCGTCCGAAGACACATTGGTTTTCGCACTCTAACTTTAGTTTAAGTGAATGGATCTCCATGAAATTTTACCATAAGGTTCAATACCACGAAAGGAAGGTTGGGATTGATTTTGGGGGTTATGGTACCAACAGTTAAGGAATTAGGGGCCAAAAATAAGCATTTTTGTAACTTCCAGACAATAACTTGTGTGTAATTGTATGGATCTCTCTGACATTGTACCACAAGGTTCCATATCACAAAGGGAAGGCTGTAATTGATTTTGGGGGTAATTGCCTCAAAATTTTAGGAATTAGGGGCCAAAAAAGGGGCAAAAAACAAGCATTTTTCTAGTTTCATGACAATAACTTGTGTGTAAGTGTTTGGATATTTCTGAAATTGTACTACAAGGTTCCATATCACAAAGGGAAAGCTGGAATTGAGTTTGGGGGTAATTGCCCGAAACGTTTAGGAATTGGGGGCCAAAAAGGGGCCAAAAATAAGCATTTTTCTAGTTTCCAGACAATAACTTGTGTTCAAGTGTATGGATCTCTCTGAAATTGTACTGCAAGGTACCATACCACAAAGGGAAGGCTGGGATTGAGTTTGGGGGTGATGAATCATATGGGGGTTCAAAAAATTTGGGGGGGGGGGGATTTTTTTTTCTTTTTTTTTCTTTTTTTCCTTTTTTTTTTCTTTTAAAATTTTTCATTTTAAGTTGGTTATTTCTGATTAATATTTAAAAGCAAATAATAATGATATGGTAGGAGATACACACCAAACAGGATGTGTAAATTATTATATAATAAGTATTGTGCAATAGCAAGAAATTTTCAATTGCACAGTATTGCACAAAAGCAAGAAATCTTCAATTGCACAGTATTGCGCAATAGCAAGAAATCTTCAATTGCACAGTATTGCGCAATAGCAAGAAATCTTCAATTGCACAGTATTGCGCAATAGCAAGAAATATCCAATAGCACAATATTGCGCAATAGCAAGAAATTGTCAATTGTACAGTATTGCACAATAGCAAGAAATATTCAATTGCACAGTATTGTGCAAAAGAAGATACTTCGTATAAATTGCTTATTTCTTGATCAATTTCAATGGGGTTTTATTTTTGAATTCTTGGGGTTCTTTAATATGCTGAATCTAACCGTGTATTAAGTTTTTGGATTTTGGGCCCCATTTTTAAATTGGTCCACATTGAGGTCCAAAGGGTCCAAAATTTAACTTTGTTTGATTTCATCAAAAATTGAATTATTGGGGTTCTTTGATATGCAGAATCTAACCGTGTATTTAGATTCTTAATTTTTGGTTCCGTTTTCAAATTGGTCTACATTAAGGTCCAAAGGGTCCAAAATTAAACTTAGTTTGATTTTAACAAAAATTGAATTTTTAGGGTTCTTTGATATGCTGAATCTAAACATGTATTTAGATTTTTGATTATGGGCCCAGTTTTCAAGTTGGTCCAAATCGGGGTCCAAAATTAAAACTTTGTTTGATTTCAACAAAAATTGAATATATGGGGTTCTTTGATATGCTGAATCTAACCATGTATTTAGATTTTTGATTTTTGGGCCCGTTATCAACTTTGTCCACATTGAGGTCAAAAGGGTCCAAAATTAAACTTTGTTTGATTTCATCAAAAATTGAATTCTTGGGGTTCTTTGATATGCTGAATCTAACCATGTATTTAGATTTTGGATATTGGACCATAATAGGTGAATGTTCAATTTAAAATTTTTAAGTTCTTAGACCACATTCATTCTGTGTCAGAAACCTATGCTGTGTCAAATATTTAATCACAATCCAAATTCAGAGCTGTATCAAGCTTGAATGTTGTGTCCATACTTGCCCCAACTGTTCAGGGTTCGACCTCTGCGGTCGTATCAAGCTGCGCCCTGCGGAGCATTTTATTTCATTTTATTTCTTTTTGTAACGCATCACAATTGGAATAATAGTACTGTAGTTGACGAGGATCTGCCGTCAATTTTGATTTGACAGTCGCAAATTTCCTTTTACCGTCTATGCTACACGTCGCCAGTAAAACTCCATTTGTGACTAATAAATCGCCAATTGACGGCAGTACCTCTACAACTTCAGTGCTATTATTCCTTATATATATTAGTACTGAAAATGAGAATAGGGGTAAAGAAATAGATTAGTATTCAAATTCAGAAAAGGGATGTAAAGAAAAATATAAGTTCTGAAATTGAAAAAAAGAGTGAAGAATAAGATAAGGTCTGAAATTGAGAATAGGGGTGTGGAATAAGATAAGGTCTGAAATGTGAATAGGGGCGAAGAATTAGATAAGGTCTGAAATGAGAATAGGGATTAAGAATTAGACGAGCTCTGAAATGAGAATAGGGATGAAGAATTAGATAAGGTCTGAAATGAGAATAGGGGTGTGGAATTAGATAAGGTCTGAAATGAGAATAGGAGTGTGGAATTAGATAAGGTCTGAAATGAGAATAGGGGTGTGGAATTAGATAAGGTCTGAAATGAGATTAGGGATGAAGAATTAGATAAGGTCTGAAATGAGAATAGGGGTGTGGAATTAGATAAGGTCTGAAATGAGAATAGGGGTGTGGAATTAGATAAGGTCTGAAATGAGAATAAGGATTAAGAATTAGATGAGGTCTGAAATTGAGAATAGGGATGTGGAATTAGATAAGGTCTGAAATGAGAATAGGGGTGAAGAATTAAATAAGGTCTGAAATTGAGAATAGGGGTGTTGAATTAGATAAGGTCTGAAATGAGAATAGGGGTGTGGAATTAGATAAGGTCTGAAATGAGAATAGGGGTGTGGAATTAGATAAGGTCTGAAATGAGAATAGGGGTGTGGAATTAGATAAGGTCTGAAATGAGAATAGGGGTGTGGAATTAGATAAGGTCTGAAATGAGAATAGGGATGTGGAATTAGATAAGGTCTGAAATGAGAATAAGGATTAAGAATTAGATGAGGTCTGAAATGAGAATAGGGATGAAGCATTAGATAAGGTCTGAAATGAGAATAGGGGTATGGAATTAGATGAGGTCTGAAATGAGAATAGGAGTGTGGAATTAGATAAGGTCTGAAATGAGAATAGGGGTGTGGAATTAGATAAGGTCTGAAATGAGATTAGGGATGAAGAATTAGATAAGGTCTGAAATGAGAATAGGGGTGTGGAATTAGATAAGGTCTGAAATGAGAATAGGGGTGTGGAATTAGATAAGGTCTGAAATGAGAATAGGGGTGAAGAATTAGATAAGGTCTGAAATGAGAATAGGGATGAAGAATTAGATAAGGTCTGAAATGAGTATAGGGGTGTGGAATTAGATAAGGTCTGAAATGAGATTAGGGATGAAGAATTAGATAAGGTCTGAAATGAGAATAGGGGTGTGGAATAAGTTAAGGTCTGAAATGAGAATAGGGGTGTGGAATTAGATAAGGTCTGAAATGAGAATAGGTGTGTGGAATTAGATAAGGTCTGAAATGAGAATAGGGGTGTGGAATTAGATACGGTCTGAAATTGAGAATAGGGATGAAGAATTAGATGAGGTCTGAAATGAGAATAGGGATGAAGAATTAGATGAGGTCTGAAATGAGTATAGGGGTGTGGTATTAGATAAGGTCAGAAATGTGAATGGGGGTGAAGAATTAGATAAGGTCTGAAATGAGAATAGGGGTGTGAAATTAGATAAGGTCTGAAATTGAGAATAGGGGTGTGGAATTAGATAAGGGCTGAAACAAGAATAGGGGTGTGGAATTAGATAAGGTCTGAAATGAGAATAGGAATGAAGAATTAGATAAGGTCTGAAATTGAGAATATGGTTGTAGAATTAGATAAGGTCTGAAATTGAGATGAGTTATTTATTATTATATAGTTCAGGCAACTATTCAACTTCTTTTTTTAGAAAGTTTTTCAAAAGCAAACACATTAATTCTTTATTTAATATTTTCAGGTTCCTTATCACATCAACAAAAGAATCAGGAGTTATTTCTGGAATACAAAGATATCAGAATGGAGATATAGAATGGAGTAAAGAACTTCCAGGAACTTGTCGTCTATCTTTGTAAGTTTTATTTAGTTTGGGCTCTGCTCATTTTCAAAAGTACCACAGTGGCCATTAAGTCACTAGTTTTAAAGTACAGACTTTTTTTTATCTTTAAAAAAATCATTAATGTATATAAAGAGATTTGATGTTGCTTTTCTCTTTAATCAGATAAGTGGTTGCTCTTTTTAGTTACCAAGCCATATGAAATATGAAGTCAAAAGTGTTGTTTCCAAGTTTGTTAATAAAATTTAGATAACTTTGCTTTGCCTTTTTTGATCAAGGTAATTTTAGCAGTTATTCATAAAATGCACCATTTTACCTAACCTTTATTTAAAAATTGCATCAGCTGTGATAACCATTGGTTCAAGCACACTCTTTTTCTTTATATGAAACATAATTTTTTGAGATTTATCAATAAAAGAAGATTTTTAATACCTACCATTACCAATAGATAAAGTTGAATTATGTTATTGTAGAGGACTGAAATGTTTAGTGGTACCCATGCTGGCCAATATGTTGGAAAGTGATAAGAGAAGACGATGGAGTTTTGAACAGTTTTTCCGTGAAGTGTTTAAGATACAGGACATGCTAACCATTAGATTGTACGACTGTAGTGTTGGATCAAATCTCAAGATCTATGTAGAGAAATGTGATAGGTAATGATTACTACAAAGTAAAGATATTGCATCTATCTTTCAAGTTTTCATGTGTCAGGACATTGTAAGGTTCAGAAAATGAAACATACATTGTAACTTGTCCTGAATTATCCATGTTGGCCTAATAATAAAACAGGTCAAATGTGTTAAAGCCTTTCATCTTTTCTTAGCAATAAAATGTTCTTATTATCGAATTTATTACTGGTAATGACTTTGCTTTTAAATAGAGAAGAAACCGTTATAATTCTTATGTTTTACAGTAAATATTGTCAAAGCATAAATTTTCAACCTGATGTTATTTTCACTATCACCGTGGTACCTATGGATATGAAAAAATGTGAAATTAATATGTATGCATTAATAATATCCTAATATTGAGCTCTGCACTTATAATATGACAAACAAAACTGAAAATTTGAAGCCACAAAAAATAAATATGTTAACAATATAGGGTAGTTCTGTAATAAAACTTTTCTTACTTAGGTATGCAGCTGTTCAGGAAAAGATAGCTATGGAATCGGATATACCTTCAGGACAGCAGTTAATATTGTTCCAGAACCGAGAACTTGAGGAGATAGTCAATGATATGACATGTGAGGTACAGAATTATCCCACATCAGTACTGCATGGACAGCTGTATCTATACAATAAAGATAGAACTGATGTCAAGAAAATCATGATACCAGATATACGTATGTATTAATGTAATTCTCAGTCATATTTAAAAAGTAAATGAAGCTTGTTATACTGCTGAGTATTTTTCTATGTGGATGTGAATTTTTATACTGCTGAGTATTTTTCTATGTGGACGTGAATTTTCAAGGACTTACTTGTGGTACTTGAATTCACTGTTTGCATTTTTACTTATTATGAATTTCGAAAAGTTCAATGTTAGGTTAGATTGAGTTTTCTTGTTTTGGTTTCAATTTGCCTTACAAACACAGGTTTGTCTTGATTTTAGCAAAAGAGAAACAATAGTTTATGTGAGGTACTGTACAAATTATTTTATTATGATGCCAATATTTTTGGTATACAGACAATTTGATAAAAAAAATCACTATCAGTAAATATAATCATAGGTTCTGAATGGTATAATTACTTGCTCTTTCCTTATAGAAATTTAACAAATACAGAGAGAGTTTAAATTTGACAATCAATATGATATCTGATCCATATTTAATTTTATGTAACTATGTTTTATGATTTCAGCTCAGTATCCAGTTTTCCCTGACATGTTTCCTATTGAAAACAAAGTTCTAGACAAAGATAGTCACATAGGACATAAATGTTCAGCAATTTCATATTTGATAGAAGTACAAGTCAAAGATCTTATAGTTCTCCAGGAACTCATGCAACAAGCTGAAAGATGTCTTAGGTGAGAACATTTTACCACTTTTCCGTTTTGAAGTCCTTGAGTGCCCCGTTTTGTATGATTATTAGTTAACTACTGTCTATAATTTGGTATATAATGTAAATTCATTTAAGATTGTATGCACTTGTGACAACAAACAAGAATGCATGATTTAGTAACAAAATAAATATCTCCTTGTTTTTCTGTGTCTAGTAATTTTCCTATTTATCTATGAATTTTTTGTTCACAATTTATGCATTTATTAAGACTTATTAGGTCAAAACTTTGAACCAATATTTGTCTTTTATCTTTATTAAATTTTTTTGTATGCCTGGATTGTTTTATCTTTTTACTTAGAGGTTACAATTTACATCCATTATATAGTTCTTAATTTACAATTAACACATATTGGAGGGGCCTGATGGGGGGGGTCTCATCACGATTCACGAGTTGATTTTTTTGTCAATCACGATTCACAGAAAATAAATTTCCATGATCACGGATCACGAAAATATAAAAAAAAATAAATCTGTAGAAAAACGGATGACGATAGCGAAAATGCGCCGATCACCAAGAACGAAAATAACCCATCAGGCCCCTCATATTGGTGAATCTATGCAATTAATTTCAGGAGGTAGGTGGTAATGGTAATGATTTCTTTGATTCCTTTTCCCATTTTGTAAATTTGAAAATTTATGAGGCTCGTTTCAAAGCTGAAACATATTCACATATGTGGTTTAATTTTTGGTGTACCATGTGAGATTGAATTTTCTGCAATTTAGCAAACCCTGAAGGGCCCTTGGTGATATATACTCTTAGATAGAAAAATCCCTATATTTACATGAAACTTTCTAGAAATTCAGTTGTTTGCCAAAATTTGATAACTTCATAGCTTTAAAATATGTATTCCTTGGTCCTCTGCACTTCAAAACAACACAAATGGTTAAGATCAGTTAATTATTGAAAATAGAATGTCCAATATCATTGTGAAGAGATCTTTTGTTTACATTATATTAAATTGTGGTCCTCACTTTGAGGCAAATTAGGAATATTGACCCATATATGGTATTACATGATCTAATAGTTTACAAAAACATAAATCTTTGAACTATTTAATGCTCTTCTTCATTCTCTTTCCCCACAACTAAAGATCAATATGTTTTTTTCTCAAATAACCATAGGACTTACAAATCTAATAAATTTTGTTCTTTTTTTTAGGGAGTACATCCAAAGAATTACAAGAAGGATAAACAACTGTGTTCCAGAGATGTGTAAACTATTGGAGGAAACTAAAAAGAGGACAGAATCATTTTATCAGACTTTTGGTGTCATCCATGATATATTGTATAGTGTATCAAGTTTAGCAGCAGAAGAAAGAATATGTGTGATAGCTAAAAGACATATTGAGGATATTGCATTTACTCTCAGGGATCAGTCACCAAGGGAAACACAACAAAAGGTAATTAAATCTTGCAGAATGTTAAATCTTACATTCTGTTGGCAGTTTTTTGGGTAGTATTTTAAAGTTTGGCCATATATCTCAAAGATCTCCCAGGTTTTTGTTTCAATTTTTTCTACAATTAAGAGCTTCCTGAAATTTAATGTCGGGCTTTATGTATACATGCCTTACCGTGCAACGCTTTTTCAGATTTATGGCTCATCAACTTCCTGTTTACCCAATACTTATATGTTCTAACACATAATGGTCATGTAATTAATGTTCGTCACATTTTTCTAGGCAACTACTCTTAAGAGTTTCCTGAACTTAGTTGTCAGTATTATGATAATAAGAAAATGTTGTATAATTGCCAATGAGACAACACTCCACCATAGACCAAATGACATAGAAGTTAGCAACTATAGCACACCTTACTAGTAATAGTCAGTACTAGTCTTAATTGATACATGCTTTACTGTGTAAAATGTTTTTCAGATTCATCATGCATCATCTTACTGTTTACCTGATTCTTATTCTTGTTATTGAGCAGTAACACAAAGTTTTACTTGTTTATATTCATTGACTATATAAATTCTTATTTTTATAAATTTATAACGTGAATAATTATTAATTATAATTAAACAGAAACAGTCTTAAATTTCATTTACATAGCAAAAGTGATTATATCAATTCATCTTGTAGTTCATGCTTATTCACTCCTATCACAATAAATATTTGTATGACATCTTGTGGAATTTGTTGTGTAAGCTGTTTTTTTTTTTTACTTTTCTTTTTCTTTCTTGTAGACGGTACTAAATTATAATCTTGAATTAAAGTTAACATCGTAAATAAGACTACATCTACGATATGATGTCGATGAAAAATTATTTAGTATTTTTTTTTCCTATGGAATTAAATTAACGCACAGGATTTTAATTTTTTTTTACAATTTTCTGTCCAGTCCCATACACTGCATAAGGTGGGTAAAAGTAGCAGATACCAGTTCTTAATGAAAACATCATTAGGAAATGTCAGATGTATTATATACTTTTAGGCCGAAAATAGAACAGAGGAGATTAAAGTATATATGAGTGTATTGGTGGATAAAGTAACTGAACAGGAGAGGGAAGCTATAACAAGCTGTGTAGGATGTATGACAGAAGATAGATGGTATGTATAGACTGTCATTCAATTTACCTTTTTTGGCATAAAGATTGCAATAAATTGGATGGTTAGGGACATTTCAACCATCTACTCTATCTGTGTGGTGAACATTCTGTTCAGCAACATGCTTAGATAAAATGTTGTGTATATGTATTACCATACATTTGATTAGAAATAAAACAAGATCAAGAAAATAAGTCTATCTATTCTATCTGCAGTTATGAATAAAGGGACATAGCTCAATTTAAACTATTGCCTACATATTTATTTGTTTGCTTAACACACTGGTATGTTAATTTTATAGTTCACAAAGCAGAAATCCTTAGTACTCACAAGCACTTTGATTATAAATTAGATCTTTACATTCATTGTTTTGGTTATTTTCTGTAAATTAATGGAAGGTTTAAAAACATTTTCATGTATTATATTGACCTAAAAATTTGAATTAATTTATGACTGAGAACAGATCTAGAGGAAACATTAAACAATCAAAAACAAAAAACTGTATGTAGATATTCACATAGTACACACATATATTTTTATGTCTGTGTAATTTAACTACAGACACTACTTTCACTTAGGTGTAGCAATTAGCAGAATAGTTTTTAAAAAGTTGTTATCCACATTCTCAATATTTTAAGAAGATACCATTTGTAGAGATTTGGTATATATAACCTGCTATTTAGCTCACCTTGCCCAAAGGGCCAAGTGAGCTTTTCTCATTACTTGGCGTCCGTCGTCCGTCTCCGTCGTCTTATCGTCATCTGTTAACTTTAACAAAAATCTTCTCCTCTGAAACTACTGGGCCAAATTTAACCAAACTTGGCCATAATCATCATTAGGGTATGTAGTTAAAAAAATGTGTCTGATGACAAGGCCTGCCAACCAAGATGGCCAACATGACTAAAAATAGAACATTGGGGTAAAATGCAAGTTTTGTCTATTATTTTGAAAACAGTTATAAATTGAGAAAATCTGACTGAAGCAAAAATTTTCAGAATGTTGAGCTCTATCAATTGTCTATATACGTCAAAAAAGTCAGACGACTTCTTATAGGAGTTATTGCCCACATATGACAAATTTTACCGTCGACTCCTTATTAGAGTTATTGCCCTTTGATGACGATTTTACCGATTTTTTTGCTCTTTTTGCCTTATATCTAAAAAATTATAATAGATAGATAGAAACTTAAACAAGCAAAAATGATCAGCAAGACAAGATCTACAATTAAGACAATATGGAAGAAATTGTCCGACAATTCCTTATTGGAGTTATTGCCCTTTAATGACGATTTTTGCCATTTTTTTTTTGTGTTCTGCCTTATATGATAAAAATTATAATAGATAGATAGACACTTTAAATAACAAGGCAAGATCTACTTATAAGTCAAATTTTGCCGATATAGTTAGTAGACTGTCACTCTTTATAGGAGTGATTGCCCTTAAATAAGGATTTTTTTTACCCTCTTTTGTGTTTTGAGCAAAAAGTAAAGAAGATAGAGAGAAACTAAACAGACTAAATGATCAGCAATACAAGATCATCAAAACAGAGATTTTTGTCATGAATTCTATTCTTGTCTACAATGTTGGAGAGTGTCCTTTGTTGAATATGCGCATAGACCTAGGTGAGCGAGTTTAGAGCCTCTAGTTTTGTTTTGAAAAGAAAAATATATTCTCAATAAACTTATAAAATTTATAAGTGTGAGCAGACATTTTAGCCTCCACCAGCTTCATCAGAAAGTTGTCTATTCATTGCTTCAAATATTATGGTATGAATGTCAATTTTCTTAAAGAATTTTTCAGAATAGATGTTATCATCAAATTCCTTTTTTTGAGTATAATACATTTCCTTTCTCAGGAATGTCGATTAACAATGAAACAGTATGTTAAGTTTTGACAATAATTATACCCCACGGAACAATGTTTTTACCTGTCTGTCCATCCGTCAGTCTATCTGTTCGTCAGTCCTGTTCTTGTCATCACAACTCCTCTGAAATCACACAACAGAATTTTATGAAACTTTGTAGATAATAAGGACATAATATGTAGATGTGCATATTGACAGGAAATTATGATTAAATTTTTTTCAGGTGTTTAGCCACTTTGAACTTAGAATTTTGGCCTAAATATACTACTGCAACAGTTTGTCATTGCAACTCTGAAACCACACAACAGAATTTTATGAAACTTTGTAGATAATAAGGACATAATATATAGGTGTGCATATCCACAAGAAATTTTTATCAGTTGACTTTGTAGGAGTTGTGCGTCTTTGAACTTAGGAATCTGGTGAGATTTTGATTGCCCAGTGACAATGTTGGGGCATGGGGTATGTGAGTAGCATTACTTTTCATTTTCTTTTCTCTAATTCATGTCATTACATGTCATTTCAGCGTTCAGAAATCACACCACTTGTCTACTAAGATCTATGAAATCTACAAAACATTTGCTGATCATAGGAAAAAGAGATATCTGTCACAGGAAGAGGAATTTGCACATAGGAGTGACAGGTAATATTACCATAATGTCTTTACACTTAAATGGTTGCTTTTCTAAACTCTTTGATTATCATACAGTTAATATGGATCCAGTGTTTAAGTTAAGGACAGGGTGCTGTAAGGGCTTAATTGCCCTAAAGTGCTGAATTTTGAACCTTTAATTGAAGCATTCCATTGATGCCTATTTTAAAGATGAGGTTATACAAAATTAGCTATAGATCCATAACATCATTATGTATATAGTTATGACATCAGGAAAAGGTCTTTCTATGTGCAATGTCAAAATTCACAGATTTTGGTCAATTTTTAACTAGTTTTTAGAAGACAATTGCCTTTTATTGTCATTTTATTGGTGATTTATTAGCTGAAGTAGAGTTCACAAGTTCTTCCTTACTTTTGGCAGATGCACTTGACTCCTATCTAAATTGACTAGGATTGTCAGTTATCTTCTGACAGTCGGTGGTTCTCTCTGGGCACTCTGGCTTCCTCCATCAATAAAAACTGACCGCCACAAAATAGCACAATAGTGCTGAAAGTAGGGATCAATCAATCAATCATCGCTTTTTCATTCCTTAGTTGTTTCAAGATGGAGTAAAAGTATGTTTTTACTTGATTTCATAATGAAAATTATTTTAATTTGATTGAAAATTTCTAAAGCACAATATCTAAATGGATTTTAATGTGAAATCAGTTTCATCCAAAATCACCACAGTAACATTACAGACTTGGTTTCAGGGAACAGTAATACAGTAAATGTTGTTTATTATAAGCAGGCTTTTTTATACCCACATTTGCTGCCAAAGATCAACAATATCTCTAATGCACAACAGGATGTTTTTTTTACAAATTTTAACTCAATTTTTGAATTGATAATCTGCCAAAAACCTCTAAAATACATTCTACCACATTATCTGTAAAGCATGGCTAATTTCATAGAAATATCTTGTTTTGATTATTACAAACTATTAACGCATCAATGATTTTTTTTAACTTAACAGCATATACCAATTAACAAATGACATATAAAATTTACTGGTTCACAAATCGCTACTGTTTCATTGTAAGCAAAAGAAAGATAGGTGACATTTTTTAGATCTAATTCATTATAAACCAGTCCATGTGATAGTAAATACCGGTACTTATTGTATGAAATCGTGCAGTTCACTGTTTTGACATCTCGTTCCATAAGACCAAATTTATATAACATCAAGTAAGACAGATAGAGCAATGGAGGCAGCCTTTGGATTCATAAAGAATGTAATCCTCTCTTATAATCTGTACAATGACACTGCTAGGCAATAGCCAGTAGGTCTTACCTAAGTCCTAAGTCTTTAATACAGAGGTACATGAGAGTATGACTGTATCTCAGGACCCAAAAGACACGATACCAGTAGCCAGTGTGTGTTATTATTTACACAGTTTGGCCGACTCCCCTTTTAACACTTGCACACATGCATATTGCTTAGTATACAGAAAATGATTGTCTAGCGCTTTCCCACTTTGATTGGACCTGCGAATATAAAGCTCATGCAAGTATCAGCTAAATGATTTACCATTTTGTAGTACTAGTACATTTGTACTTCAATTTTTTGACCAAAAAGGTCCTTTAGTGCATCTTTTTCTTTATCAAAAGTTTCAATCTTTCAGTTTGTGTGTTTTCAAAGAAAATAATTTTCAAATTCTTTATGTAGTTAGTTGTTTTCACCAAAAATATCTAGGGACCAAAGTAAAATTGTGTTTTATTATTCCATCAGTAATTTGAACTTTATTAGTATTTCTATTTATTTATTGGAGAAAGCTCACATTTAAGAATAATCAAACAGCAGAAGTCATTATTTTAGTGCAATTTTATATTGGAAATTTATCAGTTATATTTGTAGTGCAATTGTAGGATAATTTAAAATTGACAGAAATGCAGTACCTGGGTATCGCTTAAAGGTTTCATTTGTGCATTGATTTGTTTATTTTCAGGATAAGAATTCAAAAATTTATTGAACAGTTAGAGTTTGTGATGAATGATCATTGCATGAAAAATACTGCAAAAATGCATCAAGTGACAAATAAACAAATTGCGTAAGTATTACTAGTTTAAAGCTCTCTATAAATATACAGTCAAACCTGCTTTAAAGCAAAAACCTGTCTCAACAGGTCAACATCTTCTGGTCACACTGTAGTAGTACCTATACATTTTAATCCACAATTCTAAGGTCAGTTTTCTCTGGTTCAATTGGTGAATTTTAATATACAGATTTGACTGTATTCAAGTTTAAAGCTTTCTATTAGAATATCAGGTTTAATATTTAATCAGGTAAGTCGATTCATTTCTTTTACTTAATGTTTAATGAACAGACTTTGAGGACAGTATGGTATCATAACAGACAGCATTACGAAAATTAATCAAATGACAGATTTTTACAATGTTAATTTTTGTTACTATGTCAAAAGATACAAAAATAGAATATAAGAGCTATTGATTAGTCACCATTCTATGATAATGTACATTTATCAAGTTATTTTCCACTGGTTGCCAAGCCACTTCTCAAATACATATATCAAACATACTTATTTAAAGGATATGCTAAAATATATGTTAAACAACTTAAAAGAAAAGTAAATGAATAATATAACTGTGTGGAAAAGTGAGAAATGTTGACACAGCAACAGGGAAAGAGGGAATTTTTACTTTGTCAAAAATCTCTTATTGATTATTAAGCCTTTTTAAAGAATATCCATTATGATACAACATTTTTATTGTAGAATGTTGATAAAACATTTCATCAGAACAGGAAAAGTTGACCAGAACATCAAAAGTGTATTAGATTGTCAATCTAAACTCAGTCTGAGGATGGAACAGGTAAGTTTGACCAGAACATCAAAAGTGTATTAGATTGTCAATCTAAACTCAGTCTGAGGATGGAACAGGTAAGTTTGACCAGAATATCAAAAGTGTATTAGATTGTCAATCTAAACTCAGTCTGAGGATGGAACAGGTAACGATTATAAAAAATTGTCATGATAGAGAATTTAGTGTAATAATAATTTTATTCAAAGTAGGAATCACAAAGAGATGTGGTATGATTGCCAACGAGACAACTATCGACCAAAGTTCAAATGAAGTGGATGTAAGCAATTATAGGCAACCGTACGGCCTTCAACAATGAGAAAAACCCGCACCGTATAGGCGGCTATAAAAGGCCCCAACATGAAAAATATGAAACAATTCAACTGAGAAAACCAATGGCCTAATTCATAACAAAACAATTTACGAAAAACAAATATGACAGACATCACCCATCAACAAGCACTGAACTACAGGCTCCTGACTTGGGACATGTTTACTTTTAAATTATTTATTTACAATTTTTAGATACCAAACATGATCTAGAGCTTGACATATTGTATAGACAAATTTTTTGTTGTTGAAGACTGCATGTTGCCCTCTAGATGTCATTTGGTTATTTTTGTCATTAGCTTGTTGTCTAATTTACATATACCCCACATCTCCTTTTGTGTATTTATGGTAGTTATCGCCCCAGATACAGATAAATATCCTAGGATTCATTTCCTTCCCCCTTACTTATATTCTCCTGGATTCTATTTACATATCATATCTGAGGCAAAAAACAATGCAGATGATGGGACTGTTGATCATTGTCATGCCCTTTACCCTTAAAGCAAGTGGGCCACATTTATCTAGTATAAAACCTTAGTGTAAGAACAGTACATGTGTTATATTCATGAAAGTTTTGTTGCTTGAAAAGTCCTTTTCTTCCTTCAAATCTCAATAATAGGAATTATATCAAGGTGTTTGTCTTTGGAAATTATACACCTACTTTAATTTAATTGTAATCACCTCAAACTTTTCTCATAAACTACTAAACAGGATGACTTCTTATTTGGTCAGCAGTTTGGCAGATATGATTCTAATGCGTGAACACTTTTTGGATCTGTCAGATACCTACTTTCTGTGTGCCCATACTTTGAATTTTTCAGAAATGTTGAATACACTTAAAGATTTTCCTCAAACATTTCCCTAAAATGACTTCATATTTGGCCAGCAGCTGAACAGTGATCAGTTGTAATGTGTGTGTGCTTTGTAGATCTGTCAGACACCTACTTAGTGTTTTCAAATTCTTTGAATTAATAATGGATGTATGCTTAGCATGACAATGTGTGTGTGTGTGTGTGCATTCTTGTTTGTTTATCAAACAATTGATGTTATTGATATGGCATGTACAAATATACTATAATTGATGTCAGGTAATTTTGACAGATCTTTTATCATAATTATTCAAAAATTGCTTACTTTGTTCACTGGAGTTTGGCTCTCTTGCATTGATTCAATGAAATTGCATTCCAAATAACCACAAATGACTTACCTTTGTTGTGATTAGAGTGCAAAAACCAGTTCTTACAGGGTTTTCCATTGTAAGTTTTCGTCTGTCGTATCTCCATTTTACTAGACCTCATTTCCCACGCTTTAGTGACTGCTTATAAAAACTTCATAGTTTTTATCATGTGAATTTCTCACTTATTATGAGTAATAGGATAACTGTATTTGGTACATTGGGTCCTTGCAAGGTCTACATGTCCGTCAGAGAGTGTTCATCTGACCTTAACCTTGATCTTGGTTCATTGACAATGTTTATTTTTCCTCTCAGATACTATAAGCAAAAGGTCAGCTATATATGCATATTGAATGGTTGCAAGGTGTACATATCCGTTCAGGGCTCATCTGACCTTGACCTTATTTTCATGGTTTTGTTTTTTGTGGTAAGGGCAATTGCGCAGATACTATTAGCAATAGGTTAATTATATTTGGTCTTTGGAATCATTGTAAGGTGTGCATGTCTACCTGGTAGGGTTCATCTGAACTTGACATCATCTTCATGGTTCATTGGTCACCATAAATCATTTGTGGTAAGGTCAGTTTCTCTGATACCATTAGCAATAGGTTAACTTTATTAGGAGTAATAAATGATTGTAATGTGTACAGTTACTAACTTCTACGTCATTTGGTCTCTGGTGGAAAGTTGTCTCATTGGCAATCATACCACATCTTCTTGTTTTTATAATGTCCATCTGGCAGGGTTCATCTGATCTTGACCTCATTTTCATTGTTCATTTGTCATTAATTAGTTTTTGTGGATAGGTCAGTTTCTCAGATACTATTAGCAATAGGTCTACTATATTTGGACTATGGAATAATTGTAAGGTGTACATGTCCATCTGGCAGGGTTCATCTGACCTTGACCTCATTTAGATTTATTGTTGATAATGATAAGTGTATGTAATATTTGTAATAAAATCTTTATTCTAAAAGATGTTCAACATAAATTCAATTTTTATCAGAAAAGCATTCGTCAGCATGTGCACTCTTGTGTTATAAAAATCCATGCCATCAATACAAGATCTGCAAAAGTGCCAACATGACCGAAATCATTTAATGATACTTATAGGAGGTATTCCACTTAAATGCGATTTTTTTACTGATTTTCGAATTTTTGCCTTTTACCTAGTTAACTATAATAAACAACTAGGAAGTGTAAACAGCATAAATGATAAGCAATTCAAGATATACAAAAATGCCAAATGTCTGAAACCATTGGATGACTCCTTTGACGAGTTATTGCCCTTAAATTATTTTTAATTTTTTTTATAATGTGAATTCCTCACTAATTATGAGTAATAGGATTACTATATTTCTTATGGAAATCTTGCAAGACTTAGGTCTACATGTCTGTCAGACAGGGTTCCCTTGACCTTGGCCTCATATCATGGATCTGTGAACAAGGTAGTCTTCTTCCATGTTTTGGCCAAATTTCAGATCAGATACTAAAAACAATATATGTCAACTTTGTCTGCTGTATCAAGTGATTGCAAAGTGTACATGTTTGTTTGGCAGAGTTAGTCTGACTTAGACCTAATTTTCGTGGTTCATTGGTCAATGTTATGTTTTTGTGGTTAAGTCTGTTTCTCAGCTATTATAGGAACTGTATTTGTTGTATGGAATGATTGTATACTGAACATGTCTGTCTGACCTTTACCTTATTTGCTTGGTTCATAGGTCAATGTTAAGAATTAGTGGTTAAGTCTGTTTCTCAGATACTATAAGCAATAAGTCAACTATATTTTGTGTATAGAATGGTTTTAAAGAAGTGCATGTCAGTCTGGAAGGGTTCATCTGACCTTGACCTCATTTACATGGATCATTGATAATATTAAGATAATAGGATACTTGTTTTAAATATTTATCTTAAAAACTTTAAATATATGAATTCAATCATGCTCAGTTAAGCAGGCAAGATATTTCAGCATGTGCTGTTAATAAGAGGAAAACAATCTAATATGGGAAGTTAGAAACCCCCTTAATGTCCCTTGAGATATCGAACAGCCATGTTTTTTTGTTTCAAGTTACTTTATAGATTACATTATAATCAACTACATAATTTTTTTTTTTTGTATTTATATATTATTAAAGAATTGTATATAAAATGTTTTTAAATTCCAATCATATCAAAGATATGTTTTACTTATATACATTATAGATGGTGAAGAGATGTACTGATTTATTATGCAGACTGAAAATAGAAGTGATTCCATCTATAACCGGGCAGCCAGTGGAAGCCAGTCTAAGGACCATGCAGGTTGCACTACAGCCCAGATCATCATCATTCCACCCTATGACATTGACAAGTCTGAAATCTGAGTAAGTGAAATAGCCATTATATTAATCTTTACTTCACCAAATGATATTAAAGTAATTCAACCTTGATCATCTTACAGTTTTATTAGTTTTCCTTGACATAAAGGTCCATGTGAGATATTACCATCACTTTGCATCCATCTTCGTCTTTCATTGGCATAAACGTAAAAATCTTATCTGAAACCACTTAACAAGTTTTAAACACAATAATGAGTACATAAAATCATTATAAGTACATATTTATCTGACCTTTACCATGTTTTCCAAAGAAATTATTTTTAATATTGTTTTAAATTTCAATTTAGGAGGTGCAACTTTCTGATATGTAAACTCTTAATAAAAAAAATACAGAAAACTTGAATTATACCCCCACTCTAGGTTTTGGGTTTATATTGCATTCGCCTAATCTGTCTGTTTGTCATTTAGATTGTCCAACAAATATTTTCATCACATTTTCTCCGGTGCAACTGTTTGACGATACTTTGGAAGTTTTCAATATGTTGACTGAACTTTAAAATTTTCATCACACTACTGAAAAGAATGAATTTTTATCTAGTCAGGAGCTTAGCAGTAATGAGTTGTAATTTTGGAGCTCTTTTTGGATGTGTCAGACACCAACTTCCTGTTTACCGATACTTTGCATTATTCAACATGACTTGAAAGAAAGTTTTTTATGACACTTTTCTCAAGTTCTACTGAAAAGAAAGACTTTATATATTTAGTCAGTATATGGGCAATGGTGAGTTGTAATGTGTGAGCATATAACTTTTATTACTTTTCTTGCAGCTTTCAAATTCTACAAAATGATAGCATACAGATAGAAAGTATAATGAGACACCATGCTGAAGAGTTGGAGGCACAAGCTAATAATTTAAAAGAACTCAGGTAAACAAATTAAATTTTTTGGAATAAAAACAAATGTGGGTAATATGTTACTGAAATGGCAACCCAACAAGACAAAAAAAAAAGAAAATATTTAGAGGTGGATATAATATCATAGTCTTAACCACTCTTCAATGCTTTGTGCTTTGGACTGAAGGAGCAAATACAACTTTGTATTTAAGTCCATTGCTTGATTTGCCAAGGTTCAAATCTACAAACTACACCACTGGAGATTTTAAAAAATAATGACTTTATTTTAATGAATATAGTTTCCAAGCAGAAATGCTACCAGCAAGTTTTCATATAGCTATTAAATAAATGTTTGAAATTTCATAGATTTTGGTCCCTGTACTTTGTCGTACCTATTATTGAAGAAACAAGTTCAACATGTAAATTTTCAAATGATGATTTATAGATGAAAGTAGCTCCACAAACAATAATAGATTTGTAGAAAAAAGTCTTAAAAAAAAATCTTATGATATAATTTCAAATTCACTAATGGCTTCCTTTCGCAAACTTTAATTAGTCATGTGCAGTACATTTAATGCAATTGTTCACTTAAATGGTATTTTTATTATTTCAGTGAAAATTTACCAAAACCAGACTCATTTGAGACAGGTGTTCAAGCATCATCAGATAGTTGACAAAGGCTTAAATTTAGTTAATTAGGCTTTATCAAATTTGCTTTTTAAATTTACCTGTCAAACAACATCAGCTGTTACATGAAAATGGTTCACCACATTCCACTTAAAGAATCTGTGATATTATAAGAGATATTAAAAGTGCTACAGTCCCACAAGGATCATCAGTGACATCTGTTAATATCTCATCAAAATTAGACATTGCTTTTTAATTGTGAATATGGAAGCTCTAATCATCACTGCCAAATAGAAACTGAGCTTCCATTAAAAAGTTACTCTGTTCTGAAGCAAATGTTTTAAAATACATTTGCGTAACATGAGAAAGGCCATGGAGTATATGGTCTTTCACTGTAAAAGACATTTCTGTGTATGAATTTATTTGTGCAACTACATGTGAACATAGTTATTGACTACTGAGGCAAAATGATGACAATGTTCATGAAAATATTTCACTGCAACACTATATGTGTGTGTTTTTTTTTTTTTTTTTTTTTATATATATATATTTAACAAGGAGAACTCTAAGGAGTTATCCAAATATTTGAAGAAACAAAGAATTTATTGTTGGAAAAAATAGTTTTAATTCATCTAGAAAAGATTTTGTATAAACAGTAATAAACTGCATAGAATGGAATAAATAGACTTGTGAAAACTTGGAAAATAAGCATTAGGAAAATTGACAATTACATTGATATGGTGTATAGAAAATAAAAATTATTCTGGAATATTAAACACAAGAAGTAACAGGCAAAAAAAGATCATCAACAATTAAGTGTTTAACAAGGAAAATGGTTGTGTCAAAAACAACACAGGATAACATATAGAATCTAGAGAGAACAGTTGTGTGTTTATATGGTATGTCCGCAGAACAGCAACAGAAATGTCATTGAGGAAAAAAATGTTCATGGTTTTCCACAGTGTAAAACAGTTTAAAAAAAACATTTATTAGTTTTTATGACAGCAGATAGATAAAGAATATCATTGTTCAGATTCAAGGACCTTGATCAGCAAAACTGCATTGAGAACAAATGTCTACATTACAACAACAGCAGATGCTTAACTTTGAGTTACGTTTCAATCTAAACTAGTTCCAGAGACCTAACTTATAGCAAGGTTAAGAGTAATGAATTGTAGTAAAGTGTTTTTGGATACAGAAAAAAATGACGGAAACCAATACTGGCATCTTATTGTGGGCTGTCTGATGATTGATATTGTTATATACTGGTAGCTTATACAAATGGGGTAGAGCTATAGTCAAGGTTTGCTATGGAACAATTTTATTATATAGATGATAAGGATGGACAGACAGCATTGAATTGGGCTTCCATAGGAATGAAGATGTAAGAAAATTGCTTGATAACTTTACTGGCATCAAGAATGGACAGATAACATTGTTTGTGGTTTTCAAAAGAGGTCATATAGATGTAATGAGTTTCAACATTGTTTTATACTTATACTGGCATCATACTGTGGGCAGTGAAAGGGTTGTCACCTTTACATATTTTATAATGAAGTGTAGAGTTATAGTCAAACTTATCTGAGAACAATGATAATGTAAGGAAAATATAAATAATGGACAGGCAATATAATTGGTGGCTTACACAGGAGGTCATTGTATTGAAACCTGACTTGCTTGATGACAACCTTGATATTAGCATTGAAGGAAAGAACTTTGTTATTTAATGTGTCTTATACAGGAGTTCATACAGATAGAGAGGAATTGTTACTGGAGAAGATCACTAATGTTGATGTTATAATGACTTGTAATCTCCTCTGTATGAGGTTAACAGGATTTCATATATAGATTTGACAAGGACACAGTTTCACCATTGTTTTATGCTTATACAAGAGGTCATAAAAATACAATGAATTTGCTGCTAAAGAAGATGATATGACAGTGGATGAAGATATAATGAAAGCCTTTCAATAAGGAAACAAACCTGATGACACAAGTGTCACTATTGTATGTGGCTTATACAAGGGTTCATGAAAATAAAGTGAAACATAGAATGTGCTGTTGAGAAAACAAAATATTACCATTGAAGAAGGATAGACATCAGGATTATTCCTTGCACCGGTTATCGTAGGACATGGAATACTTTTGTAGATGAAGTGAAACTATTATTAAAGAATAATTTCAACTATTCAAAATGTGACTTACTAGCATTGTCACCAACATAGATGGCTTTTATAATTCTATACTGATATACAGAGTCCATATAATCCGCAAAATTACAGATAATTATTGCTATGAGAAAAATACTACCGGCTGTGTTCTGTCAAATTACATTAGTGCATTTTGACTGTGACAACATGAATGCTTATAAAAAATATCAGAACAGCAAATAACTTCTTTGAAAGAAAAACCATTAAAAATACCTTGTGGTTTAAGATTTTTATACCTTATTTATATATTTGGAACTGATCAAATGCATTCAGTTTGTAACGGAATTGCTTGGATGGAAAAACTTACAGAAATGTATTTTGCTGAGCAGAAACTTCTCACAAAAATTTAATTTGCTATGATTGAAAAGCTTACAGAAATGTAATTTGATGAGATTGAAAAGCTTCCAGAAATGTAATATGCTGAGACGGAATAGCTTCCAGAATTATAATTTACTAAGACAAAAGCTTATAGAAATGTACTTTGCTAAGACGGAAAAGGTTACAGAAATGTAATTTGCTTAGATGAAACATCTTACAGAATTTGATTTGTTAGACAGAAAAGCTTAAAGAAATGTAAAAGATCATATAATAGATTTTATCAGTTGCATAAATAGAAATATTGTATAGAAGTCTTTTCAAAAAGTCATTAGATATTTTGTTATGCCAGACATATCGAAGTACCTAGAAAGGAGGTCAGATAAACTGTAAGAATAGCTGATCTGAAAGACAATCTGCCTAACCAATATTATAATTTTTTGCAGTTTGTGATCTTTTCTGTCCAATATTTGGTCAAGCACCTTGCAAAAGCATGACTGTCTGAACCATAATTTGCCGGACATGTCAGACATTGGGACAGATTTCGATATCTCTGTTTTCATTATTGTACTAAAAATATAGTAAACTGTATAGTTTTTACTTTAACAGTATATATGTATATATAGATATATGTATTTTTCTCACTAGAAAAACAGCTTTTACATCTGAATTAAGTGTAATTCAATATTTCTCCACTCATGACAGTTAAATTATTTATATGAAATCTTTTTTTTTAGATTAGACGATCTCGAGTGTAAAAATTTTTATTGCTCAATGCAGTGATAAAATCTATTCCTCTCAAGATAGTTTAATCTAAAAAAAATTCATGTTAAAAATTTATCTGTCATGAGTGGAGAAATATTGAATTACGCTTAATTCAGATGTAAAAGCTGTGTTTCTAGTGAGAAAGTACATCTATCAGTTGTACAATTAATCAACAAAGCATATCATGTCACAGTCATGCAGTATAACATATTTTTTTGGTGGGTTTGACATAATTAAGTCATTTGCGTCTCTATATACAGGGGTTATTATAAATGTATTTAATTATTTAATTCCATTCTTGAAAAGGGTTTATATCTTTTTTGTACAATATTGTTTTTATTTATATTTGAATCTTGAAACGCTATCAAAAATGATGAAAAAAGGTAAATTCTTTAATATTTATAGAATGTAGCATGGGTCTGTGTAGAGATATTTTTTTGTAATTGATGACTGTCAAAATAATCTGATATACAGCAGCAATCGTTTAACTTGAATCATGACCATCTTTTAATCGTTTCATTAATTTCCAAGGCTAATAAAACCCATGCTCCCCGATTTGACTTATGCTCCATTACACAACAAAATAAATGACAATGTACAAAAATGATTGTAATAAAATATAAAAATGATAATCTGTTTCCAGAATATTTGTCTCTATTGGAGATAAAATAATGTGTGCAATAATTGTGTGCCAGAATATTGCACCCTTGAAAATATGCTGAAATATATTTTTCTTACTTTTAACTTCCATCTGAAGATTTGTCATATTATGCAATTATTGTTATATATTTCATTCATCCTTTCCTGAAACTCCTATTCAGTTGATATGCAAAAGAGGTCTTTGACTTCTCAAAATCAAGGATTTTACACCTCTGAACACTCAGCTTATGGGCCCTAGACTCTTGACTGAGTAAAATCTTCATCTGAAATTAAGGCTTATTTACGGCCATGTAGATAGTTATGATTGAAGATAAATTGTACATATTGATGTTTTTATTGTAATTACACTAGATTTCTTGGTAGTTTCACTAATTAAGTAATTTTGTTTTAGATTTAATTAGTTCTTTAAGACTTTTCTATAATCCTGTCTTATGTTGTTTTTTATTATGATCATGTATATTGTTTACCATTGTAACTCTTAACATTAATTTCCCATTACTTTATTAGCTCATTTGGCCTAAAAGGCCAAGTGAACTTTTCTCATCACTTTGCGTCAGTCTTTGTCCATCGTCCTTTTTTTTTTTACAAAAAAATCTTCTCCTTAGAAACTTCTTGGCCACAATCATCATTGGGGTATCTAGTTTTAAAAATGCATCCGATGACCCACGCATGCCAACCAACATGGCTAAAAATAGTACATTGGGGTAAAATGCATATTTGGTCTTTTATATTGAAAACTGCTATAAATGGAGAAAATCTGAAAGATGCAGGATTGTTCAAAATGATGTGATCTACCTATTGTATATTCATTTCAAAACTGTCAGACAACTTCTTATAGGAGTTATTGCCCTTAAATGACAAATTTTACCACAAATTTTCATTTTTGCCTAATATCTGAAAAATTATAATAGATAGAGAGTAACTTTTTTTACTAAAAATGATCAGCAAGACAAGATCTACAAACAAGTCCAATGGTGGAAATCGTCAGACGCTCCTTATTGGAGTTACTGCCCTTTAATGATGATTTTCATCAATTTTTGGCGTTTTTGTCATATATCTGGAACACTATATTAGATAGATAGAAACTAAGATAAGCAAAAATGATCAGCAAGACAAGATCTACAAATAAGTTTGCAATCTTGAAATTCCCCGACAACCCCTTATTGGATTTATTGCCCATTGATAATGATTTTTACCATTTTTATACGCCCGTTTACGGGACGTATTATGGTATACCGTTGTCCGTCCGTCGTCAACATGTTGGACATACACTCAAAAACGCTTTAACCAATTTGCATAAAACATTGGTGAATTGTTTATATCTATTGACGTGAGCTCCCTTTCGTTTTTTATAAATTTTAGATTTTAAGTTTCCGAGTTATGGGGTTTTATTCATTAAAAAAAGGGTTTTTTTCCAGTTTTCGGACAATAACTCAAGAATGCTTTCACCAACTTGCAAGAAATTGTGGTGAATTGTTTATATCTATTGACATGAGCTCCCTTTTTGATTTTTATATATTTTAGATTTTACGTTTTCGAGTTACAGGATTTTATTCATACAAAAAGGGGGATTTTCCAGTTTTCAGACAAAAAATCAAAAATGCTTTCAGCAGTTCTTATGAAACTTTGGTGAATTGTTTATATCCGTTGATGTAAGCTCCATTTAGAATTTTATAAATTTTACATTTATATTTCTGAGTTATGGGGTTTTATTCATTAAAAAAGGGGGGATTTTCCAGTTTTCGGACAATAACTCAAAAATGCTGTCAGCAATGCTCATGAAACTTTGGTGAATTGTTTATATCTATTGATGTAAGCTCCCTTTTCATAAATTTCTAATATGACATTGAGAATTAATTGAACTTTAATTGTTTATAGTCTGACAACAGATTTACTAAGTATTGTGCACCACCACAGTGTATTGCACAACAGCAAGAAATCTTTAATTGAATATAAATTCAATTCATATAACCAATTTCAAGTTCTTTGACTACATTTATTCAGAAACCTATAATATGTCAAATATCTAATACAATCCAAATTCAGACCTGTATCAAGCTTGAATATTGTGTCCATTTTTGCCCCAACTGTTCAGGGTTGGACCTCTGGGAAGCAGTTTTTTTTGCATATTTGCCTACTATCTTGAAAACTATAAAAGATGGATAGAAACTTTAAATAGCAAAAATGATCAGCAAGACAAGATCTACAAACAAGTAAAGTTTTGCTGAAATTTTTTTTTAGTGATGGCCTTGCATGATATTTTTTACCGTTTTTATTGTGCTTTGGACAAAAACACAATAAAATAGAGAGAAACTACACAGAATAAAATGATCAGCAATACAAGATCAACAAAAAAAAAATAATTTTGTAATGAATTCTATTCTGGTCTACAATGTTGGAGAGAGTCCATTGTTGAAAATGCTCATAGACCTAGGTGAGTGACACAGTCTCTTCAGAGCCTCTAGTTTATTAAGTCATCTCCCAATATCTAATATGACCAGTTAACAGATATGAACACTACACAATTCTTAATTTCATTTGAAGATTACATATTTACATTTCAATCATATTGTTAAGTTTTGCCTATATAGGGTTTGTGTCCAATTCAAATTCATTGAAATTCATTTGCTATGTTGTTTTGTTTCTGATTTTTGAAAATTTGTAAACTTAAGTATGTGTAATCTGCATGTGAAATAAAGGTGACTAAAGAATTATGTTGATGATTGTGAATTGCTTATGGTAAACAACTATGCCATATGATTAAACATTATATTGTGTCAAGTGCAATATTGAGAGGAAATACTTAAGAACTAAATGCTTCTGGATTCAGTTTTATTGGGGTGTAAAAGAATTGACCATAGCACATTTGTATGAAGCACTGAAACATTTTATAGTAAAAATGACCTCAGTCAATGCTACTACAACCCTTCAATCCTTTTAATTATTTATTAATTAAAAGCGTGTGCACCCTGATATGTCTTGTCTGCTTTAATGATCATGATCAATTTATGTTGATAGTTTTTACAGTGAAGGTTTTACTACAAGTATCACAAACATTACATTATCAAAGATGCATGTAAATGAGGTCAAGGTCTGACGAACTCTACCAGATAGACATGTACATCTTATAATCATTCATTATACCAAAAATTGTTATCCAATTGCTTGAAGAAACAGACGAAATCATGAAAACTTAACATTGACCAATGAACCCTGAAAATGATGTCAATGTCAGATGATACCTGCAAGACAGATATGTATACCTTACAATCATTCTGTCAACGTAAATTTGTTCCGCCTAACAGAAGTTCCAATGGAAACTTTGTTATAAACAAAGTCATAATATCTGTTCCTGTTGGAACAAATATTCTTTACCATTTATTCCGTTAGGAACATATACTGTAACATTTATTCCAGTGGAAATAATATTCCAGAATATTTTTTCCATTTGGAACTTGTATTATGAAGGAACTTCTATTCTGTGACAATTCCATACAACAAATACAGTTGACCTGTTGCTTTGAGAAACAGACAAAAACACAAAAACTGATCATTGACCTACAAACCATAATAAAATGCTCCGCTGGGCGCAGCTTGATACGACCGCAGAGGTCGAACCCTGAAAGTTGGGGTAAGTATGGACACAACATTCAAGCTTGATACAGCACTGAATTTGGATTGTGATTAAATATTTGACACAGCATAGGTTTCTGACACAGAATGAATGTGGTCTAAGAACTTAAAAAAATTTATTTACCTATTCAAACCATATCATTATTATTTGCTTTTATATACATGATATATAAATCAGAAATAACCAATTTAAAATGGAAAATTTTAAAGAAAAAAAAATGAAAAAAAATCCCCCCCCAAATTTTTTAAACCCCCTTATGATTCATCACCCCAAACTCAATCCCAGCCTTCCCTTTGTGGTATGGTACCTTACAGTACAATTTCAGATCCATACATTTGAACACAAGTTATTGTCTGGAAACTAGAAAATGCTTGTTTTTTGGCCCCAAATTCCTAAACATTTAGGGCAATTACCCCCAAACTCAAACCCAGCTTTCCCTTTGTGATATGGAACCTTGTAGTACAATTTCATAAAGATCCATACACTTACACACAAGTTATTGTCCTGAAACTAGAAAAATGCTTGTTTTTTGCCCTTTTTTGGCCCTTAATTCCTAAACTTTTGAGGCAATTACCCCTAATATCAATCCCAGCCTTCCCTTTGTGGTATGGTACCTTGCAGTACAATTTCAGAGAGATCCATAAACTTGAACACAAGTTATTGTCAGGAAACTAGAAAAATGCTTATTTTTGGCCCCTTTTTGGTCCTTTATTCCTAAACGTTTTGGGTAATTACCCCCAAACTCAATTCCAGCTTTCACTTTGTGATATGGAACCTTGTAGTACAATTTCAGAAAGATCCATACACTTACACACAAGTTGTCATGAAACTAGAAAAATGCTTGTTTTTTGCCCCTAATTCCTAAAATTTTGAGACAATTACCCCCAAAATCAATCCCAGCATTCCCTTTGTGATATGGAACCTTGTGGTACAATGTCAGAGAGATCCATACACTAACACACAAGTTATGTCTGGAAGTTACAAAAATGCGTATTTTTGGCCCCTAATTCCTTAACTGTTGGTACCATAACCCCCAAAATCAATCCCAACCTTCCTTTTGTGGTATTGAACCTTATGGTAAAATTTCATAGAGATTCATTCACTTAAACTAAAGTTAGAGTGCGAAAACCAATGTGTCTTCGGACGACAACGACACCAAGGTCAGATGAAACCCACCAATGGGACATGTATCCCTTACAATCATTCTATAAACCAAATATTGTTAACCTACTGCTTATAGTATCTAAGAAACATAATTTTAACCTTCATCACTGATACATGAAATGAGTATAAGAAACAGACAAAAACACTTAACATTGACTTGTAAACCATGAAAATGAGTTCAAGGTCAGGCTTGGCTTACATGCAGACATATCAAGGGTCTTACATACCAAATATAATTATCCTTTTACTTATAACAAGTAAGAAATTCACATGACAAAAAAACTAAAGTTTTTTTAAGCAGTCACAGAACCATAAAAATGAGTTCAAGGACAATAGATATATGACAGAGGGAAACTTCATATCATAAGGCATCTTTTTAAATTGTATTAGAGCATCCAGGTCTTCTACCTTCTGAAATATAAAGTATATACAAATAGTTTGTATTATCGCCAGATTAGCATACCTGTCTTGCATTCTTTGATTTTCGTAGAAGACCAGACAAAAAATTAAAGAACCTTAGTGAGCACCGTTGCATGGGGTATAATAATTGCTTTCGATAGTTCTGTTTTTATCCAATAATGGTAAAATGAAAGATCCGTTGTGAGCATGCACACATACCACAAGCTCTCACATTGTCACTTGGCAAAGAAAGTCTCACCAAGTTCTTAAGTTCAAAGACTAAAAACTCCTAAAAAAGTAAACTGATGAAAATTTCTTGTGGATATGCACATCTACACACTATGTCCTCATTAACTACAAAGTTTCTTGGAATTCTGTTGTATGGTTTCAGAGGGGTTGCACTGACAAACTGTTGCAGTAGTATATTTAGGTCAAAATTCTAAGTTCAAAGGGACATAAATCCTAGAATAACCATTTTTTTAATCATAATTTTCTGTTGATATGCACATCTAAATTATATGTCATTAACTACAAAGTTTCATGAAATTCTGTTGTGTGGTTTCAGAAATTCAGAGTAGTTGCACTGACAAACTGTTGCAGCAGTATATCAAGGCAAAAAATTCTAAGTTCAAAGGGCATAACTCCTAGAAAAACAATGTGTCGTCCATTTATTTGTCCTGCTCATTGTATCCCCTTGATTTTCATGTAACCCAAGGACACAATAACCAAAAGGTCAATATACCATCTTGAACAACCGACAAAGTGTCTATACAATACTAGCTACATAGTATGTCAAGCTCTATATCTAAAATATTTGTAAGGGGTTCCGTGGAACCCTGTGTCTCGCCTGCAATTGCTAAATTGTAAAGTTGATTTGGAAAGAGTCCATTTATCAGTAAAATAGAGAATTTAAAAAAAATTCAAACTTTTTCTTTAGATGCTCTTTCTTGGTCTTGAAGATTAGCTTCAGTCCAAGTTTCATAACAATCAAGGTTTACAAATTAATCATGTCAAAAAAATTTAATCCCAGACTGTCTAAATGTTATTTGTAAAAAACAAAGTCCATCTATTAGAAAAATACTAAAAATGAAAAAAATATATTTTCATAGGTTTGCTTGAGAAATTATCTCTTAATCATTCAAAAGCTTCTGCCAAAGTCTCATAAAACTCTATGAAGGTTTGACAAAGTAATTAATCTGTGTAACAAACTTTAACCCCAGACTGTATCTACTTGTTAACAGTAAAAACACTAAGTCTATTCATCAGACTGCATCTATTTGTTAAATGTAAAAAAATACTAAGTCCATTTATCAGTTAAAAACAGAAAAATGAAAATAAATATTTTTAAAATGTTGCTCAGAATAATATATTTTGGTTACAACTAAGCTTTTGTCCACATTTCCTAATTTTCCATGAAGGTTTGACATAGTTATTGATGACTGAAAAACTTTAACCTCAGACTGTATCTACATGTACTTGTTAACTGTAAAAAAAAACTTAATTATAGAATAACTAATCGAAGAATACAAATAGAGAAAAATATTCAACGAGTGACCGAACAACACATTAATTCACGAATGCGCGTAGCGCATAAGTTAATTATTAGTGTTGTTCTGTCACGAGTTGAATATTTTTTTATATTTGAACTCTTTGATTAGTTATTCTTTTTATTACATTGGCAAATGGCTTTTTTTTTTATGAAATTAAAGTAGAAAATGTAAGGAACTATATCTTTTTCTACGCATTCACAATTTGTTTTGATCCGACGTTATTGACGTCTTGACAATGCCTATTGTTGTATGACATACGCGCGTCAGAGGAGTGAAATAACCATGTTTATTTCACATGTGAAATTATCGGTTTTTATTTCACTGGGAAATCAATGTAATTCATTGCAACCAATGTAATAAGTCCATTTATCAGTAAAATACGGAAAAATGAAAATAAATGTTTTCAAAATTTTGCTGTGGATACTTTCTTTTGGTCATAACCAAGCTTCTATCCAATTTTCATAAATTTCCTTGACAGTTTTACAAAGTTATTGATGACTAAATCACTTGAATCTCAGACTAAATATGAATGTTAACTTTAAACTAAGTCCATTTATCAGTAAAATACAGAAAATTTAAAAAAAAAATATTTTCAAAATTTTGCTCTGGACACTGTATTTTGGTCATAAACAAGCCTCTGTCCTAATTTCATAAAATTCCATGTAGCTTTGACAAAGTTATTGATGTCTAAAAAAAACTGTAACCACAGACTGAACCTAAATGTTGCTGACGTCGTTGACGGAATCTAGGATCGCAATGTCTCGCTTTTGCGAAATAAATTTTGCAGGCTCGACAAAAACTGAGAATAAGTTAAACAGAAACAATATGATCTGCCACCTACACTCAATTCTCCAAAATACATTAAGCAACAGTCAATCAATCAATCAAAGATGAAAATTCATAGAACAATTGTTTTTGAAACTGAATAAAAAAAAACTGATCCTGTTTTTCATGTTTAATAGTTTTAAACAAAAAGGTTTAACTGTATAACAAATTGGACCATCTCAGGGTTTGTAATCAGATAATACTTCAATTCACTCTTCTGTAGTGGGAGATAAAAACTAGAGGCTCTAAAGAGCCTGTGTCGCTCACCATGGTCTATGTGCATATTAAACAAAGGACACAGATGGATTCATGACAAAATTGTGTTTTGGTGATGGTGATGTGTTTGTAGATCTTACTTTACTGAACATTCTTGATGCTTACAATTATCTCTATCTATAATGAACTTGGCCCAGTAGTTTCAGTGGAAATTATTTTGTAAAAATTTACAAAATTTATGAAAATTGTTAAAAATTGACTATAAAGAGCAATAACTCCTTAAGGGGTCAATTGACCATTTTGGTCACGTTGACTTATTTGTAGGTCTTACTTTGCTGTACATTATTGCTGTTTACAGTTTATCTCTATCTATAATAATATTCAAGATAATAACCAAAAGCTGAAAAAATTTCTAAAAATTACCAATTCAGGGGCAGCAACCCAACAACGGGTTGCCTGAATGGTCTGAAAATTTAAGGGCAAATAGATCTTGACCTAATGAACAATTTGGTTTTGAAAGATTTGCTCGAAATGCTTTGGGTTTAGATATATGAGCCAAAAACTGCATTTTACCCTATGTACTATTATTAGCCATGTCAGCCATCTTGGTTCATGGGCGGGGTCATCAGACACAATTTTTAAACTACATACCCTAATGACCATTGTTTACAACTTTGGTTAAATTCATCTTAGTAGTTTCAGAGAAGATTTTTGTAAAAGATAACAAAAATTTACGAAAAATTGTTAAAAATTGACTATAAAGGGGCAATAACTCCTTAAGGGGTCAACTGACCATTTTGGACATCTTGACTTATTTGTAGAACTTACTTTGCTGAACATTATTGCAGTTTACAGTTTATCTCTATCTATAATAATATTCAAGATAATAACCAAATACGGCAAAATTTCCTTAAAATTACTAATTCAGGGGCAGCAACCTAACAATGGGTTGTCCGATTCATCTGAAAATTTCAGGACAGATAGATCTTGACCTGATAAACATTTTTACCCCATGTCAGATTTGCTCTCAATGCTTTCGTTTCAGAGATATAAGCCAAAATCTAAATTTTACCCCTATGTTCTATTTTTAGCCATGTCGGCCATCTTGGTTGGTTGGCCGGGTCACCGGACACATTTTTAAAACTAGATACCCTAATGATGATTGTGGCCAAGTTTGGTTAAATTTGGTCCAGTAGTTTCAGAGGAGAAGATTTTGGTAAAAATTTACAGACGAGGGACGATGGACGCCAAGTTATGAGAAAAGCTCACTTGGCCCTTTGGGCCAGGTGAGCTAAAAATACATAATTTACATAAGCCAATAGGCCAGTAAAAGGACCTATGCAAGACACAACTTGTCATGATTGGCAAAATCAAATGTTTAAAAAAAAAACTCATAACAGGTAAAGTTTTCCTTTATACCCATCTCAACATAAAGCATAAGGCTCTAAAGAGCCCATGTCGCTCACCTAGGTCTATGTGCATTTTCAACATTGTAGACTGCTGTTTACAGTTTCTCTCTATCTTATTTAGTTTTTGCCCAAACACAAAAGAGGGTAAAAAAAAATAACTTCAATAACCAGTCTACAGAAGAAATCAGCTATTGGACTTATTTGTAGATCTTGTCTTGCTGATCATTTATGCTGTTTATAGTTTCTACCTAGGCCAAAAAATAAATTTAAATTGTCTGATGTTGCCTGCATTCCCACCTGAATTAGCAGAAAGCAGCCTATTAGAAAAAAATTTATGACACAAATTGTCTCATTTTTTTTTAAAGATTTTTTCCTGCTCTGTTGTTTTTTTTTTTTGTCTTAATGCTGTAGGTCAAAAAAAAATAAAATCCCTACCTTCCTACCCACCCAACCCTAGAAGGCAAGGGTAGGCAACATCAAACAAAGAATATCTTAAAGGTGTCCCTATCTTTAGTAGTTTTTCAGATTTTAGGCAAATCCCAAAAAATGGTAAAAATTGTCATTAAAGGGCAATAACTCTATAAGGAGTTGATTGACCATTTCCATTATCTTTGACTCATTTGAAGATCTTGTCTTACTGATCAGTTTTGCTGTTCAAAGTTTCTATCTATTATAGTTTTTCAGATAAAAGGTAAAATGGAAAAAAAGTAGTAAAATTCATCATTTTAGGGCAATAACTCCAATAAGAAATTGTCTGACAGTTTTAACGTAAAAAGATAATAGGTTAAGCTCAACATTCTGAACATTTTTGTCCCTGTCAGATTTTCTCTATTTATAGCGATTTTCAAAATAATAGACAAAACTTTCATTTTACCCCTATGGTCTATTTTTAGCCATGTCAGCCATCTTGGTTGGCAGGCTATGTCATCGGACATATTTATAATTCATAAATTAGATACCCCAATGATGATTGTGGCCAAGTTTGGTTAAATATAGCTCAGTAGTTTCAGAGGAGATCATCTTTGTAAAAGTTAAAGGACGATGACAGATGCGAAGTGATGGGAAAAGCTCACATAGCCCTTCAGTAAAAAGTAAACTGAAATATTAAAGTAAATGTTATGTCTTGTTAATCTTTTGATTATCTGGATGATATACATTTTTTCACCTACATTATATTGTTCTATGTATTTTGGTAACTGATCTCAATGTTAATACCTCAACTTCTTTGCACAAAATGAAAAACTCATGTTTCGTATAAATATGGTAAATAAACAAGATAAATCTGATGATATCATTTCAAACTGAAAGTAAAAAATGTTTAAATCTTAGTACAATAATGTCAAACAAGACATGTGTCAAATATTTGATGTTTAGTTTGTTGTCCAACTTTATAAGATTTGATGCAACATTCAAACAATGGTCTATCCGAAGAACACAACTGGTCCAACTCATCGCGGATTTCATGCCACAAACTTTCCTTTGACAACAAGTCTATTGGTTCAACATCTCGGAAAAATGTTATGGCTTCACTAGTGCATAATATAATAATCAAACTCCCGGTTTCATCTGTCACCTTCATTCTTAACATATAAATGTATTCTAAAATAATGTCTGATCTCCTGCATTTCTCCGATTTCCCTTCTTCACATTTAGGACAAAAATAATGGTTTATCCCACCATGCTTTTTCTGTAATGACAAAGAGTCTGATCTTCCTTTTTCAGGAATAGGACAAAGATAATTACAAGTTTTACAATGTAATTTGAGAAATCCTGAAGCAGTTTTAGCATGAGGAAAATAGTCTTCAATATGTCCCATAATTCTATATTTATAAGGAACATCACCATGAAGAACATCTTTGATCTTAGAGACCTTGACAAGGGGATGACCCAGAATGACTGTGACTGTCTGCTGCATACAACGAGATCCACTACTTGAATAATTTTGTGATGAGTTTACATTCTCTCTCTGATCATGAACATCAACTTCCATCTGTTGATTTTCAATATCATTTTCCCCACATGACTTTTGTTCGCTTTCTTTATATGACTTTTGTTCATCAATAGAAGTTGAAGTAACAGCATCAATATTATCATTGTTACCACTATTGTTCAGTAATTCAGAAAAAGGGTTGGGTCTTTTTAATTCAGAAGTCTTGACTGGTCCTAATGAAAATGTTTGGTTGTTGTATTTAGATGTGGATGGTTTCTGGGAGTTGTCAATCACTCTTTCTGGATGTTCATCAGAAATCTTTACTGTCTTTTTATTTTTGTAAGATTTTTCACTTGTTATGGTCCTTGTTAAATTACTTATACTTTGCAAGTGTTCTTCCAAAATTTTGTCATCAGCAGACACACAGCCTCTTCCAAATGAATTTCCTCTGTGTAAGATAAGTTCTATTGTTGGAATGTCTGTGGAAACTGTGTTGGCAGTTTTATACACAGCAGCATGTAGATTGATCAACTTTATAAAATCTCCTGGCTGAAAAATACCAAATTTATAACAATTTATTAGTAAGTCTGAATTTTGAAAAATTCCAAATGAAAAAGCAATATTATGCTGCATCAGAAACATGAAATACTATTCAAACTGTATTATTCTATTCTATACACAGATTTTGAATATCATAAACGACATCAACTTTTTCAATTTGTTTCAATTTTTTCTGTTGGATAACTGTAACAAAGAGCTAAACAATCATAATTATTCATGTTTTAACATGGTTAAGCCAAAAAATCAGTCTGATCAAAAATTAATATAGCAGGTGTGCAACTTCATTCCCTGTTAAAGAACCTTGGCTAGTTTGGTTGCATTTTGTCTAGCCTTTTTCAAGGAGTTGGGGATTAACAAACTGATATAAGAAGAAATGGGTAAGTTCTATGTTTGAATATGGGAAACCCCTAAAATTTGTTCAGATCAAAATTAAAATAGCAGATGCATAACTACATGTCATGTGGAAGAATCTGTGATATTTTGTCACCTATTATCAAAGAGTTGCAGATTAAAAATTTTATATTTTTAAAACAGAAGTTCATGTTCTGGTATTGGAAACACCAATAATCATAAAAAGACAAATAACAAAATAAGAATTGTGGGTGCACAATTTCATGTCCTGTGGAAGAATATCTGCAGGTTAATTTCAATTCTATTCATCTGCAAGGAGTTACTGATTAACATAAAGTGTTACATGCATGACAACACAGAGGACGACATAAGACAGAAGTGATCACTGTGGCGCTAGTGACAGCTGAATGCAACACTATAAAGATTACTTTCTTAGTTCCTAACCTTAAAATACTTGTGACTTATACCTTAATATGTTCCTTTGCTTTGTCACAATGATCATCATATAGTGCTATGTCTACCATAAATCCATCAGCTTTCTTAAACAATTCCTGGTCACATGATGGTAACAGTTCTTCGTCAAATTCAAACTTTCTTAGCTGACTGAAATACAAAAGAAATTTAACACATTTTCTAAGCTGACTTTTTATAAGATACTGTGAATTCTTTATTTTCATTTTGTGGATTCAGTAAAAAATTCTAATGCAATTTTTATGTAACAATTTTTTTCATTGGCTAAAAGTTACCGTCAAATCCACAGTTGACCAGTCGTAACTAAGGAGGGACCCGCCATTTTGAATTCATGGATCAAAAAATGTTCGATTACTACAATATTATCGAAAATAAAACAACACCTACCTCAAAATCGCCGTTTTGATGTGATTTTATCCAAATTTGAATCGTAGAAGTAACGAAATAACCTTCAGTTTGTAAGTTTTCATTTGTATGACGTCATGTTTAGCCATGACGTCTTTGCGCCAAAATCATTCATGAAGTTTCGCGGAATTTTATTAAATTTCAAATTTATACATTTTTTCAAGCTCTAACGTATTATTTCTTTTTGTAATGCATTAGAATCGGAATAACAGTACTGTAGTTGAAGAGTTGCCACCGTCAATTTTGATTTGATGGTCTCAAATATCCGTTTTACTGTCTCCGCTACGCGTCGCCAGTAAAACTGCATTTGCGACCATCAAATCGCCAATTGACGGTGGCAACTCTTCAACTACAGTACAGTTATTCCTTAAGTGTAGTTTTATGCATACTTGATTTCGTGGCATTTAGCATGTTTAGTATTTCTGAATAAAGGCCTAAAGAAAAATTTTAATTCCCTGTATATTTAAAATCATGTTTCGACGTTACCCACATAATTAACAAAATTGGTACCCAACAAATAATTATGAATTTACAGTATATAAAAGACATATTTTAGTCTGTTATAAATTATGCATTCAATAGGAATAAAAGAAGATGTTGGGTAAATGTCAATGAGATAGAAAACAAAAAACAGCTAGAATGTAATATACTTTCTTCAACAGTGGACATGATTGTGTCTTTACGCAATGTAAAGATTTTTAATAATTTTGACTCTTAAATTAAAATAGTTGTGATTAGATTTAAAAGAAACTATTAAAGATTTGCCATCAACATCAATTTGTCCATTTCATTGAGATATGACACATTTCATTGAGATATGACACATTTCATTGAGATATGACACGTTTCACTGAGATATGACAGGTTTCATTGAGATATGACACATTTCATTGAGATATGACACATTTCACTGAGATATGACACATTTCATTGAGATATGACACATTTCATTGAGATATGACAGGTTTCATTGAGATATGACAAATTTCATTGAGATATGACACGTTTCATTGAGATATGACACAAGATAATTACTGATGAGGCCCCTAACTAGGGAACTAGAATAATAATAAATGTGTGAAAACAAGAGAAATTTTTGAAACAGATTTATTTACATTTGTAGCCTACCTCATAAAGTAAAACATCCTCTACAAATACATAAATTACTGGTTTAAATTTTTGTTAACTGCATGAACAAGTTTTTATCTAATTAAAGCAAATTATTACTTGTACTAACTAATTTATAACTTACTATATTGTGATCGTTCCATCCCAGACTCTCAAAACCAAGCAATGGTCATTTTCAAAGTAGCAAGTAGAAACAACCTGAAAAATATATAAACTTTGATAGTAATTCTATAATTAGGTGCCATTCTGTCTTACACTGCAACCATGTAATTGTTGGTTAATTCATTCCTAATTACAGACAACCTCAAAATCATATAACAGTTGGTATTGTATATGAGTATCAAATCTGAGGTTACTGTGAATAATAACTTTTGTAACTGACCTTTCCTGCATTATATGTCATTTCATTGTGGTATTTTATATTATTAAAAAGAATTACATTTCTGGAGCTAATCTTTGCTTTAATTTTAGGTCAAAATTTAAATTATTTGAATATTTTTTGTTGTATGAATGATAAACATATCCAAACAAGTAAACAGTTGTCAGGGCCAATACATGCTGACCATACAACATATTGATGGAAAACCAAACAGCATAAATGCCAATTGGTATTGATAAAAGGAACAAGGATAACAATAGATACAACCTGACTAAGGAGGTTTCTTGGGGTTGAAAGATGATGGCTTATGTTATCACCCAAAAACACTTTAACTTCAGAATGTTGTGACATGTTAACTCTTATAAACAGAAACAGGAAATAGTGACAAAGTCTCATCTTTATTTTAAAGTAGGCAGTTATATTGCAGAGCCTACTAAAGTTATCTCACAAAATTTGTTTGTTCAAGAAATACATTTTATTAAACCTACCTGACATACAAAGTCAAAATACATTTGTGGAATGATGTTTTCTAGTTTGGCAGTCTTACATTTTACAACAAGTTCATCTTGATCAGCAATCCAGGTCCTTAAATCTTCTATCTGTAATAATACAAAGAAATATCATCATTCACCTCTGTTATACAACTTTTTTCTCTCCATCCAGGTATATGGTACAACCAAGTTCTCAGTACTGATGGCTGTATTTTGACGTATCTATAGGTATTTTGTGTTCTTCATTGTCACATTGCTGTCTTACGGATTGTTTCAATAGGGTCAATACACCTGAACAGATTAATTACCACCAAAGACACACCTCATATTTCATTATTGAAGATTTGTAATTTCACAATTAAACAAAAGCATATCTTTATTTACCTATAGTGGTAACAGGTTGTTGTTATAATTGGACTTTAATTAAGAATTGAAAGCTTCTTTTTGTAGTTTTATTGGCAAGTAAAAGTGTTGACCAAGTTCACTTTGTTTGAAGCCCAGAAGCACTTCGTAGTAAAAAATGTGTGCAGGGTATAAATTCTGACCAACAATATGTAGAAAGCAATATTCGGTCCACAAAAAATATAAAAACATCCAGTAATTTTATTCTCAAAATCAGAGTAATATGTTTGCATATAAAATGTATTTGCAGATCTAATCCAAAAGTACATACATGACAAAATCTAACACAAATAATTCAGTTGTTATATTCCACTGATCTACAATTACTACATTAATGCCTGAATGCAAAGGCAATGAAAAATCTTCAATCAATCATTCAGAATTAGCTTGGGATTTAGCCATTTCGATAAAATTGAGCTGATTGCTGATTGGTCAACTCTTCTACAGGGCACCAATCAAAATCAAGGATTCTTGAAGAGTTTTTAGCGTGTTTGGAATTCAGGCCCTCCCAAGTAGGAGAGATCGATTACGGGGAGGGACTGAATTATTCAGGTTAGACAAAATCATCATCAAAATTTTCTAAAATATACATTTATGCGTAGAATAGAGAATGAAAACAGGGAATGTGTCAAAGAGACAACAACCTGGGCAGAGAGCAGAAAACAGCCCAAGGGTCACCAATAGGTCTTCAATGCAGGGCTTCAGCTGGCCTCTATACAATAATATATACTAGTTCAGTGAAATGGACGCCTCACTAAACTCTGAAACATACAAATGAACCAAAATTACTGACTTGGGACAGGGCGCAAAAATGGGGCGGGGTTAATATAACAATAAGATGTGGTATAATTGCCAATGAGAGAACTCTCCACCAGAGACCAAATGACCTATAGGTCACCGTACTGCCTTCAACAATGAGCTAAACCCTACCGTATAGTCAGCTAAAGGCCATGTTTTTATTTTATACTTGTCAAGTTGTGTATTACCTTTTGCTTGTCTGAATCAGTAAATGTGTAGTTTGGTGAAAGAGATGAAGTAGGATCTATAGATGCATCTTTCTTGCTAGAAAATACAAGCCAAGAAAATCCTGGACCACTCTGTCCCTGCTCCTCATTGTTAAACATAGAAATCTGCAACAACAAAAATTTCTGAATGAAAAACTATACAATGTATAGAACTTTATAAAACAGGTGAGCAAGCAAGAAATTACAGCAAATTGAAAACATTTTTGCTCTGAATAAAAATACAATATTTAAGTAAGAAAAACTTCCTGTAACATTATATAAATAAATAAAATATATAACCTCTTGAATGTGTATGAAGTCTAGGTTTTCAACAACTTTAAGATTGAAGGTTTCTGCACATTATTACTTTTGATAGTTATTGCTTAAAGTTGGAGGTCTATGTCATTTGGTAAATCATATGGTAAATTTTGTTCCTATGCTCACATAGTGCTGCGATAAACCAGGTCATACAGTGATCATTCTTACCTACTGTAACCTGTGTAAATCAAACACCTGTCTAATACCAATCAAAACTGAAAGATGTTTTGTTTAGACAGTTTCATTGTACTAATTTTTTTATAGCATTTGGTTGAGCATACAAAACACAGCAAAAGTATCGAAATTTTATAAAGCCAGGCTTAAAATATGTCAGTTTGTTATAGCCCAGCTATTGCTTGAAAGTAAGAGTTGTGGTCAGGCTTTGACATACAAACCTAATTTCAATTTTGGCTTCTAAAGAATAACATAACTGCAGCATTAATATCCTTCAATTTAAGAATTGTTTTATCACCTCTTACAAAATTATAAGCCTGGTGCATTTGGTGAGTTTTTCTTTTTTTTACCAAGGAGAGCAAACATTCTTATTCTTAAAAATTAACGTTAACAAAAAACAAGAGTGCACACACTGAAATGTCTCGCCTCCTTTACTAATCATTGATATTATGTTGATAGTCCTAAATATAAAGCTTTATTACAACTGTCACATAAACTTAACATTAACCAAGTAAACTAAACATTGACCAATGAACCATGAAAATGAGGTCAAGGTCAGATGAACCATGCTAGGCAGGCATGTACAGCTAACAATTCTTCCATACAACAAATATAGTTGACCTATTGCATATAGTTTTAGAAAAAAAGACCAAAACTCAAACACTTAACTTTGACCACTGAACCATGAAAATGAGGTCAAGGTCAGATGACACCTGCCAGCTAGACATGTACACCTTACAATCATTCCATACACCAAATATAGTAGACCTATTGCATACAGTATTAAAAAAAAAGACCAAAACTCAAACACTTAACTTTGACCACTGAACCATGAAAATGAGGTCAAGGTCAGATGACACCTGCCAGCTAGACATGTACACCTTACAATCATTCCATACACAAAATATAGTAGACCTATTGCATACAGTATTAGAAAAAAGACCAAAACTCAAACACTTAACTTTGACCACTGAACCATGAAAATGAGGTCAAGGTCAGATGACACCTGCCAGCTAGACATGTACACCTTACAATCATTCCATACACCAAATATAGTAGACCTATTGCATATAGTATAAGAAAAACAGACCAAAACACAAAAACTTAACTATAACCACTGAACCATGAAAATGGGGTCAAGGTCAGATGACACCTGCCAGCTAGACATGTACACCTTACAATCATTCCATACACCAAATATAGTAGACCTATTGCATACAGTATTAGAAAAAAAGACCAAAACTCAAACACTTAACTTTGACCACTGAACCATGAAAATGAGGTCAAGGTCAGATGACACCTGCCAGCTAGACATGTACACCTTACAATCATTCCATACACCAAATATAGTAGACCTATTGCATACAGTATTAGAAAAAAAGACCAAAACTCAAACACTTAACTTTGACCACTGAACCATGAAAATGAGGTCAAGGTCAGATGACACCTGCCAGCTAGACATGTATGTACACCTTACAATCATTCCATACACCAAATATAGTAGACCTATTGCATACAGTATTAGAAAAAAAGACCAAAACTCAAACACTTAACTTTGACCACTGAACCATGAAAATGAGGTCAAGGTCAGATGACACCTGCCAGCTAGACATGTACACCTTACAATCATTCCATACACCAAATATAGTAGACCTATTGCATATAGTATAAGAAAAACAGACCAAAACACAAAAACTTAACTATAACCACTGAACCATGAAAATGGGGTCAAGGTCAGATGACACCTGCCAGCTAGACATGTACACCTTACAATCATTCCATACACCAAATATAGTAGACCTATTGCATACAGTATAAGAAAAACAGACCAAAACACAAAAACTTAACTATAACCACTGAACCATGAAAATGAGGTCAAGGTCAGATGACACCTGCCAGTTGGACATGTACACCTTACATAGCTTCCATACACCGAATATACGAGACCTATTGCTTATAGTATCTGAGATATGGACTTGACCACCAAAACTTAACCTTGTTCACTGATCCATGAAATGAGGTCGAGGTCAAGTGAAAACTGTCTGACGGGCATGAAGACCTTGCAAGGTACGCACATACCAAATATAGTTATCCTATTACTTATAATAAGAGAGAATTTAACTTTACAAAAAATCTTAACTTTTTTTTCAAGTAGTCACTGAACCATGAAAATGAGGTCAAGGACATTGGACATGTGACTGACGGAAACTTCGTAACATGAGGCATCCATATACAAAGTATGAAGCATCCAGGTCTTCCACCTTCTAAAATATAAAGCTTTTAAGAAGTTAGCTAACGCCGCCGCCGCCGGATCACTATCCCTATGTCGAGCTTTCTGCGACAAAAGTCGCAGGCTCGACAATAAATTCAAAGGCTGACTTTGATGGGAGTGATTTCAGTTTGTGTTTATGTTTGAATGATATGGTGCTCTGTATAATTATCAAAAATGTATTTTGAAAGGTTGTATAAGTAGGACAACAAATCAACCACAAGAATTCAGGTTAAAACAAAATCTACTTCTTCAATGAAGAGAATACATAAGTCCATGTACCTTAAGTCTATGAAATCTGACAATATCTCCTATGTTCAATTCTGGTAATTTGGCAGGTTCATTATTGAATAACAAACATTTCAGTTTTTCATTTTCTCCACAGGTCTGGTCCATCAAACTTACTACCATACAATAGTCTAAAATAAATAACATAGTACCATACAAACAAACTATATTACACACAAACCTACCAGAGTATGGGAAGACAAAAAATCAATAGCAGCACATTTCTGAAGATTTGGATAAAATGAAGGATTATCTTTTATAAGAAAGTCTACGTACATGTGTTGTATAGAAACATTTAGCCATTTAAGTACAAATGTATATTAAGCACATTTATCTTTTTTGTTAACTTTGTAATATCATATGCAAAAACCTATAATAATGATCTTAAATATGCAAATTTAGATAAAGTAGACCATTTTTTTCTGTCTGCTGTCCATTTTAACCATTTTGGCAGCTTTAAAAGTATGATATTTTACAGGATTTTAGCCAGATTGACTGTTTTTATGCATTTGTGAGGTTAATTTCCTTTTGGAAAACATTGGCCACACCCTTTAAATAAATGTGTTAAACAAAAAGGTACATGGATCAGATACACATATGCATCCTGACAAAAATTCATGGTGGTCCTTATGTGAGGCCAATGTTGTTTGAAGCAAAAACTAATAAAATTTAGCGAAAAAATTGTCAAAATTAGGATTTTCTTCATAAGAGTGCTCATTTATGATGTCATCATGACATCATAAGCATCTATTGTGTCAGAACTTGATTTTTGTTAACTATAATGTAATAAATTTCACAGAACTATAGGCCCAATATTGACCCTTTGTGGACATACTCCTTTATACTATTGTAATTAAAGCTTATTTTTATACAAATACTACTTAGTTTACTTTAAACATATTTTATTTGCTTGAATATGCAAAAGGGATGAGACACAAGTTAATCAAACTTATAAAGTCTTCTTCCATTTATTTTTAGTTCAAACATAAATAAAATACTATCTAATAGGCTGAACAATAATAGCATAATGTGAGCAGAGGATGTTCAATAATGGTCATACACAAAAATGATACATGCTTATCACAGGCAGATCAAACGGGTACTGGTACTTTGAAGAAAAAACTTGTACATGTACAGGTATAACTTGTACGATTCGCTCATGTATGTAACAACTGTTGAACATATTTGATTTTTCACGAATGAAATCTCTGTATTACTGAAAAATTTTTATACCAGGGTTTTCGATCACAAACTTGTCAAAACATTTACTAAATTTTATCATCGGTACAAGTAATTATTCGTAAATATAAATCAACATACAGACATCTTATTATACGTTCAGGTATTTCACATCCCATCTTTTATGGTAATATTCTATACAAAGTACACAAATGTCGTCATTCACCTCAAAAGCTAACAAAACCTTTAAACAGACTTATTAAGCAGGAATATAGTTACGATACTGTTGTCAGGTCATTAAAGATGGCATTTTTTGGAATTAATATTGATTCACTCATAGTGTCTTTGCATCGGAAATAAACACATTTATTCTAAAACCAGTTGTTGACATGATCCGAGTTATGTTCTTCTCGTATATTTTATGATGGTATGATACTTAACCCCTAACAGGAGGGATTGTGCTTGATTTTCATATGATGAAGACATAATCTTTAAATCAGTTTAATTGAGGTCTGGAGCTGGCATGTCCGTAACTGCTAGTAGTCCTTTGTTTATTTATGTTGATTGTTGTCATTTTGCTTAGTTTCTTTCTTCTGTTACCTATTCTAACATCGGACTCAGACTTCTTTCAAACTGTGCGTATTGCTGTGTGTTGGTTTATTCCACATTGGATAGAGGTATAGGGGAGGGTTGAGATCTCACAAAACATGTTTTGCGCCTGTCCCAAGTTTGGAACCTCTATCCTTTGTTAATCTTGTATGTTTTTTAAATTTTGGCTCATTTATATGTTTCGGAGTTTAGTGTGACGTCCATTTTTGCTGAACTAGAATACATTATTGTTTAGGGGCCAGCTGAAGCCTGCCTCTGGGTGCAGGATTTTCTCACTGTATTGAAGACCCATTGGTGGCCTTGAGCTGTTTTCTGCTTTTTGGTCAGGTTGTTGTCTTTTTGACACATTCCCCATTTCCATTCTCAATTTCATATTCATGTATCTATAAATAGGCTTAAAATTAAGATATCAAATATCAATCAATGAATTTGAAATTATTGTCCTCCTTTTTCTTTCATTTGTCTACACTGTACAAACCTCTCCCTCTTGTTTTGAAAGGTTGCTTTAGAAATTTGACAACACCATATACATCTACTGTGGCATTGGGCTGAACGGACTTCACCTCAGTATACTTGTACTCCCTTGGTTTCACTGTTGATTTCTTCATTCTGTCTTTTCTTCCATAAACTGTTACTAAAATGACCATAAAACTTTTTAAATACACAATGTAGTACTAGTTACAACAGGACATCTAAAATAAAATAAATCCCTTATTTCATGGTTGATTTTTTTCACTTAAAATAGCAAAGAGTACTTTATTTAATTAGGTATCACTCACCTTGATAATATAATTCTGTCCCAAAAAATAAAAAGAAAAATATATTATAAAAATGTTTAAATTTTTTTGGCAGATTGTTATTTTAAATTTCTGACAAGAACACTTATTTCAATTTAACAAATTAGTATTGCTACAAAAATTGTATCTTCATTTTTCAATATCAACATAAATTGTTTTCAAATAAGACTTCAGCTCAACGAATTTGGAAGTTATCATTTGTTAGCAAATAAATACTCATAACAAGAGTATGTGTTCATTGGACACCATGCCACGTTTGCACTAGCCCACTTCAAAGTCCAGATGACCTTGAAATTATAGTTTGGCATATATTTAAAAATCACATCATAACAAATATGTAACTTTGTGTCAAGTTAATGTGTTGGCAACTTCATATTAAATTAACTGAAACCAAATCTTTAACCTGAAAGGGGACGGACTAATCAATGGACATGCAGACAATCAGATCTGAAAACAAAACTCTTACATTTGTTGTATCTATTTTTTCAACCATCTGGACGAGTCTTTCAATCTCTGTTTATCAAGTATAAATCCAATACTAGACTGACTTATGCTATAGGTTCAGTAAATCTATATCGAGATCCAGTGGCGAATTCAGACGGCGTTGAGGGTGCACTGTGCACCTCCCCCTTTTGGTTGGAAAAAATATACCTTTTATACACAAAATCATCCAAAATTTTTGTTGCTTTGCTCTGCTGTTTTCATTCTATTTTCTGAATTTCTTCTTCTTCTTCAGTTGTATAACATAACTTCAGGATACTGAAGATTACTTGTTGTAGCACATATGTGGTATTTACCAAAATTTAGTTATCTTATAAATGCCAAAGAATAATATATAAATTTGACAATATGTACATGTATAATACATGTAATATATTAACAAACAAAAAAGTGATTAAAATTAACATTATTTACAAAATTTAGCATCTGGATTAAATCATTTGACAGAGAACACTGTGTGTACATTTTGTAAGGTGTGCTCTGAAGCTGTCAACTGTGCTTGACTGTACTGTGACTATTGGTAGCAAGTTCAAATGAATGATGGTGGGTGGAAAAAAGTTTCCTTTGTGGTTTGTCTATGTCTGTAATTATTTGGGTGGTTTTGTCTTGTTCTACTGTCTGTTGGTACTAGAATGTCAGATGGTACGGCAATAAGGCCATGAATAACTTTATAAAATATTATTAGTCGTGTTCTAAAGCAGCAATCAGCTAACGCAGTTAGTTTTAAGTTGGTTACATCATATTTGTCACACACCACTGGTGTTACGGTAATTATTACAAATGTATTTAGTTGCTCGTCTTTGAACCATTTTTTTTTTTTTAGTAGCATCTTTTGTGGGAGTGTCCTATAATCTGTAGCTGTATTCCAGTTTAGGTCTGACTATTGCTTGGTATGCTCTGGATTTAATGCATGTGCTTGATATTTTTAAATTTCTTTTGAATAATTCTAAGGATTTATTTCCGTTTGATATAATGTTGACATAATGTAGGTTCCATTTTAGATTTGATTGTAGAGTAACAGGGTTCTCACTAAGGATTTTTAAGGCGAGTCCAGGGACTTGTCATTTTTGGTCAAGACGAGTCCAACTGAGAAGATAAAATGTTATTGCTATAAGGTTTATTATTTCAGTCACCATGACAAAAAATAGAGTAAGGAAATGACATCAAATTTAGATTATCTTTGAACTTTTGTAATAAAATGATGATATATGTGGTCAGTCGATACAATCTTGATGCATCTTTGGACTCACCAGTTTTGAAAATAATGAGTCCAAACAGATTTTCATGAGTCCAGGACTTATGGACTTGCCTTAGTGAGAACCCTGGAGTAATGCCCAGTTATTTAGCAGATGTAAAGAATTCAAGAATATGGTTATGTAATCATCAGATCAATACAAAGCAGAAAAACATAAAACATAAACTTTTAACACAGAGATATGTCTCGCCTTTTTGTAATTTTGATAATGCAAATGTTGAAATTAAAATAGCAATACTTTAACATGTAAGTTATGCAAATATTCAACGTCAATGAACCTTGACTGAAGGTACATGGCTAAACAATCTCCGTGGAAATGAGATGTGCCAGTGCTAATAAAACTGCATACCAAATACCATTGACTTATCATAAGTCATTCCCTTTAAACAAACCTAAACTCAAACATTAACTTGTGAACTATGTAAAAGTTTCAAAGTCAATGAACCATGATGAGGGGGTGGAGCTATATAATCTCCATGGAAACGAGACTTGCAAATGCCAATAAATTTGCATACCAAATATCAATGACTTAACATTAGCGGTTCATCTTAAACTTATCTAATCACAAACTAATACATGTACATATATAAACTAAGCAAAAGTTTCAAAGTCAATAGGCCATGACTGAGGGTGTGGGTCAAATATTCTCCATGGAAATGAGATGTGCTAATGCTTATACAACTGCATACGAATTAACATTGGCTTACCACTAATGGTTCCCTTTGAACTGACCTAATCACAAACTAATACATGTAAACTAAGCAAAAAATTCAAAGTCAATAGACTATGACTGAGGGGGCAGAGCCAAAAAATCTCCATGGAAATGAGATATGCCAATGCTTATACAACTGCACAACAAATATCATTGACCTACCACTAGTGGTTCCCCATAAACTGACCTAATCACAAACTAATACAGGGTTCTCACTAAGGCGAGTCTATGAGTCCTAGACTCATGAAAATCTGTGTGGACTCACCATTTTCAAAACTGGTGAGTCCAAAGATGCATGAAGATTAAAATATTTTGTATAAACTTAACATGCATATCATCATTTTATAGCTAAAGTATAAAAATAGTCTGAATTTAATGTCATTTCATTGCTCTATTAGGTCATGGAGACTAAAATGATAAATTATATGCAATAAAATATCTTCGTACTGTTGGACTCACCATGGCTCAAAATGATGAGTCCCTGGACTCGCCTTTAAAAATCCTTAGTGAGAACCCTGCTAATACATGTAACATGTGTAAACTAAGCAAAAGTTTCAAAGTCAATAGACCATGACTGAGGGGGCAGGGCCAAATAATCTCCATGGATATGGGATGTGCCAATGCTAATATAACTGCATACCTAATATCATTGACCTACTACTAGTGGTTCGCCATAAACTAGACCTAATCACAAACTAATACATTGTTGACGCTGACACTGGAAACAGTATACCTATCAGGGCTTCCAAAATTATTTTTAGCCAGCCGGACATTTTATATATTATCCCGATTTTAATCCCTTAAGACTAAATAAAGAAAAGGCAATCATGGTAATCATGCAGTTGCCGAGTTGGCCATCCCAATGATTGACATTAAAAAAAAAACGATATTAAACTTTCTTTGATTCAAATTCGAAGTTCTGACGTAAACTGTTAAATTGGCAGTGCATCATGCGAAGTGTGCAACATCACCTTACTTATATCTGCCTTAGACTTTTTATTTGTGCAAAATAACGTTGTCAAAAACTTTACTTTCGTTTTTAAATCTACCGGATGTTATCTTGACAATGGTAAAACATGATCCAGAGATGGATATGTAAATTCCGTGTACGTTTGCAAAGCATGAATGAGTGTATAAGTAGCTCATTCTACGTTATTTCTTCAAGAAAATATTCGAAATAAACGTGAGATAAAGGTATCAATGACAATTTAAGCATTTTTTGAAGAAATTAGGATGCATAATTAAATTTCACACCTGCGCACATGCGCACACGTGTACTGGTTCAAACAGAGACATGTCTGGTTCAAACAACGTGGTTATGACGATTTTTCATTTTCACCTTTTTAATTTTTTCATCAAATCATATTTGTAAATGTATTTCTGATAATTAAAATCTTTTTAACTAAATTAATTAGATGCAAACCGGAGAAATGTAAGAAAATAACTTTGAATAGACCGATCAATGTCCGGTTCAAAATAGTTTACCTGTCACCTGAACAGGTCAATTTCAGCTGTTCGACAACTAATTAGCCTTGATTAAAATGAGAAGGTATTAAAGTAGGGATTGTTTTGATAGTACTTAATGATCATGTCACTTTTATGACCGGAAATGTGTGGCTGTTAAAGGCAAAAGGTTGGGTCAAAAAAGATCGCGAATTATGTTAAAAATTATTGTGACCGTCTCTAAAAAAGCCTTGAAAACTAAAAAGTAGATGACCGTTTCGTGCTTTGCCCAGCCGGACTTTAACCGGACATTATACAAATGTCCGGAATATATGACCGTTTTGGAAGCCTTGATACCTATGTCTCACATTTTGACTTCGTCAAGGCGAGACAAAAAAAAACACAGACCGGACGTGGCAGGGTATTTATTCATTCCCTATTCCTAACAATGAAAAAGACACTAAGTACAGATCTGAGAGTAATCGCAGTTACTGACAGCTAGTGCAAAGCCAATAACATTAACAACTAATACAAAAATAATGTATCTAAGACGAAGACTAGTTCACATATTTTCAAAAAAGTAACACCGTAGAAATTATTTGCTTTAAGCTAATGGTCACATCTATGATGTACCTCAAGCCTCAGAAACTGGAATAACTAGCTTGTTTTAAATCACTTTTCAACACTGTTCACTGCAATGGGCGCATCCATCTTGGTGCTAAAGCCTAAGCAATTACGTTAAATAAAATTTGATTGGATGGAGATATTTTTTTCCGAGGAATCACTAAATACCATTTTTTATTATTTTATGCATAAACCACTACTCAGTGTTGCTCGACCTTCCAAAGACATTTTCTCGTGATAGAGTTCTGATCAAACTTTGACATATACACTATTAAATGTAGGCAAAGTAAGTAAATTTTAATTTGAAGATTTACAAACTTTTATTTGTTTATTCAATTCGTACTCTGGTTTTGAACAAGCAAAAACGGGGACATGTGTACCGTCTTCTGTGGCATTTTTATTTTTATAAAGCAAACAAACCCTGAATGTTAGCATGGCTGAAGTAGTTGCAAATAAAGTTGAAACTCTAGTTTCAGAAACTGTTAATGGCGATGTAGATGATAAACTTATCGAAAATGTGTCTGAAAATCAAAATGACGACCCTGTCAAAAAGAAAAAGAAAAAGAAGAAGAAAAAGAAAGCTGGTAATTTTGTACAGCATGTGTATAGTAAAACTTGTTTATGTATTTCCTCATAATTTCCATTAAATCGACTGCCATGAACAGAGCTTGACATTTTGATGGAAAAAAATTGCCCTGACAATAAATGTTTACGTATTTATATTTATAGTGTAAATGGAGCGCATACGTTTTCTTCCATAATTCTGATCAGCTGATTACCAGCCACGGTTCTATCCCAGAACCTTTGGCACAATAGCCTGAGTGGATATTTATCTACATTTGTACTAGTATAAAAATAAGGAGATGTGGTATGATAAACAATTATAGGTCATTGTTGGTCCTTATTCTTGGCATAGCCCAACAGAAGCAGTGCTTGTTACCTGGTCAAATTAGCATCCATTATAGTCAATTTGGTACCTAAGATCCAATTCAGCATCCAATTACACATGATCTTGTACATGTTCACATATAATAGGATGTCATTATCTCCTAAGGAAACATATACTTTCATTATTAATTTATGACTCAAAACATTTTAAGTAATTGAAATTTGTTGTTATATATGGACTGAGACATATTTTATTATTTAAGTTGGACATTTTCTAAATTGGTCCATCAACTTAATCATCTGATTGAATTGTTTTCCACACTAGCAAGGAAAAATGGCGAAATGGTTTCTTATTTTTGTTTTGTTTCTTTCTAGTTATTTTTAAAGTGGGTATTGTTTGCATATTTAACATAACTAATTATTATGATTATCTTATCTTAAATGGTACTTAAATGGTACTTAAAAGCAAACACTTTAATTGATTATTTATATCAGGGAAAAAAACACCTGCTTCATAATCCAATTACAGAGGTGTGAAAATTTAATTTCATGACTAAATGACTTGGTTATTTTATTAATTACTTCAATAATTTGTTGTCCAGCCTGCGACTTTTGTCGCAGAAAGCTCGACATAGGGATAGTGATCCCGGGGCGCCAGCGGCGTTAGCTAACTTCTTAAAAGCTTTATATTTTAGAAGGTGGAAGACCTGGATGCTTCATACTTAGTATATAGATGCCTTATGTTACGAAGTTTTCCATCTGTCACATGTCCATTGTCCTTGACCTCATTTTCATGGTTCAGTGACTACTTGAAATAAAGTTAAGATTTTTTGTAATGTTAATTTCTCTCTTATTATGAGTAATAGGATAACTATATTTGGTTGTGCGTACCTTGCAAGGTCCTCATGCCCGTCAAACAGTTTTCACTTGACCTCGACCTCGTTTCATGGATCAGTGAACAAGGTTAAGTTTTGGTGGTCAAGTCCATATCTCAGATACTAGACTCAGATACTAGACAATAGGTCTAGCATATTTGGTGTATGAAAAGACTTTAAGGTGTACATGTCCAACTGGCAGGTGTCATCTGACCTTGACCTCATTTTCATGGTTCAGTTGTTATAATTAAGTTTTTGTGTTTTGGTCCGTTTTTCTTATACTGTATGCAATAGGTCTACTATATTTGGTGTATGGAATGATTGTAAGGTGTACATGTCTAGCTGGCAGGTGTCTTCTGACCTTGACCTCATTTTCATGGTTAAGTTTTTTAGTTTTGGTCTTTTTTTCTTGTACTATATGCAATAAGTCAACTATATTTGGTGTATGGAAATATTTTATGATGTACATGTCAGTCTTGCAGGTTTTATTTGACCTTGACCTCATTTTCACGATTCATTGCTCAGTGTTAAGTTTTTGTGTTTTGGTCTGTTTTTCTAATACTATAAGCAATAGCAGAGTTCGCGAAAACTTATTTTGACCTGTCGGTCATGGGACCGACAAAGCATGATTATTTGTCAGTCCTACACAATTTTAGCCAGTCCTACAAAATCTGTCAATTTTATCCTGAAATAAAATTAATAACATATTTTATCGAAAAATAACTTTATTAATATTAGTTTTATTCTTCGCACCCACAGGCAAATTAACAATGAAGGACCAGTTCAGGTCTTCTGATTGTTCTTATTTAAAGTCATCTTCACTATCCATTTCATCATCTGAATCACTTTCTCGGCTGTTACAGTATTTGTTTGCTCCATTGTAGGGTTCAATCGCCGATTGTTTGCCAGGGATGGCTCTATGAACAAATTAATTAGGCCACGTGTAGATCGCCGCTTTGGTTTGTTTATAATAAATCCATAAACCAGTACTGGAAATTGGCAGGGGGTACATCTGATGACCGATGTAAACACTTATTGGAAGCAGTTGCGGTACATCTAATAACCGAAGTAAAAAAGTGCTGAAATATGCACTACAACGGCAGTTTTTACATCGGTCATCAGGACCGGCACTAGCCTTTAAAATACTGGTCCGAGCCTCATTTTGACCGACAGGACCGACAGGACCGACAGGACCGACCAGTTTCGCGAACTCTGCAATAGGTCAACTATAATTGTTGTATGTAAGGATTGCAAGCTGTACATGTCTGCCTGGCATGGTTCATGACCTTGACCTAATTTTCATGGTTCATTGGTTAAGTCTGTATCTTAGAAACTATAAGCAATAGGTCAACTATATTTAGTGTATTGAATGATTGTAAGGTGTACATGTATTTCTATTTCTTGTTTGGTTTATATGACCTTGACCTCATTTTCTTGGATCATATACATGTTAAGTTTATGTGATAATTGTACATGTAGTAAAGCTTTATATTTAGGACTATCAACATAATATCAAGGACTAGTAAAGAAGGCGAGACATTTCAGCGTCTGCACTCTTGTTTATTCAAGTGTCATATATTGATGAATGACAAACAATACACAAATTGGATTACCAAAATATTTGACAAAAACTTTTTAACCTACGAATAATAAATAAACAAAATTTTCCTGTGCAAGTATTCTCAGAGCATACATACCACTTCATTTCTATAAGTTGCAGATTTTGTTAATGTTGAAATAAACATTTATTTTTGCTATATGAAATAATAGAAGACATGCATATGTCTTTAAATTTGAAATTTGTTGCTTCTGTACAGTCCTTTAAAAAGTCTCAACCTGCTACTATTATAATATAAAAATAAATTTAAAAATAGGGAAACATGTTAAAGCCATGTGTTGCCAGCCTGAACACCTTTCTCACTGACATACCCCTTAGTACCCTTTGTCTCATCTCACTACTGTGGAACACTATACAGATGTTGTCTAAAGTGATAATGATCAATGCAGGGTTATTTTGTGTTACATGTTTTTGGAGTGCACTTTACCTATGTAGTTTCAAGAGTGCAATTACCAGATACACTTGTAACACTAGTGTATCTGGTAATTGCACTCTTGAAACTTTGGTCTATTATGTTTATAAAATACACTAGTGTTACAAGACTAAAATATGCAAGATCGTAAAGTAAGTATGGGGAGGACAAATTATGAAAAAGCTCTACTTGATATGGAAAACTACAGGAAAAGAGAATGACATTAGTAATTGTATATTCCACATTATTTTCAAGGACATACACATTGTCAAAGTTTGAGGGATAAATGTATCCAATTTCTTGTACCCCTTTCCCAAACATGGCTCCAAGCTTTATGCATATGCCGGTGCTACTAGTCCCAGTCTGCTAGAGACCTGCTGTTTATATGTACAATATAAGATGCCAAGGGGGAATCAAGAATAAAAAGTTGAAGAGGGATAGACTTAATTTATGATGTACATATAATATTTTAGAAACTGATAATACAGAAGATGGTGAGAAAGATGAAGACATAAATGAAGTAAATGACAAATTAAGTAATCAGAAGCTGGAGAATGGAGAACCAGGTATAATTATTTGTTATGTCTGTTGTAATGGACATTATATACTTACCTATTTATATAGATCAGTCGCTATATATTTGATAGATGCATAAGAATAAAAAGAGATATCCTGTTGACAAAAGTTAAAGGTCAAGGATGGTTTGACAATTGTCATTTTGCCTTTCAAGAGTTATGGCCCAGGATTGCTTTTTCAATGAATTTAATAAATGTAAGAAAAAACTATTTTTCTGTCATTTTGACAGGCTCTTGCTTGAAGTAATAATGTTTTTACATTCATGATTGTTTTAAATTTTTTTATTTATGTTTGTCTTATTCTATAATTTGTATTTTTAAAGCTCAAGCTACAGGAGAAGCAACTAAGAAAAAGAAAAAGAAGAAAAAAGGAGGTCAGTTTAACTGTTCAGATATGATTAAAACAATCTATTTCAATTAGACATTATCAAACTTAAATTTTTATGGTACATGATTGTATGTGCCATTTAGGAGATTACTGTGTTGTATTTTTAGCCCCGATGGCATCAATTGGTGATTTGATGGTCGCAAATTAAGTTTACTGGCGACGCATAAGCGGGTATTTGCAACCATCAAATCTCCAATTGATGCCGTAGGAGCTTAAAATACAATATTGTTGTCTCCATTCTAATGAAACTGACAGAAAACAATGTCAAATCATACATTTAAAATCTGTCATACGTTGTATGGGCTTGAGCGTATGTTTTCATAGTATCAATTGTAAATTGATGCCATGAAAATTGGTGACGATATCCAATCGAAATGAACTTTGCAAACGATGTTGCATTCGAATTATTGTTTTATAATTTTAAAAGGATTCTTTAATACCCCTTTTGGGGGAAGGAGGGTAGAACATAGTTATCACTATATCCATTTGTCTCTCCTATCTGTCAAGTTTAAAAGCTATACAGATATTTATAAAACTGATTACAATTGTAAAACACTTCCCGAGGAAGTGCATAAAGTATAATAATCACAGTCCTATATTATGAAGGGGAGATAATCCTCAATATTAAAATTTGTCATGATAGTCACTCATAAGTGAAACTCCTCCTTAACATTAAAGCTGATATTGATGAAACTTTACACAGTTGTAGAACATTGCCTGAAAATATGCTTTCAAGATTATAATATCTGTCCTATATGTGAAAGGGGGGATACTCATATTTACTTATTTCAATATTTAAACATGGAGTTAAAGTCTCTTGTAAGCTGAACTTCTATACAAATAATGAGATGTGGTATGATTGGCAATGAGACAGCATATCAAATTGAAACCAAAGGAGGATGTAAAAAACTAGTCTATAGGTCACTGTATGTCCTTCAACAATGAGCAAAACCCATACCATATTCTAAGCTGTAAAACGCCCCTACATGACAAATTATGGAACAATTCAAAAGAGACAACTGTGACAGTTGTGGTTTTGCCATCGATATAGTTTTAGTATTAAATATGAATTTAACTAAGTTACTGGGCTCAAAGTTAACCGAATTTTCTCAGAATTCTTACCTGTGTTTATTTTTATCTCCTTTCGTTAATTATAAAGGTTTTAGGTCCATATTGGTTCAAAGTCTTTCAGTTTTCATTCTTGTTATTCTCAGCTGATTTTACCGTCAAACTGGAAGTGGGATTTAGCTCGTGCAGAAGCACGAACTTTTAGTAACTTAATTTCATTGGTCTATTGATAACTATTTCAGTCAATCAGAGCATTATATGTAAAAATTATTCGTAGTCTTTCGGGTAGATAGTTATTTTTATATCCTAAAAGCTAGGTATTTTACAAAGTAAAATCTGTGAACTGTAAAGGGTTCATTTAAGTTTAAAAGGTCATACTTTTTATACTGATGCAAAAAATTTTTGCAGTCGTATATTGGTATGACGTCGTCGTCGTCGTCTGGCGTCGTCCTGCGTCGTCCGAAGACACATTGGTTTTCGCACTCTAACTTTAGTTTAAGTGAATTGATCTCTATGAAATTTTACCATAAGGTTCAATACCACAAAAGGAAGGTGGGGATTGATTTTGGGGGTTATGGTACCAACAGTTAAGGAATTAGGGGCCAAAAAAAAGCATTTTTGTAACTTCTAGACATAACTTGTGTGTTTGTGTATGGATCTCTCTGACATTGTACCACAAGGTTCCATATCACACAGGGAATGCTGGGATTGATTTTGGGGGGTAATTGCCTCAAAATATTAGGAATTAGGGGCCAAAAAAGGGGCAAAAAACAAGCATTTTTCTAGTTTCATGACAATAACTTGTGTGTAAGTGTATGGATCTTTCTGAAATTGTACTACAAGGTTCCATATCACAGAAGGAAGGTTGGGATTGATTTTGGGGGTTATGGTATAAACAGTTAAGGAATTAGGGGCCAAAAAGGGGCCAAAAATAAACATTTTTCTAGTTTCCAGACAATAACTTGTGTTCAAGTGTATGGATCTCTTTGAAATTGTACCACAAGGTTCCATATCACACAGGGAATGCTGGGATTGATTTTGGGGGTAATTGCCTCAAAATATTAGGAATTAGGGGCCAAAAAAGGGGCAATAAACCAGCATTTTTCTAGTTTCATGATAATAACTTGTTTTCAAGTGTATGGATCTCTATGAAATTGTACTGCAAGGTACCATACCACAAAGGGAAGGCTGGGATTGAGTTTGGGGGTGATGAATCATAAGGGGGTTCAAAAAATTTGGGGGGGGGGATTTTTTTTTCCTTTTTTTTTTCTTCTAAAATTTTCCATTTTAAGTTGGTTATTTCTGTTTTATATTTAAAAGCAAATAATAATGATATGGTAGGAGATACACACCAAACAGGATGTGTAATTTTTTATATAATAAGTATTGTGCAATAGCAAGAAATTTTCAATTGCACAGTATTGCACAATAGCAAGAAATCTTTAATTGCACAGTATTGCGCAATAGCACGAAATCTTCAATTGCACAGTATTGTGCAATAGCAAGAAATATCCAATAGCACAATATTGTGCAATAGCAAGAAATTGTCAATTGTACAGTATTGCGCAATAGCAAGAAATATTCAATTGCACAGTATTGTGCAAAAGAAGATACTTCGTCTAAATTGCTTATTTCTTGACCAATTTCAATGGGGTTTTATTCTTGAATTCTTGGGGTTCTTTAATATGCTGATTCTAACCGTGTATTAAGTTTTTGGATTTTGGGCCCCGATTTTAAATTGGTCCACATTGAGGTCCAAAGGGTCCAAAATTAAACTTTGTTTGATTTCATCAAAAATTGAATTATTGGGGTTCTTTGATATGCCGAATCTAACCGTGTATTTAGATTCTTAATTTTTGGTTCCGTTTTCAAATTGGTCTACATTAAGGTCCAAAGGGTCCAAAATTAAACTTAGTTTGATTTTAACAACAATTGAATTCTTAGGGTTCTTTGATATGCTGAATCTAAACACGTATTTAGATTTTTGATTATGGGCCCAGTTTTCAAGTTGGTCCAAATCGGGGTCCAAAATTAAACTTTGTTTGATTTCAACAAAAATTGAATATACGGGGTTCTTTGATATGCTGAATCTAACAATGTATTTAGATTTTTGATTTTTGGGCCCCATTATCAACTTTGTCCACATTGAGGTCAAAAGGGTCCAAAACTTTGTTTGATTTCATAAAAAATTGAATTCTTGGGGTTCTTTGATATGCTGAATCTAACCATGTATTTAGATTTTGGATATTGGACCATAATAGGTGAATGTCCAATTTAAAATTTTTAAGTTCTTAGACCACATTCATTCTGTGTCAGAAACCTATGCTGTGTCAAATATTTAATCACAATCCAAATTCAGAGCTGTATCAAGCTTGAATGTTGTGTCCATACTTGCCCCAACTGTTCAGGGTTCGACCTCTGCGGTCGTATCAAGCTGCGCCCTGCGGAGCATTTTATTCTACTATGTAAGTCCGTATATTTCTTAAATTCATTGGTACATGTCTTAAGGCGACAGGTATGTTACCCGAGGGAATTGTGTTCAGTTCTAGTTTTTGAGACCGTTTACTTAGTTTAGTACCAGAGAGGATTGTTTCAATCCATTATATTGGTATTCAAACTTGCGCAATTTTGTAGTTTATAGCCTCCTTTTTATACGACCGCAAAAATTTGGGTTGTATATTGGTATGTTGTCGTCGTCGTCATCGTCCGAAGACACATTGGTTTTCGCACAATAACTTTAGTTTAAGTGAATGGATCTCTATGAAATTTTACCATAAGGTTCAATACCACAAAAGGAAGGTTGGGATTGATTTTGGGGGTTATGGTACCAACAGTTAGGGAATTATGGGCCAAAAATAGGCATTTTTGTAACTTCCAGACAATGACTTGTGTTTAAGTATATGGATCTCTCTGAAATAATACCACAAGTTTCCATACCACAAAAGGGATGGCTAGGATTGGCTTTTGGGGGGTTATGGCTCAAACTGTCTAGGAATTTGGGGCCAAAAAGGGGAAAAAACAAGGGTTTCCTGGTTAATGGACAATTTAAAAGCAGTGTAAGGGATGTAATCACAAAACAAAATTGTTCAATGTTGGATTACCTCCCTTACACTGCTTTTAAATTATCTATTTGAGACTTTTATGATGGATTTAAATTGGTAATTATGGTTGCAAACTCCATTGGAAATTTGAATTGAGATTATGACCATATTTTGAGGGAAAGAATTTGATTTGTGGAAAAGGGGGGGGGGGAGGGGGGTAAAAAAGAAATTTTGGGGGGCAATATTTTTTTTCATTTCAGATTCCAGAAATTAAAAAGAAAATTTCATCAAAAATTTTTTTTTTTGCAAAAAAAAGGGGGGGGGGGGGGGTCAATACGCAACAGCAAAGTGTATTTCACAAAAGCAAAATATATTCAAATCATATAACCAATTCTAAGTTCTTTGACTACAGTTATTCGGTGTCAGAAACCTATTATGTGTCAAATATTTAATTACAATCCAAATTCAGACCTGTATCAAGCCCGAATATTGTGTCCATTTTCGCCCCAACTGTTTAGGGTTGGACCTCTGCGGTCGTATCCAGTTGCGCTCAACAAAGCATTTTATTGTTAGATAAATTTAGTTAGGACATTTTTATAGATACTCCTGGTAGGTCAACTGTCACACAAATCCTGGTTTCAAGTTAGATAAATAAAATAAATAAGTATAATTTGTTTGATATTGATGATTGAATTTTGTACTTTGTTATAATAAAAGTTGTACTTTAAAATCTTTGTTTTCAAAGCCTATACAAGCATCCGAGAGATATAAACCAAGAAGGGTACTCCACTTCACAGTTCAGGACTTGTCCCTACCGAACCCCACCATGCACTGGGACCTGCTCCTGTTACACAACCAACAACCTCATGTATGCTTAAAACAAAAAAAACTAAAAATCAAATAAGGCAGACAGCAATTGACAACAACCACTGAATTACAATATTCTGACTTAGAACAGGCACATAAAGAATAATGCAGGTTAAACATGTTTAAGCTGTCAATGCTTCCCTTACCTGGGAAAGTTGTTTTACAGCATAACAAAAGAACCAACTGTACAAATCAGTTGGAAAAGACTTGATTCATCAGATCTACACTAAACAAAAAAACTCTCAACAAAAAGACAAAAAACACAGGGTATGAGTACTTTCAGTTGCTGAAATCAAGTAGCTAGACAGATATTGAATAAACTTACTGTTGTAGAATAGGATGTGCATAAAGGAATAAAATCCAATCTCAGATGTTGAAGGGGAGATAATCAAATTTACTTACTTCAATATTGAAAGTATGATAATAGTTCCTTTTAAGTGCAACTCCTCCTAAACAACAATACAAATATTGACGAAACTGTGCACAGTTGAAGAGCTCAGTGAGGATGTGTAATAAGAGTAAAATCCGGTCCTGCATGATAAAGAGGAGATAATTGAATATACTTCAATATTGAAATATGTGGTGATAGTCTGCCATAAGTGTAACTCCTCCTTAACAGATAGACAGATATGTATAAAACTTTAAGCAGTTGTAGAACACTACTGGATGATGTGCTTAAAAAGTAGTCCTACAAGTTAAAGGGAGATAATAGATACACTACAGGAGGATGTGCTTAAAACAGTTGTATCCATGTCCTACAAGTCAAAGGGGAGATGATAGATACACTAAAATACATGTTTGTTATATACATCAATTATCAAATATAAAATTATATATACACAGTTGTTTGAATTACCATTATATATTTGATTAGTAATTATTACATGAGAGAATATTATTTTTTAGGTGGTAAGCAGCAGACAGATCCACCTTCCTTACCAATATCAGAACTTTTTCCTGATGGAAATTATCCTGAAGGGGAAATAATGAAACATCCTGAAGTCAAGGACTTGTAAGTATCATGAAGGGGAAATAATGAAACATCCTGAAGTCGACTTGTAAATATCCTGAAGGGGAAATATTGAAACATCCTGAAGTCAAGGACTTGTAAGTATCCTTAACTGAAAAATAATGAAACATCCTGAAGTCAAGGACTTGTAATTATCCTTAACTGAAAAATAATGAAACATCCTGAAGTCAAGGACTTGTAGGTATCCTTAACTGAAAAATAATGAAACATCCTGAAGTCAAGGACTTGTAAGTATCCTTTACAGGAAAAATGAAACATCCTGCAGTCAAGGACTTGCAAGTATCCTTAACTGAAAAATAATGAATCATCCTGAAGTCAAGGACTTGTAAGTATCCTTAACTGAAAAATAATGAAACATCCTGAAGTCAAGGACTTGTAAGTATCCTTAACAGGAAAAATGAAACATCCTGAAGTCAAGGACTTGTAAGTATCCTTAACTGAAAAATATTGAAACATACTGAGGTCAAGGACTTGTAAGTATCCTTAACTGAAAAATAATGAAACATCCTGAAGTCAAGGACTTGTAAGTATCCTTTACAGGAAAAATGAAACATCCTGCAGTCAAGGACTTGCAAGTATCCTTAACTGAAAAATAATGAAACATCCTGAAGTCAAGGACTTGTAAGTATCCTTAACTGAAAAATAATGAAACATCCTGAAGTCAAGGACTTGTAAGTATCCTTAACAGGAAAAATGAAACATCCTGAAGTCAAGGACTTGTAAGTATCCTTAACTGAAAAATATTGAAACATACTGAGGTCAAGGACTTGTAAGTATCCTTAACTGAAAAATAATGAAACATCCTGAAGTCAAGGACTTGTAAGTATCCTTAACTGAAAAATAATGAAACATCCTGAAGTCAAGGACCTGTAGGTATCCTTAACTGAAAAATAATGAAACATCCTGAAGTCAAGGACTTGTAGGTATCCTTAACTGAAAAAATAATGAAACATCCTGAAGTCAAGGACTTGTAAGTATCCTTAACAGGAAATAATGAAACATCCTAGTCAAGACATGAACTCTTTTAAATACACTGAAGGGGAAATAATGAAACATCCTAGTCAAGACATGAACCCTTTTAAGTACACTGAGGGGGAAATAATGAAACATCCTAGTCAAGACATGAACTCTTTTAAGTACACTGAAGGGGAAATAATGAAACATCCTAGTCAAGACATGAACTCTTTTAAGTACACTGAAGGGGGAATAATGAAACATTCTAGTCAAGACATCAACTCTTGAAGTACACTGAAGGGGAAATAATGAAATATTCTAGTCGAGACATGAACCCTTTAAATACACTGAAGGGGAAATAATGAAACATCCTGCAGTCAAGACATACATTGAAGGGGAAACAAAGAAAAATCTTAAGTCACGGACATGAACTTGGAAGTACACTGAAGGGGAAATAATGAAAAATCCTGAAGTCAAGGACATGAACTTGGAAGTTTCTTGAAGAGGAAATTAAGATCTTCCTGAAGTCATATGGACTTGAAAGATCCTAAAGGAGAAAAATTAAACATCCTGGTTAAGAACAAAAACTTGTAAGTATCCTGAGGGAGAAATAATGAAACATCCTGGTCAAGGACTTCAGTAAGTATCCTGAAGTAACAAAACAAAGCTGAAGCAGAGGAAATGACCTTGATCAGTAACCATCAATATGGAAACATCCTATGGTCAGTTGTTAGTATTATGACATTATGAAAATCCTGAGATTGGTTCCATTAATTAAAATATGCTAAAATAATGGCCATCAGGAAACCAAGGACATCATCTAGTAATTAAACCTAAAATTGAATAACTATAATGTTGGACATGGACTAGCCAGTATCTAAAAATAATGAATGACATAAGGTGATTGTCTGGCATATCTCAATTATTCTTGGAAGGTAAATGGGTAATTGCCAATGAGACAGCTATCCCCCAGAGACCAAAGGATGATGATTTACACAACTATATGGCACTGTACAGCCTTCAACAATGAGCAGTACCCATAAAACATAGTAAGCTAATAAAAGCCTTTGCTTAAATTCATGTCATTTGGACTCTGGTGGATAGTTGTCTCATTGACAATCATACACCATCTCCTTATTTTATATTAGTGATGACAGAATGTGAAACAATTCAAATTCACTTTCATATAAATATAAGAAGATTTGAGACCAAATGACACAGAAATTAAAAACTATAGGTCACCATACGGCTTTAACAATGAGCAAAGCCCATACCGCATAGTCAACTATAAAACGCCCCGAAATGACAAATGTAACAATTCAAACAAGAAAACTAATGGCCTAATTTATGTACACAATAATGAACAAAAAACAAATATGTTATACAGCAACAAACAACAACCACTGAATTACAGGCTCCTGACTCATGTTTGTTAAACTGCCATCCATCCTTTAATCATGTTCATGGTTAGTGACTTAAAAAAGATAACAGCACATTTTTGTGATGACATCAGTTGATGATCAAAAATAAATAATAGATCTCTTTAATTTATAACAACTTTATTTTGACTATACTTGATGAAAATGTTAATCTGCCAGTAACCTTAGCTTACTGTGACCTCTATTCAGGTTCATGATCAGAATTCAGTTTTCCAGTTACTATGAATAATTATATGTGCATTTATTAACAATTAAATAGAAAAAAAAACATTTCATCTTTTGCACTCTTGTTAGTTTTGAGACTATTCTCTGTTTAAACAATTGTAGTCAAACTGCCAAAGACAGATTCACAGATGAAGAAAAGAGAGCTTTAGACAGAGCAAATACATATATTTATCAAGAAGTAAGACAAGCTGCTGAGGCCCACAGACAGGTAATCTTAACTAAGTTGATTTTCTGATAAAATAGAATTGATTTACTGTTGAAGATTTGATGTCCAGTATAAATATTTCATTATAAAAATGAGGGGATGTGGTATGAGACAACTATCCATGCATGCTCAGAATGAAACAAATAAAAATCCTTTCAGTAGGGTCTACCAGGACATGTCTTACATGTCTGGTAATGTCCAACATTTTTCCTCCCTAATATGGAGCCCTGTGAAAAAAACTTGCTAAAAGTTTTTGTTCAATATCTTAGTGCAAGATCATCTCTAAACACTGATGATTGAACCAACCCTACATAAAACCAAAATATGGGTGCCTCCTAACACATTCCCCTTTTCCCTTTTAAGTTTTTCTGAACTAGTAACAATTTATGAACAAAAGAAAGCTATATTTAGTTGATACATTTTGCCAAATAAAAAAATCATATTTGTATACAGTTAACTTCATATCAGAAAGTTGACAGGACAGGAAAAACTTTTTAAACAATAAATGAAAAAATAAAAGAGATGTCACCAAACTAACATGAAGTTAAAACTCTATTTTTACAGACAAGACAATATATGCAAAATTATATAAAGCCAGGTCAGACCATGATAGAAATTTGGTAAGATATTAACTCACTTCATTATCATTTAATTGATATAGAGCACTGTGCCGTTTAAAAGTTATGGTTATATTTTTAGTACAGTAGTGAATTGTTTAAATATATTTTATCTTTAAATTTTGAAATATAACTATAATGTACAATGTATATTTTAAGCTTTTTCTGAGATGTAAGCATATTGAGTTTTAACTAGTTAAATATTTTGAACAGTGAAATGGAGCTTAATGTGTTTTCATCTTGAGAAATGCTTTACTTGTTGGAAAAGAAATAGAAAATTAGTTAGAAGATCCTCATCCATGTTATCTAATGTCATCTCCTAAATTTATTCAATTGTTTCAAAATATTGATCAGCATTAGTTATTATGAAAACAGATATGAAATTGTTAGAATTTATTTTAATTTTTAAAAGAGTCTGATATTGGAAGATGCAAAAATTTAACATCAATTTGATGAATTTTTACCCAGAAATAATTGAATATTTGATTCATGTTTAGTGAAACACTGGAGGGTATATCCAGGAAAACGATCAATGAGAAAGGTTTAGAGGCAGGATTAGCCTTCCCTACTGGTTGTTCACTGAACAATTGTGCTGCCCACTATACACCTAATGCTGGAGACCCTACAGTGTTACAGTATGATGATGTTTGTAAAATAGATTTTGGAACACATATTAATGGTAAGTGCTTTATACATGGAACACATAGTAATGATAAGTGTTTATTCAAGGAACACATATTAATGGTAAGTGTTTATACATGGAACACATATTAATGGTAAGTGCTTTATACATGGAACACATATTAATGGTAAGTGTTTATACATAGAACACATATTAATAGTAAGTGTATATACATGGAACACATATTGATGGTGAGTGCTTTATACATGGAACACACATTAATGGTAAGTGTTTGTTCATGGAACACATATTAACGGCAAGAGTTTACACATAGGACTAAATCTATAAATGATGTCAAGTCTATGAACCACTGTGGTCTTGTTTCATCATAGTATTCATCTAAGAATTCTGTAATAAGACATTGACTCAAGTTTTTATGTCCCACCTACGATAGTAGTAGGGGCATTATGTTTTCTGGTCTGTGCGTCCGTTCGTTCGTCCGTCCCACTTCAGGTTAAAGTTTTTGGTCAAGATAGTTTTTGATGAAGTTAAAGTCCAATCAACTTGAAACTTAGTACACATGTTCCCTATGATATGATCTTTCTAATTTTAACGCCAAATTAGAGTTTTGACCCCAATTTCACAGTCCACTGGACATAGAAAATGAAAGTGCGAATGGGGCTTCCTTGTACTATGGACACATTCTTGTTTTGCAATAAAATAAGAAAAAACATAGCTATGGAGAAAATCACAATGAAATGGTATTAAAGCAGCCCATTTTACCATTATCCAGTTGTCACTATAAAAGTTTTATAGCAAGCTCCCCCCATAAAACAAGGTTTACTTTAATTACTGAAGATCTGTTGGTATTTTACCCCTGCTCATGGAGAGGATGATATACCATAATGACCTTGTCAATCCCTTCATTCTTCTTTCTGCTGGTCTGCCCATATGTAATCTATATATTTTCATTACGATTTACTCAGATTTAATATAAGGAAAGATTTAATATTTGGTCTCCAAGTTTATTATATTTATAGATCTCAAATATAAAAAACATTCAACAAGTGCTCGAAAACAACACATTAATTCACAAATGTGTGTGGTGCATAAGTAATTCTAGATGCTTCACTTTAAATTCTATACATAGAAAGCAACAGTTTATAAACCAGAAAATAGTTCACTTCACTGAAAATCACTTAATACCGCACACAGTCATAACGAAATTTGACATTGAAAACACTTGACCTTGTGTACTGTACTTTTTATGGATATTTTATTAGAATACAGTGTTCTCTCCAGGCCCTTAAAGGACCATGGGCCTGCGATGTATAATTTTTTACCGTGGTGGTATCGTTCTTACCACGATGTATAATTTCTCTCCGTGGTGCTAAAATTTTCAGTTAAAAAATCGTAAATCGGTTAAGTTTTAAACGACTTGTTAAATTTTTTCCGTGCGGTATAAGATTCTAGGTGAAATTTGACCAGTTCAAACCAGTTCAACACAGATTGTTTACATCACGTGATCGATTTACCTTATGAGGTTAACCTTGTTGATTGGATTTAATCGATGTAATTAACACTTGTAACCTGATTCTTTTGTGTTTTAATTAAGAGTTCATAACTTTATGATCACAGATAACTATTTTATGGCTTCACTCACCACCCGAGCACTGACCTGTGACAAGTGGCAAATACTTTGTACACAAACAGTGTCTTGACCCGATAGGTACATTTTTTGTACATCATAAAGGTGGCTCATTACGTATAATTGACAATTATACATTTCTCAATTCTAATATTATAGTATTATATGTCTCTGATTAAACCATGGCCAATATTATCTTTAATTATGACATAGTTATTGCATGATAGTCGGGTTTCAAACTGTAATATCTGTCTGTACATATCACATGACCCAGTTAGTTCACGTAGAATATTCAAGTTTATTTACAATTAATTGCAATCTATTCTATTTTATAAATAAAATGCATGACTGTACCTTCAAGCTGGATATCTGTATCCATAATTAATGAATAACAGAAGTAATCTTGCAAATTTTATCCATAAGCACATGTTAAATCTATTTATATCTACTTCCTGTCATTTTGGCGGGAAAATAGGGAGACTTAGTTGTTGACATTGAATATGGTTACTTATAGATCTATAGACCAAAGATAAATTTATAGATTTAGGAAATTTTTTTTAAATGGTTCATGACAAATAAAGATTTAGATTTCAGTGCAGTATTAAGTCTGTATCTATGTTTGATTATCACCAAAGACAAGAAAGGTTAATAATTACATGAAATCTATGGCAAAATGTTCTAAAATTTATGAAAAATTTCTTTTTATTAAAATCTAAGATAGAAACTGGTTCAAATATTTGCAATTGTTCTTGTTAATTTTATACCTTCTTATGACAGGATTCCTTTCACATACAACAACTTTCTTTCTAGAAACTTAAGAAAGTTTTTTAAATTGAACATTTTTGTTCTCTTTTGAATGATATTTTATTTTTATTGATTTTGGATTTTATAAAAGATTTAATTACTTTAAATTCAGATGAATATTTATGAATCATAATATATTTATTTTTAAAAAATATTAAACTATACAAACTGTTTTTTGATTTACTTCTTTTTACCAAAAATTTTCTGACTCAATGTCTACATAACACAGTACCACAGTATTAAAACAAAACAAGAGACATTAAAACTACAGTAACTAGAAATAGAGCTAAGCGACGCGACGCAACACAACTGATTGTATGAAATATTTCACCAAGCTGTCCACACGCGTTACCCTGGTGCTATCCAAAAATCCTGGGGAGAACACTGGAATATATGCATGTATTTTTATATGTCATTTATATTGATATGAACAATTTGATGTCCTTTCAGGTAGAATAATTGACTGTGCTTTTACATTGTCTTTCAACCCTAAATATGATCGTCTTCTACAGGCGGTAAAGGATGCTACAAATACAGGTATAAAGGTATGTTATTGTACAAGTTATTCAAATGTTTAGAATTAGCAACATCATCAAATGTTTCATAAATATTGTACCTAAAATTTAAGTTATTTTTGTACCATTGCTATTCTTATTATATTTGTGTATTCTGACTGTTTTTGGAAATGATGATACTTTTATGAATTACTATCACATACCTGGGATATTTATTGCAGTTGAACCTGATTTACACTTAAAATCCGATCACATATTAACTTATTTTCATCCAAGAGGTTAATATGTGTAGTTGACCATAGTAAACTGTACTTTTTGATTTGACAATTCTTGCAGGAGTTATGGGACTTTTTTTTTCTTGCCTTTTTGCATCCATGAAATACACAGTCACACACTAGTAGGAGACAATTTGTTTTAAGTTAAGTGGATCTTTCTAAAATTTAGAATGAACTTACCAGATGCCATTAAGAATGGGTAAATAGTTCTATGTTTTCTGCTGTAAACTAACAATTTCATTTAAAATGCTTGTACCTAATTTAATAAATGGCAGCCATTATTTTGGAAATTTGCACTGTTTTTTTATACCCCCACCGTCACCATAGGGGGCATTAAGTGTTACTCTTGTTCGTAAATATGTCCCAAAATTGGTTTCCGTTCTCTAACTTAAGTTTGCCTCAACCTTAGTTATAAAACATATACACAATGCTTATAACCACAAAACACAGATCAAGTTCGAGTTTGGGTGGCGTTACTTCTACTGTTCTGGAGTTATGCCCCTTTATATACAGAAAAATTGCTGAATTTTTCGTTTGCGTTTACTAACTTTTAGTTTGCCTCAACCAAATGTTATGAAACTTATACACAATGCTTATTACAACAAAACACAGATCAAGTTCGAGTTTGGGTGGCGCCACTACTATTACTATTCTGGAGTTGTGCCTTTTATACTTTAGTTTGCCTCAACCAAATGTTATGAAACTTATATACACAATGCTTATTACCACAAAACTCAGATCAAATTTGGATGGTGTAATTTAGCGTTCTCGAGTTATGCCTCTTTATAACCTTATATGCAAGCAGGGGCATCATCTGTGTCCCATGGACACATTCTCCATTTTTTTTAAATAAAAAAAATACTGAATTTGGACTGTTGAAGAGTTTTATACATTGGATTTTTTTTTATCAGAGATCAACCATTATATGAAAATATATTTTACAGGCTTGAGCATAAAGATACTTTAATGAGTTGATAAAAAGACTGACTTTATTTAATCTCATGTGCATACTTTGATATTACAAATTACTGAATTAATCATTTTTCACTTAACATTAAACTTGATTGAACAACATTTATTACTATGATTTTATGTCCCACCAATGAAAGTAGAAGGCATGATGTTTTCCTGTATGCGTCCATTCATTAGTCTGTCCCATTTCCGGTGAAAGATTTGGTTTAAGGTAGCTAACCATGAATTTGTGGTCCCATCAATTTTTGCCCAGTACACATGTTGATTATGATGTGATATTTATATGTAACAGTATATGCCAAATCCAAAATTGAACAGTTCACTTTACATGGCAATGTGAGAGTGTGTCTTATGGACTACATGGCAATATGAGATGCTGTCTTATGGACTCATATTCTTGTTATACTTTCTTTTCTTCCATTTTCTTGAACAACCAATACTGGAAGAAAACAGAGTATTTTAAACTATTTTGTAAGTTTTTCAACAAATAGTTTAAAACATGTTTGGAATGCTTCAAAAAGACTTCTTTTTAATAGAGTTAAATGCAAAACAAACAATCAGGGAATGATTAGTTAAAATCTTAATAAAAAGAAAATCTGAAGAATTGAACAATTTAAGGGCCTTGCTGGCCAATTAATCTAAGAAGTCGAACTACAGTATCACTAGCCTGTCAACACTTAGGTTGTAAGATCGAATCCTGCATGTAGCAGGTGCGCTCTCGACTCCAATTTAAATTAACTAGGATTGTCAGTTTTCCTACTGAAGGTCAGTGGTTCTCTCTGGTCACTCGGGCTTCATCCACCAATAAAAACTGACCACCACAAAATAGCACAATCAATTGAACAATTCAGGTTTACAATTTCAGGCTGCAGGTATTGACGTGAGATTATGTGATATTGGAGAATCTATACAAGAGGTCATGGAATCTTATGAAATTGAACTTGATGGAAAAACTTACCCAGGTATTATTTTAGATATTTTGGAAGTTTCTAAATATTGATATCATAAAACAACTGTCTTATACATTAAGAGGCATGAAGCTTTTTATGAGTACTGAAGTTACAGCAACAAGGCTACACATTTCCCTATTGTAATGCCCTTAAAATTATATATCTGTGTCAAGTGATGATGCTTTTTAAGCCCCTGCCTTAGCCGTAGTTTTACCCTTGTCCGTCTGTACGTCAGTCCGTACATATGTCCTGTACGTCCGTACATCCTCAAATTGGTTTCTGTTCTGAAACTTGAGTTTGCCTCAACAAAATGTTATGAAACTTGTACACAATGCTTATTACCAAAAAACACAGATCAAGTTTGAATTTGGGTGGCGTCACTTTCACTTTTCTAGAGTTATGCCCTTTATAAATGGAAAAATTGCTGAATTTTTCATTTCCGTTCTCTAACTTAAGTTTGCCTCAACCAAATGTTATGAACCTTATACACAATACTTATTACTACAAAACACAGATCAAGTTTGAATCTTGGTGGTGTCACTTTTACTGTTCTGTCCCTATATAATGTTATATGCAAAAGGGGGGGGGGCATCATCTGTGTCCCATGGACACACTCCCCATTTATTTAACATATTTATCAGTAATTGTGATTATCTTGTATGGTAAATATTTAATATAATATAATAAATATGACTTAAACTAGAGGTTCAAAATTGTCCTATCTGCAAAACTGAAAAGCAGTGTAGCCTATAATTTTCCTGTCTCTGTGTCTGTTCATCTGTCAGTTTATAGCTGTGCCCCTCTTCTCATTAACAATTAGATATAGGAATAGATTGAAGAAGATGAGATACCACCATAACTAAAAAATTTGTCAAAAGATGGTTTGGAAGAATTGATATTTAGGTTTGATTTACTATTTTGTGAAGTAAATATGGTATCAACATGAAAATTCCTCATTCTGTGTGTATTATAACAAAATACTAACTATTCAAAACCTATGTAAAAATGACAGTTTCTGACTTTGATGGTGAATTGTATAGAGTTAAAGTGTTAAGGTTTCAATATGATATAAAGTATATGTGATGCAGCATGAAATTATCAATGATACAGCAAGTTAGAACTACTAAAGATATGTCAAAAAGGGGGGGGGGCTTTTATTTTATGAATTAGTTGTCACTTCACTGTTATGTATTATGTTATGTTATGTTTTGTTTTGATTCTATTGGTAGGAATAGGACTAATTTTAAATATGTTTCCTAGCATCATGGCCAATCCACATAGATATTCTTGTAAATTATTTGATATTGGTCACAGGCTTATCGATATTCAAATGGTCGTTGACCTCAACAAAACCAGTGATTTTTTTTTTGCTTAGTTCTGTTATAATTTTGTTATTTATCTATTTAAAAAGTAAAACCAGTTTAAAATGAAAAGAATGTATGTTCACCAGATTAATAGACTTTTGATTCCCTTTAAAGTTCAATGTTGGATAAACATATATCACAATGCTACAGCATACTTTTTTTAAATACAATATGTCACCAGAAAAAACATTGTCCATTAATTTTAATCTGTATTGAGTTGAATATAAATAAATATGATGTTGTGTATTCCATTTCAGTCAAGTCTATAAGGAATCTTAACGGTCACTCTATAAGTCCTTACAGAATACATGCAGGAAAGACTGTACCGATTGTCAAGGGAGGTGAAGCTACAAGGATGGAGGTTTGTTGAAATATTATGTTGTCAAGACCACTAGAAAATGATACAAAAAACTTGTTTGAACTTACTTTTTTAACTAATGTGAATATTTACCATCCAGACTACCAAAATATAGTACTGTGAAAGTTATCTAGTCAGATCCTTCATTTGCCTTTTTCAAGTCAGAACCTCGTCAGGTATTGTTGTGTTAGGGGCATTATGTTTTTCGGTCTGTGCGTCTGTTCTTTGTCTGTCCGTTAGTCCGTCCTTTCTTCCATCTGTCCCGCTTCAGGTTAAAGTTTTTGGTCAAGGTAGTTTTTATACGACCGTAAAAATTAAAAAAATTTTGGTCGTATAGGTGTAATACCACCATTGATTTTCCCCTATTAGTCTTTGTTAAATTTGCACTTTTCAAAAAATTGTGCAGAATTTATCTTTGTTTCAAATAAAGAAATACTTGGCATGAGTAAAGATTTATCCTGTCCAGTACTATAGAAAAAATTTCACATAACATTTCATTGCATATAAGAAAATAACCATCACTGGAAGTTAACCAATCAAATTTTCCCCCTTTTTTAACCTGTGTACAAGCTTTAGTAACCATGTAACCTCAACTTTCCAAAATATTCTATAGAAACTCCAAATAAAGAAATAATGGTGCTTTGAAATACCCAAGATATATGTTTATGACTCAGAAATGTTTTACTGCAATGAAATGTAGGATCAATTACCTACAACTGTCAAATTCAAGGGAATATTTTTTTTCGACCTATTTTCGTATGCAACCGGATGTGACGTACTATGATTTGGTGGTATTACACCTAAAGAAGACTTTTTTGTTAAATAAACTGAATGTGACTTTTTTCCTTTGTAATACTGGTTATTTCAAGCATTCCTGTCAAGTTTTGTCATAATCAGTTCAATAGTTTGAGAAAAATCTAGTATAATGTAAGACGACATCTACAGCGATTCAAGCAAAATTTCTTCGAAAAATCCAAACCAAGCCGCATCATGATAGAATATAGTGTGGACCAATAAATGATCAAATATTTATCTCATCTGCCTACAAACAGTTGAATATGATACAAAAGATGACTTTAGGATGATAAATACTACTAATGGACCTCTTTGTCTTCCTTATAAGGTCTCTTTTGGTCCATTTATACCTCTCATTTCCTCAAAATTTCTACTTTTTAGGCCAATAAATAAAAATTTTGGGGTAACTTTCACTCATTTATGATAGAAATGTTATTATAAATGATTAATTGAAGTATTCAAGCTGAATGAACTATCCGTATAAAAGTTTACTGTCTCCAAGGAGGTTTCAATAAGTCCTTACGTAAAACTTAAATTTACGCCGCGTTCCAGAGAGGGACATAAAAAACTTCTTTTTTGGTGAATAATTTGTTGTTACTGCTTTAAAAGTAATTTCATTTACTTAAAACTATATATTTATTAAATTATTTCTTAGGAAAAATTTTCTAGTATAGCAGAATATAAGAAATAAGGAGAAAAAGCTCCCCAAAACTCTAAGTATGGCTTGTTCTGTCAACTAATATTCATGGTAAAGTCCTATTTCAAGGAAATTTTCTCATAAAATGTATTTTGGAGACTCAATCCACTCAGAATATTTCATTATTTGTAATATTTCACTTAAATAGCAATAAATTTTAACACATGAGAGTACTCACAAGGTCAAAGGTGCATGTACAGCTTCCCATATTAGGTGTAATACCACCATTGATTTTCCCCTATTAGTCTTTGTTAAATTTGCACTTTTCAAAAAATTGTGCAGAATTTATCTTTGTTTCAAATAAAGAAATACTTGGCATGAGTAAAGATTTATCCTGTCCAGTACTATAGAAAAAATTTCACATAACATTTCATTGCATATAAGAAAATAACCATCACTGGAAGTTAACCAATCAAATTTTCCCCCTTTTTTAACCTGTGTACAAGCTTTAGTAACCATGTAACCTCAACTTTCCAAAATATTCTATAGAAACTCCAAATAAAGAAATAATGGTGCTTTGAAATACCCAAGATATATGTTTATGACTCAGAAATGTTTTACTGCAATGAAATGTAGGATCAATTACCTACAACTGTCAAATTCAAGGGAATATTTTTTTTCGACCTATTTTCGTATGCAACCGGATGTGACGTACTATGATTTGGTGGTATTACACCTAAAGAAGACTTTTTTGTTAAATAAACTGAATGTTACTTTTTTCCTTTGTAATACTGGTTATTTCAAGCATTCCTGTCAAGTTTTGTCATAATCAGTTCAATAGTTTGAGAAAAATCTGGTATAATGTAAGACGACATCTACAGCGATTCGAGCAAAATTTCTTCGAAAAATCCAAACCAAGCCGCATCATGATAGAATATAGTGTATGACGTTGGCGTCGTCGTCGTCGTCGTCGTCGTCTGGCGTCGTCCGGCGTCGTCCGAAGACACATTGGTTTTCGCACTCTAACTTTAGTTTAAGTGAATGGATCTCTCTGAAATTTTACCACAAGGTTCAATACCACAAAAGGAAGGTTGGGATTGATTTTGGGGGTTATAGTACCAACAGTAAAGGAATTAGGGGCCAAAAATAAGCATTTTTGTAACTTCCAGACATAACTTGTGTGTTAGTGTATGGATATCTCTGACATTGTACCACAAGGTTCCATATCACAAAAGGAATGCTTGGATTGATTTTGGGGGTAATTGTCTCAAAATTTTAGGAATTAGGGGCCAAAAAAGGGGCAAAAAACAAGCATTTTCCTAGTTTCATGACAATAACTTGTGTGTAAGTGTTTGGATATTTCTGAAATTGTACTACAAGGTTCCATATCACAAAGGGAAAGCTGGAATTGAGTTTGGGGGTAATTGCCCTAAACGTTTAGGAATTGGGGGCCAAAAAGGGGCCAAAAATAAGCATTTTTCTAGTTTCCAGACAATAACTTGTGTTCTAGTGTATGGATCTCTCTGAAATTGTACTGCAAGGTACCATACCACAAAGGGAAGGCTGGGATTGAGTTTGGGGGTGATGAATCATAAGGGGGTTCAAAAAATTTGGGGGGGGATTTTTTTTTTTTCTTTTTATACGACCGCAAAAAAATTTTTGTGGTCGTATATTGGTATGACGTTGGCGTCGTCGTCCTGTGTCGTCGTCCTGTGTCGTCGTCTGAATACACATTAGTTTTCGCACTCTAACTTTAGTTTAAGTGAATGGATCTCATTGAAATTTTACCATAAGGTTCAATACCACAAAAGGAAGGTGGGGATTGATTTTGGGGGTTATGGTACTAACAGTTAAGGAATTAGGGGCCAAAAGGGGCCAAAACTAAGCATTTTTGTAACTTCCAGACATAACTTGTGTGTAAGTGTATGGATCTCTCTGACATTGTACCACAAGGTTCCATATCACAAAGGGAATGCTGGGATTGATTTTGGGGGTAATTGTCTCCAAATTTTAGGAATTAGGGGCCAAAAAGGGGCAAAAAACAAGCATTTTTCTAGTTTCATGACCATTACTTGTTTGTAAGTGTATGGATCTTTATGAAATTGTACTACAAGGTTCCATATCACAAAGGGAATACTGGGATTGATTTTTGGGGTAATTTCCTCCAAATATTAGGAATTAGGGGCAAAAAAGGGGCAAAAAACAAGCATTTTTCTAGTTTCATGACAATAACTTGTTTGTAAGTGTATGGATCTTTATGAAATTGTACTACAAGGTTCCATATCACAAAGGGAAGGCTGGGATTGATTTTGGGGGTTTTCCCTCAAAATTTTAGTAATTAGGGGCCATAAAAGGGCAAAAAAAACATGCATTTTTCTAGTTTCAGGACAATAACTTGTGTGTAAGTGTATGGATCTTTATGAAATTGTACTGCAAGGTTCCATATCACAAAGGGAAAGCTGGAATTGAGTTTGGGGGTAATTGCCCTAAACGTTTAGGAATTTGGGGCCAAAAAGGGGCCAAAAAACAAGCATTTTTCTAGTTTCCAGACAATAACTTGTGTTCAAGTGTATGAATCTCTCTGAAATTGTACTGCAAGGTACCATACCACAAAGGGAAAGCTGGGATTGAGTTTGGGGGCGATGAATCATAAGGGGGTTCAAAAAATTGGGGGGGAGGATTTTTTTTTTCCTTTTTTTTCTTTAACATTTTCCATTTTAAATTGGTTATTTCTGATTTATATATAAAAGCAAATAATAATGATATGGTTTGAATAGGCATACATGTGAACCTCCCGACGGGAGTACAATAATCCCGTTTTCAGGGGTCTCCTCCCCCCCTCCCGTTGAAAAAATCCCGTGTATGAAATTTTTCATGAATGAAAAATTTCTGCCCAACATAACATCTCAGGCATCTGGTGTAACTGACATTACCTGAAGTTATATTTTACCTGTAAATCAATTAACATGCATAATTATATGGCTTCACTTGTCAGCTTGGGTGTCAAACATACTGGTAAGCAACGATTTTTACCTCAGGCTAACTGCCGTTGTGTAACAAAAACTGTGTATTTATTGGGTTACTTCCCTTGATTTATCCTGTTTTAAGTTACTTTCCTTTTAATAATGAAAATTTTTAAAAGAATATAAATAAAATATAAATTGAACAAATAATCATAAAAGGATGGTTATTAAATGATTTTAAATGTCTTAGGACAAATAAAAAAATAATAATTTGAAAATTATTTGAGGATTCTATACTTCCTTTTAAGGCTTAAATTGAAATTTATATAATAACTATGACCCTAACTTTACAGATAGAATGAATTTCTGAGTTTGCAAATAAAAACTATTTGCAAGAGAAAACAAAAAAAAATAAAAACTAAATGTTCTGGTTGCAATGATTGCTTTATAGAATATGAAGTAAAAAATTTAAAGAACATACTGGAAAAAAACAATGTTAGATTGAACATGTAGAATATAAAGATGGAGAAACTTTATAAGTACAAGGGTACTATAAACATAATAAATTGGTTGGAAAGTTGAAGAAAACACACTTTAAAAGACCATTTTTACAGCACACGGTTACATTTACAACAAAATTAATGTCGATTAAAAACCTCCTGATCTGAGTCCTAATCTCCTGACCAAAATTTCCCAATCTCCTGATCTGAGTTTCACAGTCCATCACATGTATGAATAGGTAAATTGAAAATTTTTAAGTTCTTAGACCACTTTCATTCTGTGTCAGAAACCTATGCTGTGTCAAATATTTAATTACAATCCAAATTCAGTGCTGTATCAAGCTTGAATGTTGTGTCCATACTTGCCCCAACTGTTCAGGGTTCGACCTCTGCGGTCGTATCAAGCTGCGCCCCAGCGGAGCATTTTATTTTTTCTGTTTTTCCTTTTTTTTTCTTTTAAAATTTTCCATTTTAAGTTGGTTATTACTGATTTATATTTAAAAGCAAATAATAATGATATGGTAGGAGATACACACCAAACAGGATGTGTAAGTTATTATATAATAAGTATTGTGCAATAGCAAGAAATTTTCAATTGCACAGTATTGCACAATAGCAAGAAATCTTCAGTTGCACAGTATTGCGCAATAGCAAGAAATCTTCAATTGCACAGTATTGCGCAATAGCAAGAAATATCCAATAGCACAATATTGCACAATAGCAAGAAATTGTCAATTGTACAGTATTGCGCAATAGCAAGAAATATTCAATTGCACAGTATTGTGCAAAAGAAGATACTTCGTATAAATTGCTTATAACTTGATCAATTTCAATGGGGTTTTATTCTTGAATTCTTGGGGTTCTTTAATATGCTGAATCTAACCGTGTATTAAGTTTTGGATTTTGGGCCCCGTTTTTAAATTGGTCCACATTGAGGTCCAAAGGGTCCAAAATTTAACTTTGTTTGATTTCGTCAAAAATTGAATTATTGGGGTTCTTTGATATGCCGAATCTAACCGTGTATTTAGATTCTTAATTTTTGGTTCCGTTTTCAAATTGGTCTACATTAAGGTCCAAAGGGTCCAAAATGAAACTTAGTTTGATTTTAACAAAAATTGAATTTTTAGGGTTCTTTGATATGCTGAATCTAAACATGTATTTAGATTTTAGATTTTTGGCCAAGTTTTCAAGTTGGTCCAAATTGGGGTCCAAAATTAAACTTTGTTTGATTTCAACAAAAATTGAATATATGGGGTTCTTTGATATGCTGAATCTTACCTTGTATTTAGATTTTTTATTTGTGGGCCCGCTATCAAATTGGTTCATATTGAGGTCAAAAGGGTCCAAAATTAAACTTTGTTTGATTTCATCAAAAATTGAATTCTTGGGGTTCTTCGATATGCTGAATCTAACCATGTATTTAGATTTTGGATATTGGACCATAATAGGTGAATGTTCAATTTAAAATTTTTAAGTTCTTAGACCACATTCATTCTGTGTCAGAAACCTATGCTGTGTCAAATATTTAATCACAATCCAAATTCAGAGCTGTATCAAGCTTGAATGTTGTGTCCATACTTGCCCCAACTGTTCAGGGTTCGACCTCTGCGGTCGTATCAAGCTGCGCCCAGCGAAGCATTTTATTGATGAAGTTGAAGTCCAATCAACTTGAAACTTAGTACACACGTTCCCTATGATATGATCTTTCTAACTTTAATGCCAAATTAGAGTTTTGACACCAATTTCACGGTCCACTGAACATAGAAAATGATAAGGTGAGTGGGACATTGTTTTGTGTTATTTGAACAATTTGATAGTTTCTGTTGAATTTATTCATAACTATGTAGCCCTATAGATGTCTTTTGCTTACTTTTATCCTCTGGTTGCTACCTCATTTACAATTAACCCTATTTAAACCAGCAAGCCAATCAAGACTACTTATTAAAAACTTCCAGAACCCTAGTTTCTTGAGTTTTACTTAAGTATATAGTTCTATCTATATATGACGTAGCTCTTGCTGTTTTTGGGCGGATTGTTGAATAGTTTCTGCATCTTGATTACAAATATTATAAATATAATTAGATTGTGTTGTTATACAAAACTTTATGTAGACAGATTTTCTGAATAATAAGGGCCTGAACGATTAATAGGCAGAAGGGTTAAGTTAGTCAGCATGTGCATGGGTCCATCATAATTTTATACACATTAAAACCCTTTTGAGTTAGTGATCAAATATTTGATTATTCACCATTATCAGAAGGTGTGTCATGTACAAATAATGTAAATTTTCATTGTTGTAGGAAATGGAATTTTATGCCATAGAAACCTTTGGAAGTACAGGTAAAGGTGTTGTTCATGATGATATGGAAACTTCTCATTACATGAAGAATTTTGAAGCTGGACATGTTCCTTTGAGGTATGTGATATACGTGATATTTTGATAGGAATTATATTTTTAGTCCCCTACCGACGAAGTCGAAGGGGACTTTAGGTTTGCACTCTGTCCGTCTGTCTGTCCGTCCGTCCGTCTGTCCATCCTTCAGTCCGGCAACTCAGATTTCCACACTTTTTTTCTTCGTTCTTTAAGTTATTGATTTGATATTTGCTATATAGTTTTATCGTGACAAGTTATAGATCAAGTTCGAATTTTGTTCCGGTCTGATGATTCAGTCCAGAGTTATGGTCCATGAAAAAACTCCATAACTAATGTTAGAGTACTATGTTAAACCATATAATCTGTATAAAGGTAGATAACTCATTTTTTAAAAGACATTCTTTGGTAAATTGTTTGAGGAATTTTGTGGCAGGTTTATATGTTATTTTGTATATACTAATTTTCTGAATGCTACATGTATATATATATATATATTTTTTATTAAGTGAAATCCTTTAATTAGATAATAATCTATTTTTATTAAGGTATATATTTCATTACATTACATTGTGTAGATAAAAGTTGTTGACATTTTATAGGTAAGTTACAAATCTATATTAGTTTGTGAGAAATGAAAGAAAAAATATTTGGAACTATTAATTATATTTGATTGTAATTTGAAAATAGATATACATTGTATTACATCATATCTAATGTTAGAGTGTTATAGGTTTTCCACACTTTTTTTCATCATGCTTGAAAATATTGATTGACAATTGGTAAATAGTTTTATCATGACAAGTTACAGTTCAAGTTCAAATTTTTGTTTCGGTCTGATAATTTTGTGCAGAGTTATGGTCCTTGGAATTAAAAAAATTCACTCATATATTCAGTTTTCCACACTGTTTTTAGTCATGCTTGAAGATATTGACTTGATATTTTCTTTTGGTTTACACCATGACAAGTTATAGAACAAATTAGCATTTTGTTCCAGTATAATGAATTTTTACCTGGTAGGGGACTATGTATTGCCATGCAATACTCTCAGAATGCTTGTCAATTATTATATGATATGATTTAGTAGTACATAATATTTTATTGTATAAATTTACTGTATTTATTTCAAATAGTGCCTGTGGCTGCCATTTTTAGCTAACCTAGACCTATATTGGCCATATGAGCTATTGCTATTGCTTGACCTCTGTCTTCAACATCTAAAGTTGTGTTCTTTTTAAAAATCTCTCATAAAACAAACAAGTCTGATAAGAGTCTGATAAGAGATCTGGACTAGATTGTAGTGATGAATTATACATGGCTCTTAACAAATTAAAATTGTTCAGAAAATAACTTTTTCTAAAGTCAATCGACCAATATAACAAGTTGAATTTGGTTGATTTATGAAGGAATTTGTGCACATTGATGTCATCATACATGGCGGCACAAGGAAACTCTAATTCAAGTTTTGCCAATTAGATTTATAGAAAGGGAATTTGAATTCATGGTTAGGTTGGCCTCTTCCAAAGAACTCTTATTATCTTTCAAAATTTAATGAATCGTCAGATCTTGAGAGTTGTGTATTTTATAAAAATTATACTACAGATACAAAATAAATTTAGGAAATCAAATATCTGTTACATATTTTTATTATTTTTTTCAGAGTACAGAAGTCTAAACAATTACTGAATTGTATCAACCAGAATTTTGGAACATTAGCATTCTGCAGACGTTGGTTAGATCGACTAGGACAGAGCAAATACCTGATAGCTTTGAAGAATCTGTGTGACGTGGGAATCGTTGATGCATATCCACCTCTCTGTGACACTAAAGGATGTTATACAGCTCAGTTTGAACACACGATATTGTTAAGACCTACATGTAAAGAGATCATTAGCAGAGGAACAGATTACTGAATATAAAATCAACTCTCTATTCTCAAATTTTAAATATGTTTTATTAAAACAAAATGAATGGGTAAATTTGTTCCTTTCCAAGTATTTTTGTCCTTATTTCAAATACTGTCTTTTTTTATATTAATGTTCCCCAAATATCCAAATTTATTAAAATAAAAAAAGGCAGGTTTCAGGTTAAATCTGTTGGATTTATTAGTTTCAATAATGGACGGAGAAAAAAAAAGTATATTTAAAAAGTTCCTATTTAATAAAACAAAAAACTTACTATTTTACCTCACATTTAAGATTGAAAAAACCTCTTTTTATGTCCATTCATAACTTGACAAGAGATGATCAATTCATACTATTTAATTATGCAGAGACTTGAAATTTTTTCTGACAAAATTTTTAACATCATCTTTACCTCATGCAATAAAATGGTAAATTCAAAAACATATTCAATCTTAACGGTCCTAGTCATCATATATATGATTGTTTCTGACTAAGTGAAACTGTTTTGTTAATTTTACTTGTGAAATACGTCAATTCCAGAAAGAAAGAAAATGTTTCTCTGTAAAAATCAGGCCACAATTTATTCAGAGAGAAAAGTGAATAGGTTACATGAGATTTTGAATGTTTAAAAATATATCTATAAGCTTCATTTTTGTTAGCTGAACAAACCGACTGAAACAAATTGAAATACATTGTTTCATATGCGTGACTTTACATTATTATTATTTATCACTTATTATGCTTGCGTAACTTATCTTTGTTGAAGGAATATTTCTAGATTTATCAATGTTAAATATTTATTTTAAAAATATGATGAAATCAACAATGAATGAAAATGTCTACTCCATGTTGTATTAACCTGAGTAACTAATATCAGACCTAAACCAGAGGGTTTTTGAGTTATCACAACAAATGATCATGTTTTAAATTCTTATTGTATTCTTTGCCTCAGCATATTTATTTAGAACATTTCAAAAAGTATTTGAAGGTTTTCACATCATTGAATAATATTCTGAAAAAAAACATTATAGTGAGTTATTATCTCCCTTGCTGATATTATGAGTTAATGATTGTTATGTTAAACAGTGAAATGGTAATATGAAGAATCATGTATGTAATTTGATTTACAGCTGAAATGCAAATAAAACTTTGAAAATTCTTTAATATTTATTGTTTGGTCCATCCAATGACTTTAAAAAAATTCTGTTTGCAGCTTCTTAACAATACAAAAATAAAAGAATGGGGATATTGTGTCTGGATATGACTGGTCAGCTTAGAATGGGGAGATAGTGTATGGATAAAGCTAGTCAGCTTAGAATGGGGATATTGTGTCTGGATATGACTAGTCAGCTTAGAATAGGGAGATAGTGTCTGGGTATGACAGGTCAGCTCAGAATGGGAACATAGTGTCCATCCAATGACTTTAAAAAAATTCTGTTTGCAGCTTCTTAACAATACAAAAATAAAAGAATGGGGATATTGTGTCTGGATATGACTGGTCAGCTTAGAATGGGGAGATAGTGTATGGATAAAGCTAGTCAGCTTAGAATGGGGATATTGTGTCTGGATATGACTAGTCAGCTTAGAATAGGGAGATAGTGTCTGGGTATGACAGGTCAGCTCAGAATGGGAACATAGTGTCTGGATATGACTGGTCAGCTTAGAATGGGGAGATAGTGTATGGATATGACTGGTCAGCTTAGAATGGGGAGATAGTGTATGGATAAACTAGTCAGCTTAGAATGGGGATATTGTGTCTGGATATGACTAGTCAGCTCAGAATAGGGAGATAGTGTCTGGGTATGACAGGTCAGCTCAGAATGGGAACATAGTGTCTGGATATGACTGGTCAGCTTAGAATGGGGAGATAATGTATGGATATAGCTAGTCAGCTTAGAATGGGGATATTGTGTCTGGATATGACTGGTCAGCTCAGAATGGGGAGATAGTGTCTGGATATGACTGGTCAACTTAAAAGTAGGGAGATAGTGTCTGGATATGACTGGTCAGCTTAGAATAAGGAGATAGTGTCTGGATATGACTGGTCAGCTTAGAATAAGGAGATAGTGTCTGGATATGACTGGTCAGCTTGGAATGGGGAGATAGTGTCTGGATATGACTGGTCAGCTGAGAATAGGGAGATAGTGTCTGGATATGACTGGTCAGCTTAAAATGGGGAGATAGTGTCTGGATATGACTGGTCAGCTTAGAATGGGGAGATAGTGTCTGGATATGACTGGTCAGCTCGCAATGGAAATATTGTGCTTGGATATGACTGATCAGCTCAGAATAGGGATATGGAGTCTGTATATGACTGGTCAGCAGAATAGGGATATTGTGTCTGGATATGACTGGTCAGCTCAGAATGGGGATAATGTGTCTGGGCATGACTGATCAGCTCAGAATGGGGATGATTAATCTGGGTATGATTGGTCAATTCCGAAAGGTATGACTGGTCAGTTCAAAATGGGGATATTGTGTCTGGGTATGACTGGTCAGCTTAGAATAGGGATAATGTGTCTGGGTATGACCAGTCAGATCAGAATTGGGATATTGGGTCTGGATAGGACTTAAAAATAAACGTAATCATACCTAGACACAGTATTCCCACAAGGTCTGTAGGAAAACCTGTAATCATACTTGGACAGTATTCACACAAGGTTTACAGAAAAAACATGTAATAATACCTATACATAATATTCCCACAAGGTCTGTAGGAAAACCTGTTATCATACTTGAAGCAGTATTCTCAAAAGGTCTGCATTAAAAGTCTTATCCAGACAGAATATTCCCAATCTGAGTTGACCAGTCATACCCATTCTGATGTGACTGGTCATACCCAAACACAATATCCCTATTCTTGGCTGACCAGTCATACCCGACACATTATCCCCATTATGAGCTGACCAGTCATACCCTGACTTATTATCCACATTATGAGCTGACCAGTCATACCCAGACTTATTATCCCCATTATGAGCTGACCAGTCATACCCAGACACAATATCCCCATTATGAGCTGACCAGTCATACCCAGACACATTATCCCCATTATGAACTGACCAGTAATACCAAGACACATTATCCCCATTATGAGCTGACCAGTCGTACCCAGACAAAATATCCCCAGTATGAGCTGACCAGTCATACCCAGACTTATCCCCATTATGAGCTGACAAGTCATACCTGGACACAATGTTCCCATTATGAGCTGACCAGTCATAACCAAACACAATATCCCCAGTATGAGCTGACCAGTCATACCCAGACTTATTATCCCCATTATGAGCTGACCAGTCATACCTGGACACAATATCCCCATTATGAACTGACAAGTCATAACCAAACACAATATCCCCATTATGAGCTGACCAGCATACCCAGACACATTATCCCCATTATGAGCTGACCAGTCGTACCTGGACACAATATCCCCATTATGAACTGACTAGTCATAACCAATCACAATATCCCTATTCTAGGCTGACCAGTCATACCCAGACTTATTATCCCCATTATGAGCTGACCAGTCATACCCAGACACATTATCCCCATTATGTCATACCCAGACACAATATCCCCACTGTGAGCTGACCAGTCATACCAAGACTTATTATCCCCATTATGAACTGACCAGTCATAACCATACACAATATCTCCATTATGAACTGACCAGTCATACTCAGACACATTATCCCCATTATGAGCTGACCAGTCATACCCAGACTTATAATCCCCATTATGAGCTGACCAGTCATACCCTGACTTATTATCCCCCATTATGAGCTGACCAGTCATACCCAGACACATTATCCCCGTTATGAGCTGACCAGTCATACCCAGACACAATATCTCCATTATGAGCTGACCTGTCATACCCAGACACAATATCCCCATTATGAGCTGACCAGTCATACCCAGACACATTATCCCCATTATGAGCTGACCAGTCATACCTGGACACAATATCCCCATTATGAACTGACTAGTCATAACCAAACACAATATCCCTATTCTAGACTGAACAGTCATACCCAGACTTATTATCCCCAATTTGAGCTGACCAGTTATACCCTGACACATTATCCCCATTATGAGCTGACCAGTCATACCCAGACTTATTATCCCCATTATGAGCTGACCAGTCATACCAGACACATTATCCCCATTCTGAGCTGACTAGTCACACCCAGACACATTATCCCCATTATAAGCTGACCAGTCATACCCTGACTTATTATCCCCCATTATGAGCTGACCAGTCATACCCAGACACATTATCCCCGTTATGAGCTGACCAGTCATACCCAGACACAATATCCCCATTATGAGCTGACCTGTCATACCCAGACACAATATCCCCATTATGAGCTGACCAATCATACCCAGACACATTATCCCCATTATGAGCTGACCAGTCATACCTGGACACAATATCCCCATTATGAACTGACTAGTCATAACCAAACACAATATCCCTATTCTAGACTGAACAGTCATACCCAGACTTATTATCCCCAATTTCAGCTGACCAGTTATACCCTGACACATTATCCCCATTATGAGCTGACCAGTCATACCCAGACTTATTATCCCCATTATGAGCTGACCAGTCATACCAGACACATTATCCCCATTCTGAGCTGACTAGTCACACCCAGACACATTATCCCCATTATAAGCTGACCAGTCATACCAGACACATTATCCTTATTCTGTGTCTAAGTATGATTACATGTTTTTCTGTAGACCTTGTGTGAATACTGTCTGTGAGTATGATTACTGGTTTTCCTTCAGACCTTGTGAGAATACTGTGTTTGGTTATGATTACAGTTTTTTTTCTGAATACCATGTTAAAAAATGTCTGAGTATTATTACAGGTTTTCCTACAGACCTTGTGAGAATACTGTGTCGAGATATAGTCGCATGTTTTTGCAGACATTGTGGGAAAACTGTCTGGGTATGATTACAGGTTTTCCTGCAGACCATGTGGGAATACTGTAAGTCTAGGTATAAACCTTGTGGGAAAACTGGTTTCGGGTATGATTACAGGTTTTCCTGCATAACTTGTGGGAATACTGTGGCTGGGTATGATTACATGTTTTCCTGCGTAACTTGTGGGAATACTGTGTTTGGGTATGATTACAGGTTTTCCTGCATAACTTGTGGGAATACTGTGTTTGGGTATGATTACAGGTTTTCCTGCATAACTTGTGGGAATACTGTGTTTGGGTATGATTACATGTTTTCCTGCATAACTTGTTGTAATACTGTGTTTGGGTACGATTACAGGTTTTCCTGCATAACTTGTTTGGAATACTGTGTTTGGGTATGATTACAGGTTTTCCTGCATAACTTGTGGGAATACTGTGTTCGTGTATGATTACATGTTTTCCTGCATAACTTGTGGGAATACTGTGTTTGGGTATGATTACAGGTTTTCTTGCATAACTTGTGGGAATACTGTGGCTGAGTATGATTACAAGTTTTCCTGCATAACTTGTAGGAATACTGTGTTTGGGTATGATTACAGGTTTTCCTGCATAACTTGTGGGAATACTGTGTTCGGGTATGATTACAGGTTTTCCTGCATAACTTGTGGTAATACTGTTTGTATGATTACAGGTTTTCCTGCGTACCTTGTTGGAATACTGTGTTTGCGAATGAATACATGTTTTCCTGCACTGGGTATGGGATGAAATGTTTCCTGCAGTGTACTAATAACTTTTTATGCCCCCGCCGTAGCGGTAGGGGCATTACGTTTTACCCTTGTCCGTCTGTACGTACGTACGTACGAATGTATGTTCCAAAATTGGTTTCCGTTCTCTTACTTGAGTTTGCTTCAACTAAATGTTATGAAAATTATATACAATGCTTATTAGAACAAAACACAGGTCAAGTTTGAATTTTGGTGGCATCACTTTAACCGTTCTACAGTTATGCCCCTTTAGAAATGGAGAAATTGCTAAATTTTTAGTTTCCGTTCTCTAACTTAAGTTTGCCTCAACCAAATGTTATGAAACTTATACACATGCTTATTACCACAAAACACAGATCAAGTTTGAATTTTAGTGGCGTCACTTTAACTGTTCCAGAGTTATGCCTCTTTATAAACGGACAAATTGCAAAATTTTTATTTTCTTCTAAATATCAAGTAAT